CCTGCCAGAGCAGTGGCATTTCATCCTCAAGGTTCATGGATCGCAGCGATTAGCGAGTATATAATCAATATTTCCTGATTCTAGTACACTTGAGCTTCATCTTGCAAATATTGTTGAGGATCGGTCAAGCCTTAAAGCAATAGCTCATGAATATATGATCAAAGCGATCGCGTTTCATCCTAATAGAGATATTTTGGTATATATTTGACAAAATTACCCATAGGCATCTATTGACTCGTCTGGGTCAATAAAGTTGTGGGATGTGTCCACAGAGAATTTAGAATCTGCTGTGCGAACAGTTTCGCTTTTAGACATAGATTTTCCTTCGCCCATATATGCTGGACTCACTCCTGAATATCGAAAGTTGCTTGTTTCCCCCACTGAACGGCTATTTATTTCTTGGAGACTACCTGATGGAAATTTCCTTGCAATACCTTCAAACGATTCTATCCAAATTTATTCTTTAATAGACAACAAATTTACATACTGTAATAGTCTTTTTGGGGGACACACTAAGGTTGGTTATGAAGATATTAATTAAATTCTTTAGAGAGTTACATATGTTGAATGGTCCCCTTGTGGCACATGTTTGGCTTCAATTTCTGTCGATAAAAAGCTAATCGTTTGGCGGTTTTTTGATGAGAGCTCTACAAAAAATTATTCAATGGGGCTAATTCTCGAGTTGGAGGAAGTTCCAACAGGGCTTGTCTGGATGCCTAATCAGATGAGTTTACTATTAGTATTTTAGCTCAAATTAACATTAGATCGATGAATCTGGAAGTTTTATGTATATTCCTATTGTTTTAAACCCCTTGAGTAAGGCTTCTGAAAATAAGAATGGCCAATTAGCTTCTATTGAATCGGCCGTTCCAGATGTACCTATAGCTCGTCATAAAAGAAAAAATACAATTTCAGAAGAAGTGGATGAAAATAATGGTATGGATGCCGACAAGGAAGCTAAAGCCTTACCCTCAACAACATATACAAACCCTAAAACTAAAAAGACCTCACAGCCTATAGAATCATCAGATGAAGAAATGGCTGCTCTTGATGAGTTTGCAGATGACCATGAGTTTGATGATGATATGGAAGAGGCAGGGGAAGAAGAAGAGGTAGAAGACGGCTTAACTGATCACGAAGAAGAAGAGGACTATAAAGATAATTTGGAAAATATAGTTGAACTTCAAGGAAGGCGGCTCGCTAAGCCATTCAAGAGCGTCAGTACATTTAGCCTTCCCTCAATTCCTGTGCTGCAACCCGGCTCGACTCCAATTATTGAGAAGCGGAGATTTTTGGCCTGGAATTCCATTGGATGGATTACCGTACTCTATGACGAAGATAGCGATGATCTGGGGACCATTGATATTGGGTTTAATGATCATTCTGCTATGAAACCGGTCCATTTTGTAGATTATGTTGGATATCATTTCGGTGCCCTTTCCAAAAAAGGCGCTTTTTTTGCCTCTAAATATAAGTCAAGAAATCCTTTCAAAAATGAAGTGCAGGCCAAGCCTTCCTCACTATATTACCTTCCATTTTTGTCTTGGGCACCCAAGTCTGAATGGAGAGCTGAATTAAGTGAATCAGAGAGTGTTTTGGCTATAGCATGCACGGATGATTATTCAGTAGTAGCAACTGATTTACTTTATATCCATATTTATTCATTGGGGGGCATTCAGCTTTTTCTATTTTCGATTCCTGAACCCATTGTATCTCTCGTCGCAGAGGGTAATATCCTTTTTTCCATTTTTGGAAGGTTCTCGGATATCACAACACAAAGATTATCGTTTTCTATATTTGATTTGAAGGAGCAGCGAGATATCCCTATATCCAATAGATTATTGCCTCTCTCTTCACCAGATTCCTCAAGCAACGCCATTAAATTTAGGTCTCTTGTTAGTTCTGGTGATCCAGTTTCCGTTGTTTGGACTGGATTCGTTGATAACCTCTGTATACCTTCATTTATGGACTCTTGCGGCATCGTTCGAGCTCTATTTTCCGAGTCTGGTTGGCAATGGGTTCCTATTCTTGATTGTTACAAACAAGTTATGGGAAATTCCAATCCCGATACTGCGACTGGTGTTAAAATGAATTTATTCCCAGTGAGTCTGGATGAAAATAACATGCTTGTTGCCATGATGAAAGGGGATGATCCTTGGCCTGCTGTATTTCCAAAGCCTGTAATCAAAGAGCTAGCCATATATCCACCATCCCCACTTGGTAGGATTGACTTTGAGATAGAAAAAAAGTACACTTATGGAATCATTAATAATGGTATAGGTTCTTCGTTACATCTTTATTTAAAAAAAAACATTCTCCCACAGCGTATGGAAATGTAGATGGCGTTCTTCCCTCAAAAAGGCGTGCAGAAAATTCCAAATTGGATAAGCTTTTGTTTGAACTGCTAAAGGTACGTACTCTTATGTCTTTATCGCAATAGAAAGCTATTGATGGAAGTAAGCTCTCACTTGCCCTGGAGATATGTTCCCTTTTCCATTTGGAAAAATCCTTTGACTTTGCAATTCAATTGACAAGTGCTTCACATCTAGTTGATCTTTCCAGAAGAATTAAAGAAGTAAAATTGAAGAGATTTTCCACCGATTCTTGTGTAGAAAATGAGACTGACAGAAATACTGACATTCATACTTCCGTGTCACAGCTCCTCATCCAGAGAGACCAAGGTTCAGCCACTTTCCAAAGCAAAAATTCATCCAGCTTCATGAATAGCATTTTGGAGGATCCCCGAACGCATGAAAACCACACAAAAACCTCAATCAAAGATTTTAGCGATACCTTCCGCTAATTAAATAAACTTGTTTCTCGACGAATGGCTTTAAAACTGCCTTTTAGACGCCCCGTCCGTCTTTTCTTAAAATTTAGCAAACTTTATCATATTGTGTCATCCCTATAAAGAGGCCAAGATGACTTGAAAAAATGATGGCTCCCAGTTGCAAGAAATCATTGGTTCAAAAGCGGGCTTTAATTGTTTTAACGAATATCTCAAAGCTTCCGGGGAAAGATGCTGCTGATGTTTGCTTTACTGGGTTTGATGCAAGAGCTGTTGCTCACTTATGGAGCTTGCTTAAAGTAAGAAATTTTTATCAAATTGACTACTGCACCCCGGAAGGGGGCCCGGCACCTCTTGATCCGAGATCTGCAGATGAAAGCAAAGATGACCCAATAGTCCAATCATTTCTTCAGAATAAGACATTAGTAGATACGTTTCAAGATACAATGTCTGCAAAAAGCATCGTAGAAAGTATGACAGAATACTCTCTGATTGGGCTCGTTGGGGCGCACGGGGCCCTCATAGATGTTGCCGCCTCTCAAGATATTGCCAAATTAGTGACAATCGTATACGAACAGAATGGCCTTATATGCGCCATAGGTCACGGGCTTTGTGGAGCATTATGCTCTCAAACCTCATTAACCTCGTTCCCAGGAATTCCGCTTCTCAAAGAAAAAAAAGTGACCTCTTCCACACGCTCAGAGGATGAACAGCAGACGGCGCATGTGCCCTTTTTTCTTGATGAGAGACTAATGGCACTGGGCGCATGGGTTCTCAATAAAGGCCCCTTTGAGATAAACGTATGCATTGACTATGGCAATGACGAAACCGGAAAAATTGTCACTGGACAAAATACAGCCTCTGTGCCCGCTTGGATTGAACTAATAGAGACTTTGATTATTCAATGATCATTTAAAATAAATTAGCAAACATGATGACATCAGGAGATGGTAAGAACATTCATGAAACATGAGCTAGATCATCTATCTACATGATAGCACAGATGCATCTCTGTTTGTATTCGTCAAGATTTCAACCCATTTTATTATACCGTTAGGTTGGTAATTTTGAGTTGCAACCCTAACTTGTGCTTATGGAGGACCATCTGTTCCGCCTGCTTCTTATAGATGTCGTACTAGAGTCCGTGGTGAAAACCATTTGGGAAGATGATCCTCACATGCGTTCTAAAAATATACACATTCCCATGTTCTCAAACATTTCAGATTCAACGCAGAAACAGACCCGGTGTCCTAAGTGCCAGCGCATCGTCGCTGTACTCAGATTTGCCCCTCATTTGGAAAAGTGCCTCGGGATGGGACGCCAGGCGGCCTTATCGAAGCCCCTTGTTCACAAGTGAATCATAATCGAATATGATACTGCATTTAAGCGGGGCACCACTTGGTCGAGAAAATATCCTAGACCAACCATTAAATCAATCAATTTGAAAATAACATTTTATTGAAAGAGACACTACTTTGAGAGGATAATCTCTCCATATGGTCTTTGCTGTTGGGCTGTGATAGCGCCCAAAGACGTTAATCTTAGCACTTGATAGAAGCTTATGGCAACGTCTCTACGTGTTCTGCAGTGTTCAGAAAGGACTGTATTTAAAGATAAAGAGGGTCCGGAAAAATTATTCAAAATCTGTTCTAGCTTTTCACAGTAAGAGTCGCCACCTTGCAAAGTTTGTGTGAGATTAAGCTTTTCAGCAGCTGGTGATATGGAGCTTACGATTGATGCAAATTGATCCAGGGATGAGATATTGCCTATCTCTTGGATCTCTGCACAAAAACCCTCGCTTGGGTCTTCTGCTGGAGAAGAATCAGCAACATGTAGTTCTCGTTGGGTAGCTTCTGAAATATCATCAATCATATCCAAGTTGGTCAAACCAATCGGAGTAGAAGACCTTTGAGGAATTTCATTATCTGCCAGCGTGGAAAAAGCGTCGATTTTTGGCGAACTAGCCTTGCAAGAAATTTTTGATTCAAAATCCAACATTGAAATATCAGGATGGTCGTGGAAGCCCGTTCCAAGAGCAAGTAACTCGCTTAAAAATGAATCTACTTGTTTAATCGGAAGGATAAGGTCGACGGTCAAGCTTTCTATACTCCGGAGCGTATCACTGGCCCCCTTTAACTGCAGTTGGATAGTTGTGGAGGGTAGTTCCGTAGTTAGGTCCATATTTACCAGAAGATGAGCTTTTCGCTCTCCCAAAGGAATACCAAACGTAGTCTTTGATGTTGATGAAGGGGCATTACTCCCCTTGTGGCGCTTGCGGATCCGCCCGTCAGAATTTTCAGCAGAAGATTCAGAAATGTCTGACGGATCGACGGATCCACCGAAGGTAAGGATCTTGGCAATCTCTGAAATTACATCTGGAGATCCGAGAATTCGAGTGGCTTCGATCGGACTAGGCACTGCAAACATAGCTGCAGGATCACCTTGAGAAGTAAAGGATACTTCTTTTATGGGGGTTGACTGAGCCGCCTGAAGGGGAGAAAAGGAAATCTCTTTGTCTGGATGAAAAAAGTCTAATTGTTGGCCATCATCTCCAAAAAGCAATGGCTCTTTAATTTCTTCCCCGAGGGTATTGAGCGGTGAAGAAGGTATTTGGGATTTTCGAACAATTTCTACGTTCGACAGATGTTCATCGTTTTCAAAAGAAGCGCCAAAGAGCGTCCTATCAAGAGAAAGCTTTGGATTCACCAGAAGAGGCTCGTCAAATTGCTTCATTGGGGTGCATTGGAAGAGTGTCTGTGGAGAAACAGTATTTATTTCCAATCCTTGCCCAAAATCGCCTCCCATATGGAACGAAAAGAGATCATCAAACAAGCGCAGGTCCTTGGTTGGTGTTGCTAGTTTAAGAGCACTTTCTGGAATGTGTAAATCTGTCCCTCGTAGCTCTTCAATTTCGGTAGGCATCCTGTGATAAAAAAGATTGATTTTACTGTATAGAAAGAGGTGGTCGCCACATTGCAGCTAAGTCAGAAAGAAGATCTTGTGTTTGGATTTGCTGCGCCTCTATTGTTATCGACTCCTTCATAACGCTGATTGTAGAAACGGGGGCATGTTCCTTACCCATGCTGGAGCCCTAAAAAAAGGGAATATGCTTGTACTATTGAAAGCCTTGAGATGACCTCTGTGCAGTCCTCTAAAAGATATCGGGTTTTTCTAAGAAATATGCGAACAAGTCCCAAAAGTAGCTGTCCCTTCAACCTAAGCGCCATTGGCGGTAGGGACCCGCCAGAGCTGGCGCTGGTCTCCATCATCGATTTCAGAAGCGAACCCACCGCAGCAGGAATATCTGTAGAAATCACAAGCGACCGAGAAAGCTTTTTTTCCATATGAGCGGCTAGCCATAGCGTAGCCAGGGGTCCTGAGTGTTACCGAAATTGGGATACCTTTTTTACTTAGAACCGTGTCTGAAAAGAACATTCGTGATGGTGCTGTTGTTTACAATTGGCAGTTCACAATTGCAATTAAATTGCAGTACATACTTTTCTAAATCAAATTTGGGTTAAGGTAAAAAAGTTAAATTTTATTGAGATAATATTCCCCGCATGCATTCCAATGGCACTGTCCGGAGACAGTCTTTTCCTTGTCTCTCCACCGCAATTGGCTTTCCAATTTTTGTAGGCCACTCCACTCCGGTACAGATATTAATAGATCGCTTATGGCCATCTCTTGGTCCTTCCACTTCTCAAAAGACTCTGCTCGAAATGGTCTCTCTTCTTAATACACAGTGGCTTTGTGACCCATCAATACAATGGCTTCCATTTTTGGCGTGTGATTGGCGGACATTACTTGATGCTGTTAGTTTTCTTTCGCAGGGCGAATTGTCTGTGCAAATAATCAAATTTTGGAAGTTCGTAGTGGTCGCATCTAGAGAAATGAAGGTCATATATGATGCGATTTCTTTCAAGGATCTCTTACAAATATTGGTCAAGTCGTACCTAAAGTGTATTGAATCTCCGATTTCGATGGTTGCAGAACATCTTCTTGATTTATTCGTTATCTATCTTAATATTTATTCGGCATCCGAATTCCTTGATCTTGCCCTCGTTGCATATTCCCGGTGTTCCGTTCTTTGGGGCTCTTCTGAGATATTTAAGGACCTACTTCTAGCCTTTTCAATGAAATTCCAACATCCCGCCACCCCGGTGAAATTGCAACAGGCTGCTTTTAGGCTGTTGCCTCGAGCGATTGAACCTACCGATCGGCGTCTTATGGAGGCTCTAGCTTTTGGAGAGCATCCAGATCTTTGTGCACTATCACCTTCTCTTTTGAAGGCCTTAGTTTTCGAGTTTTTTCCGGAAACCCTCACCCTCCCACCATCGCCATCCTCCTTGCTTTTGGCATCGTTTTTATTGCCTCCTCAAAAGAGAGACGGTTCTTTGCACTCTATCCCAACATATCCCAATGAACGGGAGATTTTCGCCACAGACGGAGATAGCGACACCATTCTGTCTGCATCTTTTTTTACACCCTTGCTTGCATGTTCAAATCGGATTTATTTGCCTTCGCTTGCAGATGTTTTCTACTCGAAAGAATATTTTTCAAGGACGCTTTCCATTCAAAGGGTTGACCTGGCTCAAGAACTTAAGCTTGAGCTTTTGGATATAGCCAAACGACTCGCTCCGGCTCCTCCACGTTGGGCAAGGATGGGCTGCTGGCTCGCTCCTGGCTCTCCGTCGCTCATGGAAGTTTCTGGGTGTGCACTTGGTGAATTTCTCCCTGCTTGGATTTCTCTTTCACTTGAAATTATTCTTCCTCCTCTCTCTGATGTTGTAGATGAATGGGAATCGCTCAAAAAAGGCGATCTTTTATTTATGATGCATTTGAAATCAAGCGTCGAGATTTTAGCAGTCAAGGCCTGTGAATTTGAAGGCTTCCTTTCTTCGGATGGAAGGGTCCTCGAGTCCCTTGGCGGGTTTAAAAGGAAAAGGCTTGCCGAATCAACAAGCGGCGAGCATCGCATTCTTGTCGTCCGGGTGTATCCAGAAAACGTTGAAGAAGGAAACCAGTTTAAATTCAACGTTCTCGTTCGCCGAGACCCAAAATGTGCGCCCTTTAAATTTTTCTTAAAGGCATTGAAGCGCCAAGCTGTTAGCGAGAAGAGTATACCTATTTTGCAAAATCATTTTAGAGAATTTACACCGGAAGGTAACATGGAAATGGCAGTCGCCCCTTCTGCTCTTTCCATTGCTCTTAATACTGTGGATAAGCCTGTTGTGATTTTAGGACCCCCAGGGTCTGGAAAGACTCGAGCTGCCGCTGAAATCGCGGTATCAATGTACAACCGAGATGAAAATGCAAAAATTCTTCTCATTACTCACAACCATGCTACACTTGATCTTCTTTTAAAACGTCTCGTTGATATGGTAGACTTTTCTTTCGAACATTCCACAGGTTTATCACTGGTGTCCATGAGGCCCTCCCATTTTGTTCGACTGGGGGTATCTAATTCTTTTGCTACAGATTCTTCCTCCCCTCTTACCGCTTCTGGGCGGCTTGCGCTGATTGAGGAAAGAAGAGTTGAGCTTTTAAATTTAGTCGATCAAATGGCCAAATCTTTGGGGCTAGATGCTGCTGACCATGGAGCAACTTGCGACAGTGCGGAGACCTTTTTCCTGACCCTGCTACCTTTGGAGATAAAATCCGATCCATATGTGGTGTCTCTATTTTCTGAACTACGCCGACTACGTCCTCTTGAAGTGCTGCCATCTCAGAATGAGCGAGTAAGATACCTTTTAGCCCACGAGGCTAGAATTGTTGCTGCAACAATTTCTCAATTGATCAAATCTAGTGAGCTGCGAGATCTTCCTCTCAAAAACTTTTTCACCATCATCGTTGACAATGCTTGTGCAATTTTAGATTCAGAACTGTCTCTCATTGCTTCATTATTTGAAAGTCGCCAGCTGATTTTGATTGGAGACCATATGATGCTACCTCCTGTCACTCGTTCACCTATCATCAGCGAACATATTGGCGCTGAACGTTCTCTCTATGCTAACCTTATCAGGAGATATGAGGGTGGAGCGATTCCGATTACCGATCAATCGGCAATATCCATTCTTCCTTGTAAGTGGCGGTGTAGGGAAGAGATCGCTGCTCTTTTTGCATGGAGATATGCTCGCTTCGCGAATTCTTTACCAAAAAATAGCCACCCTGCTAGCTACGCCATTGAAGTTTCGACGGCTTTTGGTTTTGCAGAAAACAAGGGGTAAGATCTCGGCATTTATTTTAGGTTTTCGCATACATTTCAATGGATAGATGTCGAGCGGCAAACTTCTCAACATGGTTGGGGCGAATCTGAACCGGTTCCAAATTATTTCCAGGTACCTTTCTGTGCAGAATTAACGTTTTGTAGAACATCGATGAGGCCGAATATGCCGTGGCAATATTCAAATACATGATCAAAATTGGTTATGACCCCAGCTCGATCTCCATACTGGCAATGTATAATGGACAGAAGGATTTGATTTCGGATATCCTGAAACAAAAATCCACAATTATGCCCAAAGAGGTTTCCTCTGTGGATCATTATCAAGGGCTTTCAAACGACTTTATAATACTGTCAATGGTGCGAACCAGGCGACTGGGTCATACGCAAGATCTCCGGAGATGGATAACCTCAATCTCAAGATGCAGACTGGGCTTATATGTGTTGGGAAATTGGAAGCTTTTCAATGGAGCAGCGCAGGAGGGAATTGTGGCATTTGGACCTTCTCTTGAAATCTTTGCAGAGAAGCCACTATCTCTTGTGATAAAACCTCAGGAGGATGAGATTACAATATCAAATGCTTTGCAATTAGACTCCATAACTCTCCGCACGGGGAACGACCCCCAACCATCTGCATCGGATGACGATGAGGACGAAGATGATTAATCAATAAAGTTAACGTCCCGATGGCTGAAAACCCCAAAGTCTCTTGCACAATTAAAAGACCACCGCACGCCGGGATGGAATTTGCAAATTTATAATAATAACGCGGTACTTTTTGTCAAGTTGTATACAAAATAATGGCTTTATCCATGCTCATGTGTGGGGGAATAGATCGGCTTCATTGGATGAAATTTCAGGGATCACTATAGGAGGAGATATCCCGAATTCCTCAGCCGTATGCATAACTTTAAACTCTCCACAGTTGTTCAGGTGCTCATGCTCGAGCCGAAAAAGAGCCCAAAGAGATCTCCTAACGACCTCCCCAAATGCAACCATTGATATGATCCATGGATTGAAAGCAGGTATGGTCCAACTAAACCGAAGGGCAGCGTTGGCAAAGATCAGCAAATAATAGGGAAATCTCCTTCCACCGCCAACCAATAACCCTTTTTTTCGAAGCAGAAATGTGCCACTTGCTTGCAATGCGAATCCCCAATCCATAACCATGTCCCAATAAAGAGAAAATAATGTTGAAAGCAAAGAAAACACGACCCTAAACGCATAAAAAAGCATCGACTAACCAAATGCACCAAAGCCATTGCGATGGTGAGGTTGGAAACACCGAAAATATGGTAGCAAGCAATGCAAGCGAATACTTCAATGCATTCAAAAGATGAATCTTTGATTTGCTTACATTTTCATCCAAGTACCGACGAAGAGATTGTAAAATTCGGAACGTGGGAGGAATTGCTATCAGCAAAATCAGCGCTATTTTGTAATTGAGAGAGCTAGCCCACAATTCTTTGATGGACGAGATATTTGGGTTCTAAAAGCAAATGTTAAAATATGGCTCTCTACCTGGTATAATGTAAATATCAAAACCGGCACACGAAAAACAATTCCAAGACTCATAAGTGCATCTCCAAAGAAGAAATGCCTAAACCTAATGGGCCCTCTGAGAAGCGAAAAAATACTTTCGCTAAAAAGGCGGATCACATATGTGCGAGCGGATGAATAAAAACGAATTGGGAACGCTATTACAGTCAACACTACCAAATATGAAAGGAACAACGCCGTCATCAAGCTAATTTTGGAGAGCATAATCAACCCGAAAATAACGATAAAAGTGATAAAGGAGAGCAATTCTGCTCTCTGCGGTACTGAGAGTGTGTCTCTGGGGTCTAACTGGAAAATAAATCCATAAGAGATATGAGAAAACGAACAATAAAGCTCAACAATCAGAAATCCCCAAAATAGAGCCAATGGCAAACCTACGGAAAGGAAGGAAAGAAGCAAAAATATTTGATCATTGAAAAAAGTGGTTGCAAAGACGAACAGAAGGACGCAGGAGGCGCCCAAATAAAAGCCCCCCATAAATGAAGAGCGATGATGAAGTCTTCCTCCAAGATAATGGATATCGGAAGGAAGTCGAAGCGCTAGCATCGCCATATGCCTGTCTCCGGAAGCAAAATGGGACGTATAAATATTCTAAATGTTAAACGCGCATCATTTTGTACCTCCAGTTCTAAGATAAGCTCGTTAAGCAGCGGTTGTGTGGAAAAAATTCTGCGTTTCCCAAGAGCCTCCATAAACGTAGCCGTATATGATCTATAGGTGACCTATGCGTAAATGCAAGGCCAAGTACCTTGTCAAACTTTTTTATAATTTTACGAAACCCAATCTTGTTTAGACGTCTATATGCCCCTAGAAGTAAGAAGCCTCTATACATCTCAAGATATGCTCTTCGTAGCTGTTCAATGCGTTTCCGAGACGTGCTGATAGAACTCTCCCTCAACGCCAGCTGAAGAGAAAGCTTTGATTGGCGAAACTCTTCTTCTTTTTCAGAGTAAAATGTATCTACTTTGATGAGTTCCTTTTCGAGTTGAGACAAGAAGATTTGCTCCTTTAAGGAAAGAGGCGAATAGTTTGAAATAGAAGAAGAAAGATCGGGAGAAGAATCTGGGCGCAAAGAGTACGGGACCTGCTTCAAAAGAACCTTGAGCGAGTTGTAGTCAATGTACATACTCTGCCACTCATTAATGGCCTCCCGTTTTAGTTGTTCTCCAAATTTCATACCCTTGAAATGAAAATATTCCCAAAAATGTTACATAACCTAAAGTGCATCAATAAAAATTTACAAATTGGACTGCAGTCCAATCTGGTCCTCGACAATCCATAAAAATTAACGCCATCTTCAACATTGCATTTTGCTGCCAAATTACACATTTGCAGATCTGATGATCAGGAAACAAAAAAGAAGCCCACTCAAAAATAGCGTCGCTGAACGACTAGATGCAGCTCTTTACTTGGAAATAATCAATCGCGTATCTAGGAGGGCCCACGCAGCATAAGATTTATAGAAAAATGATCATTAGATTTACTAATGTGCTAGTAAACGATTTAAATAAAGGTTTTCAGATATTTCAACTCTTTCAATATCTCGGAAATGGTTTCCAAACGAAGCCGATATCTTTTCAATCTTCAGGTTATCTAGACGTTTCTTCCCGATTTCGAAACTTACTTGGTTGCTCCACATGCCGGTTTCATATTTTCAATCTCATTCAATGATGAGACCGTTTTTCCGTTGCTCTAATTATCGGGATAGCATTTACAATATTCAGCCCATTTTATATGGCATACCTAGCTATTAGCTGCTGCCATTCAGATTAATATCCCGAATTTGGGCTTTGAAATTTTAATTTTAATCGTGGCATCGGTTTAGTGCTCACGGCCATACAAAGGCGTTTACATTTTAATTTGTTGAGCTCATTAATCCGATTTTTTGAATTTTATGCTTCCATATCGGAATGAAGAGGTACCACCTCGGCATGCGCCCAGTAGATCTCCAACGGCTCCCGGAACGTCGCCAGCATTATTATCAACGCCGGAATTGGCTTCATCCGCATCAATGCCTGGCTCGCCATCGTGGATGCCTTCCGAGTCGGGCGATGAAGAGACTGGTTCCAATACTCATTCATTAATAACGTTAACAGGTTCGATTCCTGAGTCGCACGAAAATGAAATGCTCATTTCTTTAAAAAATCGACAAAGGAAAGAGAAGGTTGACCATTTCTTTTTCATGATGTAGCGATTCTTCCAGTTCGGGGCCCGTCCAAAAACCGATCGCAATCAGGAAGTTGTGCGCATCATATCCGTAGGAGGAACCCCCGCCAAGATCCCCTCAACCAAATTCGCCCCAAATATTGTGTGCAATCAAAAATATAACCTGATGACGTTCATTCCGCTAGTCTTTTACGAACAGGTACTCGCTAGCCGATCACAAATGATAACATAGTTTCACTCGTTTTTGAATTTGTATTTTCTTGTGGTATGCATTTCGCAGTTTTTCCCACAATTTGCTGTGGGCCCCATTTTTACCTATGTTGCTCCGTTGGCATTTGTTCTAATGCTGACCACTATTAAAGAGGGGTTGGATGACTATGGGCGTCTTCGGCGCGATGCCATTGCCAATTCGCAATTATATACGAGAATCTCTCTCAAAAAAAGCCCGGAAACCTCAAAATCCTCAGGGGCGCATTCGCCGAATCCAGGCGTGCTCGAATCGATCCCGTCGTCCCAGATATGTGTCGGTGATATTCTTCAGATCGAGCGAGATCAACGTGTACCTGCAGACATGATTCTACTCCAGACTTCGGATCGAAGCACTGGAACTACTTTCATTCGCACAGACCAACTTGATGGTGAGATCGACTGGAAACTGCGGCTAGCGGTACCATTGACACAGCAGTGTCCCTCTTTACGTGCTTTTCTTCAAGAGCGAGGCATTGAAGTACACGCAGAATTACCTTCAAAGGATCCGCATAGCTTCCAGGGTACCATCGCTGCCCGTGGCAGCAGCGCTGCAGAGCCCTTGGGCGTCGAGAATACGATGTGGATGAATACAGTGTTGGCTGCAGGAACCGCTATCGGGGTAGTCATATATACAGGTAGAGACACCCGAGCGGTGATGAACACCTCCACCTCGTCTACCAAGTGGGGATTGATCGATATCGAACTGAATTCCATTGCAAAGGTGCTGTTTATGATTTCCCTGGCAATGTCGTTAATGATGGTTGGATTGAAGGGCTGGACGGGGCCGTGGGTGATTTATCTTGTACGCTTTTTTATTCTCTTCTCATCTATCATCCCGTTAAGCTTGCGGGTGAACCTAGACATGGCACGCATGTTCTATGCGCGGCAGATCGCTGCCAGAAATAAAGACGAGCGTTTAGTTGGCGAGATCATTGTTCGAAACACTTCTATTGCAGAAGAGCTAGGGCGTGTGGGCTTTCTACTATCTGACAAAACAGGAACATTGACAAAAAATGTCATGGTAATGCGCAAGTTGCACCTTGGCACACTCTGTTTCGCGACAGAGTCTTTTCCAGAGATTTCACAACATTTGGTACACTACGCTCTGGGTGCATCGGGAGCGCCTTCACTAAGCACCCCCATATCCCCTCAGTGCACTAGTCCTGTATTATCCACTGGTCCTATTCCGATCTTAAATTCGCAGGCCGTAGGTTCAATAGCTCATACGCATGCGTATGTGCGACGTGGACGTCGTGACATGAGTGCACGCGTTCACGACTTGGTCCAGGCATTGGCTCTTTGCCACAATGTTACTACGGCCGGGGGCGAAGATTCCACACCGTCTGGCAGTGAAATAGCTTATCAGGCCTCTTCGCCAGATGAGATAGCTATCGTCAACTGGACACGCAGCGTAGGATTAGTACTTGTTGCCCGTAATCGAGAGGCAATGGTCCTGCGACGCGAGGCTGATGGATCATTGCTTACCTATTCCATCATTACACTTTTTCCGTTTTCTTCAGAAGCGAAACGCATGGGCATCATTGTGCGTGAAACCTCTACAGGTGAAATTTTCTTCTTCCTCAAAGGCGCTGACATGGCTATGACACCGCTGCTCGCACCCTTGCGTAACACCGATTGGTTGCAGGAGGAGTGTGATAACATGGCACGCGAAGGTCTACGCACGTTGGTGGTGGCTCGCCGGCGGCTTTCAGAAGAACAACTCGCAGCCTTTTTGGCACGCTATGCTGAGGCATCTTTAGTACTGAGCGACAGGGCAGCAGCAAAGCAACAGGTTGTCCGTCAACATTTAGAGACAGAGCTCGAGTTGCTGGGCATCACTGGTGTTGAAGATCGGCTGCAAGATGATGTACGTGTGACGCTGGAGAGTCTACGCAACGCCGGTATTCGCATATGGATGCTTACGGGGGACAAGGTTGAAACAGCAACATCAATTGGCATCTCCTCAAAGTTGATTGCGCGTGGCCAAATGGTGGTGCCAGTGCCACGGCTACAGACGGCAGAAGAAGCACAGGCACTCTGCGAGCTTATGGCGGCGCGATCAGAGGCAGCTTTTGTGATCGATGGGGCAGCTCTACAATTAGTACTAGGTACGCCCACACTTGCTACCCAGTTCATTACTGCTGCTGCGCGAATGGCAACGCTGATCTGTTGTCGCTGCACACCGCAGCAAAAAGCGCATGTGGCGACACTATTGAAGCAACATACACGGGCTTTGCGTGTATGTTGCATCGGAGATGGAGGCAACGATGTCAGCATGATCCAGGCGGCAGATATTGGCATTGGGTTGGTTGGCCGTGAAGGCATGCAGGCATCATTGGCCGCAGATTATTCGCTGGAGCGCTTCTGCGATCTTTCGCGTCTTCTTTGTAAGCACAATTTTTTACTTTAGTGTGGCATGGGCGTTGTGCATATAAGCGCACATCCAAGCTCAGCCAGTTCGTCATCCACCGTGGTTTCATCATTTCGGTGCTACAGGCGGTTTTTTCATCGCTCTTCTATTTCTCACCCATCGCGCTCTATCAAGGAGTGCTAGCAATTGGTTACTCGACGCTGTTCACGACATTTCCTGTCTTTTCGTTGGTGCTCGATACAGATATTCGGGAAGATCTGGCTATACTCTACCCGGAGCTCTATAAGGAGTTGGCAAAAGGCCGCGCGCTATGCTTCCGCTCACTCTTCCAATGGATCATGGTTTCGCTCTACCAAGGTGGCATCATCATTTTTTTAGCGCTTTGGCTTTTCGAAACAGACTTCATCCACATCGTGGCAATCTCGTTTTCTGCATTACTTTTTAACGAGCTACTGATGGTGGCTCTGCAGCTCAACGAATGGAATCGGTTCATGATACTTTCAGAAATCTTTTCCGTGCTTTGCTATGTGGCCACCGTGCATGCGCTGAGCGGCCATTTTGGTAAGTAGAACCTCTTGATTCATGTACTTTTGTTTTGGGTCGCTTTTTTGATGCGCGCCTACACAAGCTTTAGTGCATGTCGTTTTTGTGCTGCTTGTTTTCCTTTTACGTCTTATTGTTCACGTTATCGGACTGTTTTGTGCACGCTTACACTAGATCCTCTGTTCATTTCATCGCCGACGTTTCTATGGAAGGTCTCATTCATCACCGTGGTGTCCTTCCTGCCGTTGCTGCTGATAAAGGTAGTGCAGCGCGTCGTCTCGCCACCAAACTACGCCAAGCTTTCATAGAATAAACGATTATATAAAAAACGCTACTGCATGTGTCGCTTGCAATTCGGATTCTCGTTGGAATGTGATCGAGAGGTCACTTTTACTGATAAGCGTCCAAACGTCGAATGTAATGTGCACGGACCTCCCGACTCGGTTCATTCAAGGGGACCGGAATGGCATCCCACTTTAATAGCAACTGTGTAGCCTGCTGCACGCATGTTGCACTCACACGGGTGCTGTCGCCTTCATTACCATCAATATCATGAATAGCCGAACATTGGAGTGCTAGAAACTCATTGGTCTCATTTACCAATAAAAGAACTTCTTGTGGAAAGCATTTGATGACCGACGCAGCGGGAGGCGGGGTGTTTCCCCGAAAGCCGCAAAAGCGTTCGCTGGAAGCGACCAGCGCAAGAGAGTCCATAGAGTTTGGAGACTCTGAGCTGCAGAAGGTGGAAATTAATACAGTAGAAGAGTCATTAATAAGGGCTGCAGGTTAACAAAATTGGTGGTTACCTCCGCCCTCCTTCGTATGGAGCAACAAGGGTTCGCCCAATTGAATATACAACTGCTCGCAGACCTTCTGGATAGAAAGTGCTGTTGTTATGATCTCTTCAAATATGGGCACGCTTGGATTAAACGCAAGGCACCTAAAGCCGTGGATACTGCATTGTTTCTCCACACAGAGCAGTGTCATCTGGATGCAATTGGACCGTCAAATTGGAGCTGGATACAAATTATTAATTTCTTTTTGGGATTGAAATTCGAATTTTATTTCCTCTGCATCGATTGATGGCTACGCCCAAGCGCAACATGCTACGCAACTCACGAAGCGACTCTTCAGAAGAAGAAGACGGGGCAGTTGTTCTTATAAACTTTCCACCAAAGTTGCCAAACACTGGCATTGCTAATAAGTTTGGGCCTCTTTTTGCATCATCCACATCCGCATCTGTGGCCATTACTGTTGATGGATTCGTTTCAGACGAGAATGAGGATCAAGATGGAGAAGTACCAAAGGAACGTCGTGTCAGCTCTGGTTCTCTTAATGCTAACCTAAACACCCTAGACACCGATGCTAACCCCATGTATATGTTCAATAATGAGGATGCAGAATTTCTTTCGCTGTATGCTGACGAAGTCCCTATAAGAAATCCTAACCTTCCATGTTGCAGCGAAGACGAGGAAGACCTTCTCATTGAAGATTCTATTGATAGATTTGCTATTGAGAATGATTCAAAACACGATACCCAGTCCTATCTTGCTGAAGAAGATCTAGATGAGGAGGTTGAAAGATGGGAATCGGCGAGGGCAATTCATGGCCAAGGCACTGGTGTATATGATGCATCTATTCTGGAAAATACACACTCATCGACTGCTTCTCAACTGTTTGATCCCACTCGCACCTATGATGGGCACAATGCCCATCAACCCCTCAGACTGAAAGCAAATCATCGTGGTAGCCGATCCTTTGCCTCCTTTTCGACCTCCACCATTGATGTAGAGGAAAATGAACATATTTTGAGTGGAATTTGTGCGTTTTCTACCAAAACACTTTCTCGTCTCAACGACCAGCTCCATTCTCTCAACTCCAGAGTGTTGGGTATACAGAAGCGAATCCAGGAGCTGCAGAAAAGTTTCTAACCATATCTTTGATGCCCTGGGGCTGTAAAATTTATCGGTCTTATGCAAGAAGATTGCGCGATGCTCTCTTCCCGATGTATAAATAGCCCCATCTGATGCCTATATTCCTAAAATCCAGTCATACAACCTTGGCATTTTATTAATTTGTTATTGTGTGTACACATGCCTTTTCAGATGTGCGGATGAGAATTTGTCGTGTACATATAGTCCATGGTAACCATAAGAAATGAGCTAACGAAGCATCTGATCCAAGGATGGCAGTATGCGAGCAGGGCCGTGCCTGCAGTAGCAAAAAGCGCATTGGTGGAGAGAAAATTTGAAGTCATGTAAAAGGATATAAATGCGAAAATCAATATCATCCACCGCAAGATGATATGAGCGAGATCCTCCTCCAGCATATAGTATGCGAGCGTGCATAGAAGTTGATCAACGGCGTCCGCAAAATCGCCCATCATGTTTTGCAGTTCCGTCATATTCCTTCGAATGGGAATGTCTATCTCGAGGGCCTTACGGAGAGATTTGACACTGTTCAAGGCAGATTCGCTCTCAACAACCGGTACGCTGGATGCTGGGAATTCATATTTTATAGCCTTCAGAAATACTTGAAACGAAAAAAGAGCAAACAGCAGAAGGAAGGGAATATATAGAATAAATTTGGGATAGAAACATATGAATACATAGAAGGCCACGGTGGGTATGAAGAGCAGCATATTGAATTCGCTAAACATTTCCGAAAGCGATGCTTTGGCATCAAAAAGGGGGCCTGAAGGGAAATGAAAGTGATCACATACCAATTCTATAAAGCATCCGTATAAAGTTCATCGGCAAAGTAGTGATCAAGTTCAGCTTTGCTGCTTTGCGCGATTTGCAGCGAGAAACCTTGTATGCTATGGCAGTTTTGTACAGGGTCTTTTGGAAAAAGGACATTTGCAGTTCTGAGGTTCCGCCGGAAAGTGGGGGTGCAAACGGGAAAGATGATCCCAGCTGCGTGGATGAGGTGGATGGAAACACTTCTTTTGATGGAGGCAATAGGCCATCTTGGGAAATGTTTGAGCTTTGAAAGACTTGTTCAACCCAATTGAGGGTTTCATCGAGAGTTAGTGGATCCAGATTTAGCAGTGCGTCGGATCGCGATGGCTCAAGAAAAGATGCTGAATTGGATATTTCTTTTGTCGAGAGAGATATGCAATAATAGTGAAGGGTGCTAAGACAACCTAAAAAAATCAAAAGCCAACATTACTTTTACATCTGACCCCTTGGCGATATACCCCCCACATCAATGAAGCGCAATGATCGCAATAAGTTGGCTTGATAAAAGTACACGGGAGAAACACGTGGTTGCAGCTTTTGGTACATTGTGTTTCCCTTGAGCTATCCGCAGTTGGAGGGCTTTCTCCACTATCAGATGCAAGGGTTTCCAGGCTTTGCAGGGATGGTGTCGCTAGGTCTTTGAAAATGAGGGGTTGAACCTCCTCATTGCAGATTGAGGGATCGGTTTCCTTGTCGCCACAATATATGTGGTCCATTTCTTCGCTCAACATATTGCCCAAAGACATGTGGGGAATATTTTAAATTTTGCAGAACAAATATATGCATGTGGTTGAGATTGAATATGTCACTAAACCTAAAATTTTCATGTTTGGAATTTCAAAAAACTGCAGCGTGGTTAATATGCATTTCTTTCAACTAAACTTGAGACCTGCATTTTCAAAATTGGGAGCATTTTGCCGGGGTGCGTGCTGTTTAAATAAATACGCAAAATGCCGAATGGCTCGAAACACATGTACGTACTCCAATTAAACATTAGGTTTTTATGAAAATGCAGACCGAGTGCGGTGCAAACATGTAAACTTGGGCTTCCCAAAGCAGCATGCAATATAATTAATGCAAATTTTAATTTAATTGAACTATTGACTGGTAAACCACCAATCACGCCGACGTCTTTTTCATATATCTAAGCAACGTTTTTTGATTAAGCTCCTTTGGTATTAAGTAGATTTTCTACAAATATATAATTAGATCCTGTGTTTTCCTAATGCTATTTTGCCACGAACCGCATCTTTATTAATGATTTTTATTTATTCATCAGACTCACATCCAACCAGCATGGACAAAATATTTAACCTTCCTCTTACGCTTTTCCGGGATTTTGATTCAGAAAAAACTAAATTAGATATAGAGGTTGATGAGGTCTCCCCTACAAATGAATCTTTGCTTGATTTCCGGACACAAGCATATGAGGAGGAATCACTATCCAATTCGACCTCCCAGGCTGATTCATATACGAATTCCTCGTCCTCTATAGATCCCCTGCGGAAAAACACCAGAAAATTTTACCAAGTTAAGCCCCAGGCGGAAATTACAGAGTTTTTTACGTGATTTATTTATTTATTTGTAGTAATTTTGACCCCTTTCCCGTGCATCCAAACTTCTGCATTGTCGAGGTTAAAAGGGCCAGGCGAATCAAGAAATGGAGCAGGATGCTCGCAAGATCCACCCCGCTTACAAAACAGAAAAAATTCATCAGCAGGCTTGTAAAGGGAATACCGGACACCAAAAGGCCGCCCATCTGGTCGATTTTGCTTTCAGAGGGAGAGTTTTCTTCTTTTGATTGGATAGCCACCAATCGGCCAGATGTTCCCGTTGATTCTATAACCGATTTTGCATATTTCAATGCGCTATATCACCTTCCCTCTGAATATGAGAAGCAGATTGATCTTGACATCAGTAGGACGATGAGAAACAGTTGCCTCTTCAGCGAAAGATACGGAATTGGGCAATCCGCCTTATTTAAAATATTGGTAGCTCTTGCAAATGCTATTCCAACAGTCGGCTATTGCCAGGGAATGTCTTCGGTGTGTGGATTTCTGCTGTCATATCTTCAAGATGACCACACCACTTTCAAGGCCATTTTATATATGTTTGGACGCGATTCGTTGACAAATTTGTATTCTTCAGGATTTCCGAAGCTATTTGAAACTTTTAGCATGCACGACCGGCTGCTGCAAACGCTATGTCCAAAGCTTTGGAGATATTTTGTAAGAGTTATAAATTTTGTTATTTATAGAGCGATTTACACATTACGTCAAGCACGTACGCCACAAAATGGTATTTGATGCTTTTCCTGTGCTTTTCAAAGGCTTTGAGTGTGAGGATATGGGATTTGTATTTATTTTATGGCTTTGAGATATTTATCCACTCGAGCGTCTCTGTGTTGCAAGTATTTTCACGTAGGCTTGATATCGCTAATGAATTTAGGCAAGCTATCAAGGCTTTCGTTTGACGAGGCCATGTATGAGCTCTCCTCTTGCTTTGAAAAGGACCTTGGCGAGGGCAGTATTAAGCGATTTGAGCTGATCGATGCCATTTGTAGACGGTCGCTTTCGTCGTTTAAAAGATTTAGAATATCTACCTCAGCATCACTTCCCATCCCGTCATCAATAGATGAGTTTGTCAGTCTAAATCTGGAAGGATCTGGAGAAAACTCTTTCAGCGGAAGCGCTGAAAACGAGATCACTTAACTTAATAAATATATTAACTTATCATCGGGCTCTCGATATGATAAAGTGCCTGGGTTAAGGTTAGTTGGCAATTTAAATTTATCGACAAACGTCTTTTTGTGCGCCTTAAATTGAATGCGGCATTAGCAGAGTACGCGAGGTCGGTCACATCCAGCCGGTCCGACACAAAATAAAGGAAATTCAAATTTATTGGGATACTGTCAATGAGCCAACTAGCCCTTTTACAGGCCAAAATACTTTTTTATTGCGTTCCAGTAATACTCGTTCCAGTTATTTTTTATGGCTTCAATGTCGGAGCCAGGAATGTTTTTTTGGGACATTTGGAGCATAGTTCCTCGACGTCCATTTACATCTTCGGAAAGGCGAATTTGCACTTTGGAAAAGTGATCCTTTGGCCATGTGGTGAATCTCCAGTCCATCTCAATAAAAAGCTGCTCAACATCCAAGCTAGTGCATCTAAATGTAACGCTGGAGTCAAATAAATGGTATGTTTGCCCAAGTGCAATGGAAGAATCTGACGTAATAGGTGGCGAAGATGTCCAGATCGAGATTCTTGATGGGAGTGTAAGGATATCGAAGAGCGTTTTAGGGTCTGTCATAAAATATTCCTTTTGAGAGATGCTTCCAGTTACAAACGGCGCTTCAGACTGTGGGAGGGACTGTTCGTTTGATGACCAGGATTTGAAGGTTAGCTCGACATCTTTGTTGGCCGCGTCACATTGCCGTTGCTGTACCGCTTGATCGCCCACAAGCACAGAAGGTCCTTGAGATTTTTCCAAGTCCTCTCTGAATCTCTTTAGAATATTGAAAAAGGGGACTCTCATAATGGAGGAAACCTTGGATCGAAAAATAGCATTTTCGTTCGTATCTTCATTTAAGGTCAGCTTAAAGAAAATATCTTCAGGCGATTTGATTTCGTTGCTAAATTCGTCGATGCGGAATGAGCCGGAACATTTTTTAGACTTGTCATTGGTTTCGGCTACAAATAAAGAGGACATCAGTACCTTTCCAAAAGCCGCTTATTTTAAGCTCAAAGAAATAAAATAGTTTCCCCTTGCGTTGATTCACATTGACATCCCCATCAATGGTGTCCAGTTTCTTGATCTTGACCATGGCTTCTGAATCTGAAGAGATAAAGTTCTGAAATACTCTCCGAAGATAATCCTCTGCCCAGGGGAAGCAATTTTTCTCTACCCAATGCCAATTGTTAACATTTTTCCAGTTGGCTTGCGGGGCAGGGGAAGCCTCGAGCGAAGGGGAAATATCCGATGCGCAAGAATCTGACGATGCAGCAGAGATGGTCATTGTTGAAATAATAAAAATACCCCCATTTTATGTAGCAAATTTTCTAGAAAATTCTCGATTTTCATGGCCAGTGATGATCCTTTTCAGCTGCTACCCTTTGTTGCCTTTGAGGCGATCTTGGTTCATTTGAAGGTCACCCAAGAATCTTTGATTGATACCAAGGCATTGACCACACATGAATAGTACCTATCCCCTATGGACTTATCCAATTTAGCCCTATATTTGTATCTTGGTATTCAGGCAATGGAGCTTTGAGGGGATGTATCGGGACATTCAAATCTTGCTCACTATCAAAAGCAATCAGGATTTTTTCCATCAAAAGCGCCTTTGAGGATTGCCGATTTTCTGGAATCTCCATAGCCGAGGTGGAAACCCTAAGTTGCCAGGTTTCGGTGTTGGTCGACTTTGAGCCTGCACTGCATGCTTTCGATTGGGAGGTACAGTACGCTCACTGAAATTGAAAGGATGGCGTTCACGGACTGCAAATATCCTTCTCCTTTGAAAAACAAAGCTACACTTCTACTTTCCTGCCCAACGTGTCGACTCTTCAGGGTTCTAAATTTCTTTTATTTTAGGATGGAGTCCCATGGAAACTATCCATCAATTGATTAGAAAGACCTGATTTCGAGGGCAAATAAATAACTCACTAATTAGGAAGCTGATGGTAACAAGATACAAATCCAAGAAATATGAGGCGACTTACTGGGACTATTTGAAGCACCTCTCTGCATAAGCCAATCTGCTACCAAGGTGCTCTTTTTTCAAACCCATCCGATCCCATCCCACAGCATACTATGTCGGAGCAGATCATCTCATTATACTTTACTTTTCAAAAATCGATTATGCTAAAAAACGTAACGGACCGTGTCAACAAATAAAAAATTGCTCGCTTGATATGGCAAATGCGGTAATAAAGCGTTTTCCAGTCCGAGTCTACGTCCAGTCTTAATACCTTGAAGTAAACGAGCCTGAGATAAGACACAAGCTCGCAAGCCAAATAGAGATGTTGTTTGCAGCAAAAACAAACGGTCAGGGAGAAGTGATCTCCCGAATAAAGATACGTTGGGGCGCCCTTATCGAGAGCGCTTAAGCATAGCCCGCATGTCAGCATTTCCTCAGAGGACGGAATCGATTGCCTTTCAAGAGAAATGGAATTTTCAAGGACGCGCAGAAGGATCTGCTTTGGACTGAGCTTGGAATTGCAAAAAGTCAGCAGCTGCTGTAGCTCGTTAAACGGAGAATTCTTTAACAAGAGGTTACACTTTGGTTTGGTAGCGTTGAACAACTCGTTAAGGGTCTTCACATTTCCAAGAAAGGAAAACAAATCTGCAGCAAAGGGGGATTTTTGATGATCTGGGAAAGGCGACTTAGAGGTTGCCATGTCAAGCAGATCTTGGCTTTGCGGCAAATATATGTCCTCCCCCTTTGAGCTATTCGCATTAAGACGCGAAGAGCCCTTTCCTTCCTGAATCCGCAACTCGTCCTTCAGGAAAGCCAACTCGGAACGGAAAAGCTCATTGTAATGCTTATATTCATCAACTTGACGCAATAGGCTTTCACATCTTATTTGGAGAGAAAATGTTTTCTTTACTTCTTCGGCTACGAGGTTGTTAGCCTCCTCAAACAAACTCGTCGTCAAAGCCTGAATTTCATCGTGGATCCCAGATGTGGTGGCGATACCCTCAGATTCGGTTAGTGATTTTGACAGTAAAGTAGACAAGAAAGAAATTTCCTTTCTAAAGCACTTGTATTCTGCGATATCTACAAGCCGAGATTCCTGAGTGTCCTTTTGATGCGGCTCGGATCGCCTTGTGCGAAAATCGGGTACAGAGCAGCTTTTATAAATTGGAATTGCCATGAAAATGAAAAAAGACCGACCAACTGTTTACTGCATTGCATTGCATTGCATTGCATTGCAGTGTAGTATAGTGTAGTATAGTCCAGTGCAGTGCAGTGCAGTGCAGTGTAATACATTCATCAAATTTAAGAGCTTTATTAGTTGAATTTGGGGTTAAGGGATGTAGTGGTATTGCATTTCGCCATCGAAAGTCTCCTCGCTTTTGATAAATTCCTTTTTCAACAGGACTTCGATTCTTGCGAGCAGATGTTCATTCTAAAGTTAGATGATATAATATATCTCACCTCAACAGGAAATTTAATTGAATCAAGGGCCGCTTTAAAAAGCAAGGACTGGGGAAGTGTTTTTTGATGCTTTAAAATTCGTACAATTGCTGCATCGATTTGGTACAAATTTTCAGGCGAAAAAGACTCCAAAGAATCCATTGGGGTGAACGGGTTTTGGTCAACAAATTCATCATATTTCGAATAAATTCCCGTAAGGATGTTGACGAACTCCTGGCCTGCCTGATTAACATTGGGATTTACAGAAAAACAAGCATCTTCCATAAAAAATGTGTCTGATGATTGCAAGATAATTTCTTTTTGAATTAACGATTCAAGAACCAGAGTCAAGTCGTTCTTGGTCAGCCCAGATATCTTCTCAAGCCTAGAAAAAGACAGGCTTTCAGAAGAAAATGCCTCCAATACGATAGCCTGATATGCTGAGCAAAGTAAGGAAAATGTTTTCCCATGTGGACATGTCACTTCAACAATACAGGTCGAATTTTTCAATGAAAATTTGAGATGTCTTCCTTTATTTGCCTCTCTATAGCCATTTGAAAAAGCTCCTATCGCGCTTTCAAAAACGGGGTGTCTTAATATCCTTGCATTCATTTTTGAATCCCCTATTGCGGGCCAAAAATTTGGCGTTAATATGGAGAGCGACGTTGGGATGTCTGACATCTTTAACGGCGACGATGAAGCTGGCGACATGCGGTTCTTGATGATCTTTTTGTATTTGAGAGAGCAAGAAATGTCCCTTAACATGCCCTCTAACTTGAAAGTAAATGAGAGCCCACATTCACCCTTAAGCTTGAAGATGGTATACTTTTCCAATGGGATGTTCAGCGGAGAAACATTTGAGCAATCGGATTCTAAAAACATGAATCCAAGCAGCAAGCGCCTAGCAAGCTGGGCCTTGTAAAAGATTTCAAAATCCTGCTTGCCCTGAATGAGGCGAAAGATGTAGAGCGCTTTGTCGATTTGGTGGACTGCATTTTCATACTCTGTGCTAGCGAGGGGAAATTCGGAGTGATTGGCTTCAATTATTGCAGACAAATATCGGACAAGAAGAAAAGATACCAACTTTTTAGAGGAATTGATCGAGGCTGACAAGGCGCCTTTTAAAGCATTCGAAATCTGGGGATCATTATCAAAACAGCTCTTGACAATGTCATCAACAAGGCTTATCGCCTTAATTAGATCTGGGATTATTTTCCAGGGCGAAGCTATCTGGATCTGTGAAAGAATATTCTGATAGCGAAGCTATGGGATTAACAGGCTGAAATACCTTGATTAATGATGATAAGCGAGAGCTCAGCGTAGCAATGTTTTTCGTTTCAAACAAAAATTTATAAAACAATGCCAAGGATCCAAAATCCCTGGCCTCCATTAGCGGCTGGAATCCATGCTCAAAAAAAGAATTTAACCGCTGGGTCACGAAAATATTCAAACAGGAGCTCATTAATTGTTCTTGCATTTTCACATCAAGAAAGGAAGAAAGAATGCCAGTTTCTTTGGAAAGGAATGAATGGGTTAGCTCCAAATAGTTGCCCATATCATTGGATGCAAAATGCTTTTCAGAAAGTTCAGTATAGTAATTGCCGCTGGCCTCGCAAATCTTTGGAAATAAATGCACTTCACATAGATGAAGAGATGAAAAAAACGACATAACGAATGAAATTGAGCTCAAATGCGCCAGATCGGCGCCATTGGAGTCTCTAAAAATAAATGTAAGGCCAGCACCAACCTGTATTTTCGAAGAGCTCGCAAAAAAGATTCCAAAATTAGGTCAATAGAAGACTGCTCAGCTAAAAGGAGCGACCTATAGGTATCGATGGCCAGGGTCCTATCATTAAAAGCTGGCATTACCACACTGAAGGAGATTGCAGGCCGGGATTGATTTTAGGAAGCATCACTTGACTGAAGTAGATAAAGACTTTGCAGATTGTTTTCTAAATTAAAGGGATATGATGCTACGATTTTCCTGCAATAAGATTCCCATGAATGTTTGAGAGAAGGAATCACACACCCCTCAGCGCTTGAACATGGCATGTTTGGTTTCAACACATCAACCGCTTCGAGGGCAAGTGTTTGAAGCTCAGAATTTAGCAAAGAATATAGGTTTTCAGTGTCATTTCGGTGGCAAGAAAGACGAATGAGCTACAAATGAGAAAGTCAAAAAATGACCTTATAAATCTCCTCATATTTACAGGTGAAAGATCTTCCGGCGTCATCCAGCGTGCCTATAAATGATTTTATCTTTGGTGCTATAGATGATGCAAATGACAGCGCAGGCGAGTCCTCAAATATTGGAGAAAGATCCAAAATCGGATGAAACATAAAATGAAAATGGAGAAAAAGCAACTTTTTGCAATTTAATGGCAACACCCGATGGTTGCCAAATTTCACCGGGTTCGTTTTACGGAGACCCGTTACAGTATTTTGCCACACTCCCCATGTAGATCCACGCAATCTGGCAGGTTCAAACGGCTACTTGAAAATGTGGCGTCATTGAGACAAAAGTATGGTGCCTCCATAGCCCTATCCGAGAAAGATGTCACAACTATTTCTAAGACATCGGCATTAGAACTCTTTTCAAAGAAGCATGGAAACCGCCACACACTGGATCCAAATATGGTTTTTTCTCGCCAAAGCTCAGCTCTCTATTTTGTTAGGTTGTCTTCGGATTTATTAAAAGTATTTTCTTTTGACCATCCCCTATCGCATTCTCAGGACTCGTTTCGTAAATATTTGGTTTCAAGGTAAGGATCGATATTTGTCATTCATAGCTATGAGTACTTTTTCCATGCCTATTAGTAAGCCAATATTCTGATCCGATAGCAATTACATAGATGAGAGACATTTTTACGAACTTATTCCGGAAGGTTCTCCATGTAAGCTTTATTTTGATATTGAATACTGCGTTGCATCAAATCCATCAGTCGATGGGGAACGCACGATTTTTGAGTTCAAAAAGGTACGCTTGGCCCCATTTTCACTCTCAAGTACGTTAAAAGCCGACTCAAGGTGTGCTTTAATGTCACGGTCGATGTAATTGTTGATTTGTAAGATCAAATGCATATTAATATTCATAGAGAATCGACCACTTGTGAAAAGTTTTCAAGGCACCTGATTTTCAATCTCAATCATGGGACCCTTTGGAAGAACAATTTTGAAGTGGGATGCTTTGTGAAACATCTGATGTCCACCATCCCTCAAGACTTGATTTCTTTTTTTGTTGTAAATGGCCCCTCTTTTGAACCACAAAGGGTCTGCATAGTAGACCAAGGTATTTTGCTACCTTCACTATATTTGCAGCTGTGTATTCCAAAAATCGGACGTTTAGGATATGGCTGTCATCGAAACTTGGAAAAAAGGCCATCTTCGCACCTGCCGATAGCGATACAAGGAAATTGCTTTTAAGCAAAGGCCCATACACCTTTTTTTTATACTCTCTAATATGTGCGCCAATTACTTCAGAAAGTTCTCGTGGTAGCGAGAAGACGGAAACCTACCTCTCTTTTTTTCCAGATACCGAAGCCCATAACACCAGTTCTTCATTTGGCGCCAAAATTCGCCCCTTCTCGGTTCAACCATCCCCGTCATCTTCGGCATCGGTAGCATGCTCGAAAAGCCCATTTCCATTGCTAGATGCCTTTCTCCTTAAAAAGGCAACTAATGATATGGACATTGGCAAAGAAATTCTCATTAGGCGGTGTAAGTTGGACATACACGTTAGTGAAAACTACGATGTAGCAAGCATATTTCTCACATATGATTTGACGGGATATCGATTTTGTGACCTTGTAAATCGAACACATCGCTCAAACCATGTAAAATTACAAGTCCTTATTGAGGGCCCATGGGCGATATTTAAAGAATTTGCCGTGGCGTCGACATCTGATCGGTTGCTGTCATCATTGATGGCTGGAACAGTGCCGCCATCTTTTTCAGTATCCTGTGTGAGAAGATGTATGGATCCCCTGTGTCGAGAAATTATCTCTTCAGATGTAAACAGAATGGTGTTGAGTGCAGATCTTTTGTACACAACGCCAGAGCTATTTAAGCCCATCTGTTCCCAAATCATTCAAATCGAAAAGAGGGCATTTAACCCGGAAAAGGATCCATTTCTAATAGATGGAGACGACATTTTGCTCATTGACACAAATATTTAATATCGTCCACGGCTAGACCCACGGAAGGAGCCGCTGCCGCCTCGAGAGCCCCCTCTACTTCCTCCTTGGCTACCGCGAGAACTAAAGCCGCGAGAGCCTCCACGAGATCCCCCACGGAACCCACCGCTTCCACCGCGAAACCCGCTACCTCCGCCACGACCACGTGCCGCGCCTCCGCGAGCGCTTCCCCCTGCTCCTGGTGCCTTTCTTTTGGAACCAATAGATGGGGTGGCGGATTTGGGTTTTGGCAAAAAGCGCTCTAGCGGCAACAGCTTATCTGTTCCAATAAATATTTTCTGCGTGGGTTTAAAAGAGGTGGCCAAAATGCCCTCCGAAGGTTTGATGGTGAAACACTAAGGGTTGAGGAGCAACAAAAAATTACATAGCCGTTAATGGGACCCAGAATCTCATCTACTTTTCCAATCATGCTCTTGTTTTCCAGAAAAACGGGCGCATTGAAATACGGCACTTTATCGATAGTTGCCTTGCAGACCATTTCTCCTTCGCAGGGATGCATGTATTCGCCCACAGCTAAAGAAAAGATGTGGACATACCATACCTAGTATTTCAGCAGGCGGTCCAAAGTCATCGGAACGGTAAGATCCCTGTCTGTTTGCACCTCCGCCAGAGTATGAAGAACGGCCTCGAGGACGATCAAAAGCCATTTAGCGAAAAGTAAAAAAAACTTTAAATTAAAATCTCCAATGTCTTCTACTGACCCCATAGATCCAAAGGAGCGATTGGAAAATGAATGCGCCCGCACGATCAAGTGTAAGCCCTTCTTTAGAGAATTGGTCAAATGCACCCAAAGGGTGAATAAAGCCAATTCTGAATCTGAATCAACGGAAACTTGCCTTGAAGAGCTTGTTGATTTGACAGAATGTGTTGACAAGTGTGTAGCGCCCCGCCTTTTCAAGCTTTTGAAATAAAACCGCATAGACTGGTATCAATAAAGCCTATTCAAAGGACCTAAAAAGAAGCACATCCTCCATATTTCTGCAGAAATACGAAACGATGCCTAGCAAGTTAATAAGATTGCTTATGCGCTTCTAAGAAACCACCACTGATATAGCGAATCAGAGGCCGCATCTAGACTGCAGCCGATGGCAAAGATACTTATGCGGTATGATATCGATTTTTATTAATAAAGCTGATTTTCTTATCAGCTTTCAAATATACATGACGATGGCCAGCATTTGCACAAACGGTAGCAAGGAAATAACCCCTAGAAATGGCAATCAGCTACTTTTGAGAAGATTGAGTCAATATGAAATAAGAGAGACGATCCCTCACATCGGTGAGGGCATCTCTGCGTGCTTGCATCTGGAGCTGGATGGCAAGCTCCGGGTTTTCCTGTGCAAAGCGAAGAGCAGCAGCAGAAAAGGATTGGCTTCCAGGCACAAGTTGTGAAGAAGACATTGACGAGGCGCGGCCACAAATTCGCTTTTCTGGCAAATCAGATGGCTCGGATGGGAAAATAACAGACGCTGTCAACTGCTCCCCAAAAGCCCCGAGCACTGAGTTCACAATTTCATGATGCAGATAAAGGGCTGCCGTGTCTGCAAGGCGGGCTGCAAGAAGGTTTAAATAAACATCTGGACACTGTGTCATACGTTGAAGATTTCCGGTCAATGGTGAACTTTCTTCAGAAACCGCAGTGGATCCCCCCCAAAAAGGCCACAGCCAGGTACCACCATTTGAAGATGATGTTATTGCGCCACCACAAGAAGAAGACTTTTCAAGAAACGAAATGCGTCGATCCAAAATATCCTTTTCAGAAAACAGAAGAGCTGCCTCAGTTGCACATTCGGCTACAAACGAAGAAAGAGGAAAAGAGGTGGACTCTCTGGTGTGGCGACCAGAAGCGTTTGATGGCAAAGTAGCTGATGAATGCCCTTGGCCATGGATGTTTATCTCATTTTTGGCACCAGGAAGAGCAGAAATAGCTGCTCGAAGCCTTCGGAGCCCTCCAACTTCACTGGCCAGCGTGTTCAAACGAGACTCAATACCATCCAGACGCCGATGAAGATTTTGAAGAAGATCTGTTCTAGATTTTTTCCATTCCTGAGAAGAAAAGTCTGTCCCTCGACGAAAAGGCTTTACAGCCGCCTCTACAGAGAGCGTCAAGGGGCCAAGCTTTGATGCAAGCAGAGATTCACAGGCAGAAGATGCGGCCAAAGAAAGACTTGGATGGAGCTTGAAAAGCGGGTCTTTTTTTGAGAGCTCCTCGACGTGATTTGTCAACACAGCCTTGATATGGTTCATTGAAGCTTTTCCGATGTGGGAGCGTGTTAGCGTCGATATTTCTGAAGCCAAATGAGAACCGGAGGAGATCCTTTCCTTGACGGAACCATCAAGCGTCGAAGATGCCTGGCCAGCTCTCACGGCTTCCAAAAGGGCGCTCTCAAGGGTGGCACGCGAAAATGACGTTGATGCCAAGGATTCCACCTTTGCAGCCGTGGAAGATATAATTTTCGCCAGATACGCGTCTGGAGACACTCGACGGTCATCATCAAACTGGACGCGCATCGCCAATTCGACTTCGGAAAGTTCGTCAGAAACACCCACATACAGGTCTTGAATTCGAGAAAGCATGGCCTTTTCAAGCGCTCCAACAAGCCTAGCTTTGAGGAGAGAAATTCCACCACTAGGAATCTTTGACTCGCCAGAATTGGCAGCCCAAAGCCCAACATACCCCATGGGGAGGGGATAATCAATGGTGTCGTGTGAAAGCATCTCCATTGCTTGTCCAGGGTCTTTGGAGATTAAATCAAGCTTGCTAAGAACCCCAATTGTCCTAAGTCCTTGGGGGTCGGCTTCCCTGGCTGCCTTAAGGGCTTCACTATTGGCAAGATCCACGTCAGCTGAAGAAACAGCAAGAAGAACATTTGGCGCCTGAGTGTAGCGATCAGCAAGCTTCTGTATGCGCTCGCGAAGCTGCGGCGCCTGGTGACGGGATGAGACCTGAATAAATCCTGGGAGATCAACGAGTGAAAGATCCGGCAAATTTGAGGCATGCAGTGACAGGTAAATTGGCGTTTCATCAACTCCAACGGTGTCGTCCACCGCTGCATTCAAGGCTCTAAGCATAGCTTCAACATGTTCCATCGCATACAGGGGCCCAATGGACGACGAGGTGTGGTTGGATGAAGAATTTCCCTCAAACATGGCAAAGGGGCGCAAACATGTTGGATCGTGGACGAGCCTCAAGTGAAGAGGACGCCTGGTTACCATGGCCGCACCGCCTTTAGGAAGAAAAGAGTGACCAATTAAGGCCTCTAGGACACTACTCTTTCCAGCACTTTGGCCACCAAGAACTACAACGCTAGGAAGAGATAGGCGATCCTCCAAACCATGAGCGCGCAGAATCAACTGAACCTCAAGCAGTTGCCTAATAAGGGGCGAAAATTCTGCAGGATCAGAAGAAGTGATAAGGTCCACGGAACCACCGGTTTTTGATGTTTCCCCGGGGTGTGTATATTTGGGTGATGCTTTGGTAGCAGGGACCCATGTTCCTGAAGGTAGCCAGTCAAGAATGCGAGTTCCTAAGGAAGAAAGGCCATCAACAGTGTCGACTGCATAGATAATAATGTTGAAAAATGAATCTTTTGACCACTCAAGAAATTGGTTGACTTTTAATGAAACAAACGCTACGAGAATTCCAGAGGTCCCAAGGAAAATTTTACCGAACGACAAAATGCGTGGTGCTGTATACGCAAATTTGCTGAAGGAAGAGTAGGGAGATGCCAAGAATGGTCTTGAATAAAGGAAAGCGTTCCTATTTTGAGTTTGAAGTCTGTGTCTTGCTAATGGAAGCAAAGAGCCAAAGCACCTGGCACGATGAAACATTGTTACTGCTTTCCAAAAATGCACTATAAAATCTCCAATTTTAAAAAATTGCTCCCAGCTGGGGTCGAACCAGCGGCCTTGGCGTTATTAGCACCACGCTCTAACCAACTGAGCTATGGGAGCACGGTTTGGGTTAAATTTTATTATTTAAATTATCTTTTAAACAGACTGGCAATATTCTTCTCATTGAAATATCACTGCAAAGGCAATCTCTGATTTGTATTTTATCTTTGAATGTGAAAACCGGATCACAATTTGGTCTGCCTGATGGTAATAAATGGAATCAGAATTGATTTTTGCATTGCAGTTCTTTGTATCAACACTAATATAGTTGAACAGTTTATGCCTAACACAATCAGTGCAATATCGATGATCTATCAATGTAATCAGCCTGTATACCTCTGAAAATCAGCTGTTAACCTGTGATAATCTATCGTATTCAAAATGTGCTACTAATACTTACTTTATGGCGTGTTCGATCGATGTTCAATCCTTTTGGGTTTGTTTATTTGTTTACTTGAAAAGGCGACAAATGGACCGATATTTTTAAGATTGGCAGTAAATAAAGCTGCCTTTTCCCAAATTTTTACGATGACTTTTGCTGATTCCCTAGTAATTGGGGGTGGTCCGGCTGGCATTCTAACCATCGCATCATGCCTTGAATACTTTCCGTCGGACCATCGGATTCTGTGGGTCGATCCGGCATTTAAATGTGGCTATTTATCGATGCTTGACAATGTCCCAAGGTACAGATTTCCCATTTCCTGCCCTTAATTTAGCAACACTCGATCCAAATACATTAAACAAAGCGTAAATCATTTTGCATCTATCAAGCCTCTCGTTTTCAAGAAAGGATCGAAACTAACGCAACTGATGGATGGCCTGCATGAAGATGAATTTTACCATTTAAGTCGATATAAAGAGATTTTTCTGGAATTACAAAATGAGCTCTTGGTAGCGTTTCCATCGCGAATCGTTATGAAACAAAGCCTGATTTCAAAATTGGAATACAATAGTGGCGAAGATCTTTGGACGGCTAAAATCGGTGATGGAGATGACGTTTTCTGCAAAAATGTTTTTATTGCAAGTGGCTCTCACCCCAAAGTTGACATTGCAGGGTTTATTCCTCCGTGCGCATCTATTCCTCTTGAAGTTCCCCTTAACGAGGGTCCTGAGCTAAATGAGTTTATTACATCATCAGACATTGTAGCCGTTGTGGGCTCGAGCCACTCGGCTGCCCTGTCGCTTCGAAACCTTTATTCGCTTCCCATCAAACCTTTGCAGATTATTCATATCAGAAATCGCCCGTTTTTGATGGCAATAGAATCCCCAGACAAAGATGTCATTGTCAACGACAATCTTGGCCTGAAAGGCAAGGTTGCAGAGTGGATCTCTGAATTTTATGTCCGTTCGTCTTTGTATCCTCCGATGAAGATTCTCGAGTATGATGAATGCACGTTTGATGCCGCGTTTTTCAAAAAGAACGGCATTACAAAATGCATCCTTGCCATTGGCTATGAAAGAAATTCGCTTCCAAACATCTACATTGACGGCACGGAATTAAATCCAGTTTCAATATTCTCAGAATGTCACACGGCAAATCTCAACGCTGGGTGTGCAAAGATTCCGCGCGTTTACGGGGCTGGAATAGCGTTCCCCCAAAAAATTTATACAAAGGAAGGGTCAACAGAGCTTAACATAGGCATCTGGAAATTTGCAAAACAGCTGAAGGAAACCTTCAAGAATATGTGATGTGTTTAATGGAAGACTAAAGCGGTTGCCGTACGCATTGCTGGATATGAAGCACATGGAAATAAGACCAATATATATACACTGCAGGATAAAATCGTTCACTCCCTGTCCCTCCTTCTCGTCCCGTTTCCGACTACATTAATTTAGGGTTATTGCGATAGATGGTTCCGTGAGATGGCCATGAAAAATACAGGAACGAAAGAGTAGTGATGCCGTTTTTAAGGCAGCCAACGACGCAAAAATTATGGTTAAAGGCAAGGCGCCAAATGGAATCCACATCATTTATGAGATCCCTGATGTGGCGCCCAGATGCGGTCTCCCACATGCGAAGAACTCGATCAGAGCCAGCAACAATGATGGTCGAATTTGCCTGTAAAAAGGCCACCGCAGCAGCGTTGTCGGTTCGTAACCTATGGATACACTCACCAGGCATTTTGATGGCCCAAATCCGCACCGAACCATCCGTAGAAGAAGAGACAAGACGCTCAGAATCGAGAAAGGAAAGCGACCCGATGATGCCTCGCATTCCTATACAATAATAAATTGCACTCAAATGAATACCCTCCAAAATGGACAGACATTGACCGGTCTTGATATCCCAGAGCAAGATGTTCGAATCCATGGCGCCCGTTGCAACCATGTTGTCAAGGATTGCAACAGAGTAAATTTTGGCCATATGCCCTATAAGAACATGGAGGCAATGGCCGGTGCTGATTTCCCATATCCTTGCCGTTGAATCATAAGACCCAGAGACGAGAATGTTTCCATCGACGGCAATACACCGGACCGCCGCCGTATGTCCCTCCAATAAAAATCGAGTGGACATGCTCTCCAAATCCCAAACCCGCAGGGTTGCATCTCTGGAACCCGAAATTGCCAATATAGAATGAGCCCCTGTGAGAGGAGAAGCAACCAACGAGGCGCATCTGACGGTAGAGGAATGTCCTCGAAGAATACCGACACATAACCCTGTCTGGATGTTCCATAGACGAAGTGTACGATCAGTTGAGCCAGATAGGAGCAGATTCCCAATGGAGTGGATGCACCAGACCCCGCCAGTATGGCCAAGCAGTGCAAAAATCACCTTTGGCGGCGAAATCTGCCAAAGAAGCACCGAGCCATCGTCAGAGGCACTAGCAAAGGACGAATCGGAATCCAAAATTTGAAGGCACGTTATAACGGCACGGTTGTGGCATGGAACGTCTATCCGTAAAGGAGGGGCATGGAACCAGGCAAAGCGCATCGACCTTTCGGCCAAAAGATGATCAAAGAATTTTTCAAAACTCCTGCCCTCACCAGGCGAGGAGCAAAAATGGCTGGAAGAGGAGCCGCCTATGGAGTCTTCGTCCAAGTGTTTCCTCCAAAGCTGCTCCATTGGATCGACGAGCTCCCTCCACCGCCGACTAACACATCTTGCAAGTAGCATAGAGTCGGCGTCAAGATGTGTTGCAATTCGTGCGCACATCTCGTAAGGAAGCACAGAAAAGGGATCGACTTTTAGATGTGTCCTTAGTCTGACCACCAGACTGGAAAGCTGTGATTTGGAAATGTTGAGAGGAACTTGGTTGAAAAGAAAGTTGATCCTTTCTGCTGAAGAAGCGCTACAGAAGCTTTGATATAGGTTTGTATTTACAAGGATTAAAGAATCATCTGAACAGATGATTGAGGAAAGGGTATCATTTCCCTCCTGTTTGCCGCCATCATTTTCCTCTTGATCGAGCAGTGGCGCCGGGGAAAGCATTTTTCTTTCCTCAAACAGAGGGGCAAATATCACCGCACCTGCAGGAGGCGGCGTATTGGAGATAAATTGGGAAAGCGTTGTTAATTTATCAAATTGACATCGTGGCAGCGGCTCCCGGGCCGAGTTTCTGGACTTTTTCATGTATTTAAAAATAATATCAACAACAAACCCAAATTATAAAATGGCTCAAGTTTCGGTGTCCAAACGCCAGCCCCCTTTATTCACATTTTAAATTCCAAAAGGATCAAAAACAATTCAATCGCGGACCACTTTGCCCCATCCGCCGCGGCCGGGGTCGTAGTCTTCTCTGTATTCGTCCCGCACCTGACCTCCGCTCTTTCCGCGGCCATACTGGCGCGACTCGCGGAAGCCCGGATCCAAGTCTGCGCGGATGACTCGCTCGTCGACCATGGAGCCATTTATGTACTTGACGCAAGCAAGGGCGCTCTTGTGGAGCCAATACTCGACAAAGCAGAATCCGCACGGGGTCTTGGTGACCCGATCCAACCCCATGATGATGCGCTTGATTTTGCCGGCCTTGGAGAAAACCTCGTAGATTTGTTCCTCTGTGGTGTAAAAGGAGAGGTTTCCCACATAAATTGTGGCTGTTTTTTTCATCAGGCTGTGATACTCGTCATCGGTACCCTGGAAGTACCTGTCCTTGTACTTGGAATGTGTGCACAGTGTGGGCACAAACCTAAGCATCGGGACAAATTAAAATTAAAACCAATTAAATTTCCACTCGTTTTGGGCGAGCAATTCGGCTCGCTTTGGATAAGCAATGGCGATTTATCTATAAAATGGGGAACACATGTGCTCGCAATTAGCGGTCACACGGACAAGCATTGCTATACCAGCTCCGTGGCAGCGGCGGCTGTTCCAAGCACATGGGCCGAGGGGCTATCCCTAAAAATTACCATCGAATTATGAGAACGCTTTCCCCTCTTTCTTTATCAAGGAAATGGCGTTGAGAAATGCAGATATTACAAGAAGACCGCCTGGAATGAGAAGAAAAGTGATGGCAGTCGCAATTGAGGACAAAATAGCGCAAGAAAATCTACAAAAAAACATCATCCGCCGCTACATTGCATAGGCTATTGATCGATAAAGCTGGCTTTTCATGGCCGAAAAGAAGCGGGCAGGAAGCGAACCATCTTTGAAAATACGGCCAAAAACCGGAAATTCCATGATAAAAACGACAACCGAAACGCACCTATTGAAAAGTGATCATTTTGCAGCATTACCATGAAACTATGCAGTAGATGGGGATGTAAGCAATCAGCAGAAACGGAATGCCGATCAGGCCGAAAAGCGATGTTCTGGAAAACCTAGCGATGGGAGGTACAAGCATACCACTGGGCTAGCTGTTTGTATCGAGTTTGGGAGTATGCAATATTTTTTCCAAAGTTGATGGGCATCGCGGTAAAAATTGAAATCAGAAATGGTTGTGTTCCACTTTGATCACTTTGCCTGATCGGATCAACAATTTCGTAAATTTTAACTCTTCCGCGTCAGTAACTCCAATTTGATTTAGCGTGCCTCAAACCCCGTACATTAGGGTTTCAAATGGGATGACATTTAGGGTGCATGTGCACTGCACCTCCAGCCTTTGCAATGTGGGATTCAACAACAAGTTGCCCGGTTTTGTACACAAGTTTGAAATTTTATTGCTGTAGCTCTTTGATCAGTTGGATGGTATGTTGCGGCGAAGCTACGGCGTGTCCAATAACGGAGGGATGGTGGTAAATCTCGTAATCGTTGCCGCCCTACCGATTGGATTAGCATGGGTTTCGTGTATACCTGGGATGTTTTGTCGCCAAAGAAATGGATTTCCTTGAATCCCTCCTTTTCCAGATGCTTCAGACAAAAGGTCTTATCCCAGCCCTTGGGAAAGATATCGATCGAAATTTGGCCGCCAATCGAATATTTGAGGTTGTATTGGGGAAAGGTAGCCTCCAGCTTTTCAATCAATGCTTTCCTGATGGATGTTTTCTATTCCATAAATGGGGCCTGATAACCTTGTCCAGGGCCTCAAACTCAAGCCGTTCCTCGTAGCTAAAAGCTCAGTTTGTAAGGATTTTTACCTGCAGTTTCTTCCTATTGGCGAGACGTTGATCATTCCGTTTCGAAACTCGATAAATGTTCCCCTTTGGTAAAGATTTGACAGCAGCTCTGTTACCTCTTCTTTGGAAGGTCAATATCGGCAATTTCTCTTAACAGGAAATTTACCAGCTTTTTGTACTTGTCTTCGCCAAGATACGCAATGAAGCTCTGTTGTAACAGTAAGGGGTCCGGTGTGACTTACGCCCTGGTATATCAGCTCGCCCTTTTTATAGGCCTTTAGCCCATTTTCGGAAAAAGAGTAATCAAAAAGCGAAAGTGCTATGGCATCAACAAACCAATACGTAACCTTCGCCTCGAAGCTGTTCTTGCTGCTTATCCATATCGGATCCCCCGACAAACCCGATTGCAGCGGTCTTTTTTAGATCCTTAAGCGCCGTGAGCATGGCCTCATCAATGGGCTATCAATAACCGCATGGCCTAGTGGTACCTTCCTCGCCAGTGTCAATGTACCATCGACGTCGAAAAGAAACAATCGTTTGTTGCCATCAGAAAACGTCATCGTCAACGTGTGGGGATCGTGATGATACTGGGCTCAAAAATAAAGTTGCAACCCCCCCCATCATGATTAAATGTGTGTTGATGATCAACTGATAGCATATTTTTATTAAATAGCATTTTACTTTTAAAGATCATTGCTGTGGATGGGGCTTTTCGAAGCCGGTACCATGGAAAGCCTTTGGGGATCGCGGGACAGAGATCTGCGCATATCTAGAACGGTAAGAGTTGCGAAAATGCCCACCATAGGCGTTTTCGGGGCCTTTAGTGGGGCCTCCCGAATAATAGTCCAAAATTGTCCGGTACACCACGTAGTCTCTTTTTTTGTACATGGAAACGGCGAGCACATTTGAAGGTCTGACGAATAGATCGACAAAATAGGCATTCTTCCTGTCCGACACCTCCTCCAGTAACTGCATGAGCCTTTCAGCAACCCCTAGTCTTCTAAACAGAGGAGACACGGTGAGGGCTGTCACATGCCCATGGAACTGGTCGCCTTCTCCGTCAACATTCCCCATCACTACGAAAATGGCAACAGCAAGCCTTACCATATCCCATGGGAATGCCAGAAGGCGATTCAATTAGTATGTTAAGCTCTGGCCATCTAGCCAAGTAATAAAGATACATCTCTACTTGATACTACATATTCTCAAAAGCTATTTCCTTACGTTTTCGGTAAAGCTGTCAAGGTTGATATTGGAAATGCGAAAAAGATCCGTGGCCTTAAATGGCCTATAAATGGATGCCATTGGTTTAAATAAAAAAGGTTAAAATTTACCATTCCCATGGCCGCGTTTTGGTCCTCGCCTTCGCCTTCGCCCTCTGCGCATTACCAATTTGCAAGCATCTCATTTTTGCTGGGAATTGTGTTCGGCGCATCCGTGGCATGCACCTTGATGTGTAGCTGTTTCAGACTAACCGCCCACATTGGATTTCTGTCTTTATTCCACTTTTTAGAGGCATTTCTTCTTTTATTTGTACACAGGAGACAGTCTCAACATGCACATCTTACCATTGAAAGTAGGCAATTTGTGCATCTCACCTTTAGGATAGACTTTTTGCTGTTTGATAACATTTGGTATTGGGTGGCTATTTTGACCGGCCTTGTTGAGCATCTGTGTTCGTACCACCGTGCCCGTTCGTCGCTATCGTTTGCACTCGGACTTTTGATTACGTCGTTTGGAGAATTTCTTCGTGGATGGTCAATTCTTGAGGCTGGGGTGCAGTTTTCTCATGAAATAATCAACATCATGGACATCAAAAATGCGGACTCTAGCCATAGGAAGCTTGTTACTCATGGTCCCTATCGGTAACTTTACTCGTACATCTTCAGCCTTATTAGACATCCCTCGTATACCGGGTTCCTTCTGTGGGCACTTGGGCAGCAATTGATTCTCTCCAACATCATAACGCTGTTCCTTCATTTTGTCATATTGTGCAAGTTTTTCCACGACAGGATTAAATACGAAGAGACCCAATTGGTTATGGAATTTGGCGATCAATATAGAAAATATCAATCGAAAACGGTGTCTGGGATTCCGTTTGTCATCAATAAATTTTAATTCGGCAACACATTTACTGATGTATGAAATAAATAAAAGCTTTCACAAGTGCGGCATCAATTTGATTGAATGGTTGGCTGATCGGTCCGGTCTTTACTATTCCTTCAATGGCTCGTATTCATAAACGGTGCTTGAAAACTCCACGGCTGACGGGAGATGGTGTTGTATGTACCATAAATACTTTTGGTGAAGTGAGGGATGTGCATTGTATACTCTAACAAGCCTTTTGTAAGTCCTGCGCTCATATTGCTTGAAGGAGGTTTTGTCGACAAATGGGCTTCTAAGAATGGACCATTTCCTCACATCATATCTCAGGGCCAATGGGCCCGAGGATCCAAAGCTCATCAGGCATGCTACACGATGGCAAAATTCCGCATAATTTACAAGAGCAGATTTATCTGAAGATGTAAGTTGCACGTCAATGGATCTAGTGCAAGTGGAAGAATCCTTGCTTTTGCGTGTGAATATATCTCGAATCGACCCCACATCTAAGCCTGTTGAGGCGGCATTTTTATCGGCTGCAACAGCAGCAAGCGCTTTTTTCTTTTCGAAAATCTCAATCATCCCATTGATGGTTTCATTTGATATGCCAGTGGCGCGTGCATCGGTAAACACCCTTTTTGCCGTGACAATGAGACTATTCATTTCATTAATTTTAAAATTAAAATTTGGGCGAAATAACATTCCATGCTGCTACTTTATCAATGTGCCAGATTTTAGGATTATTATTGCAATAATCTTCAATCTTATCAGACGTACAAACAAATTAAATTTGTACAATGATCCTAGAGGATCCCGCTCTTCTCCTTGACGATCGGCTATCCCAACTTGTCATTGACCAGTCATTTCCGATTCCCATTTCAAGTCGAAAATTTCTTGAAAACGCAAGCGTTGCTGCAAGAAGACGGACCAGGCAGTATGTGTTCTCGCAATACTCAAAAAAGATGTCCATTTTGCCCGTGAAAGAGATTATCCGAGAGATTTCTTCATCTTCTTCTTGTTCCTCCGATGGATTGTCAAAATATGTTCGCTCCATCTCACAGATGCTTCAGCGGGACATTGACCTAGCCTCCCCAATCATTCAAAGGTACGAGTTTGTTGTTTCTTCTATTTATAGACATACTGAGAGGTATCTCTCGATTTTTATGGGCTCCTCTATGGTTGAGTTGGACATTACCAGCAGATATAGACAAAAAGTTATCTGGAAAAGCCACAATTCTCACAAAGGAGAAGAAAATCAACAAATCAACAGCAATATCCAGCCTCCGGAACATGAAAAGCTTTCTTGTGCAATCAAAAAAACTAAAGCCTGTCATGATGACCCGGAAAACTTTACGGAGCTGTGTGTAAATGCACTATGTACGTTCTCCACAGGAGAAATGATCAACAATATAACGGGATTTCTACATGAAGTTTCTATTGATGACTTGGCCCAACTTGAGGCTTGCAATAGCAATTTTTCGGTGTTAGAAACCATATCCAATAGGGAAAGGTTTCATGTCCTTCTTGGACCTGCCAGGTTCATCAATCATGACTGCAATCCCAATGTAAAGGTACGCGGCAAGCACACCAGTCTTTTTGATTAGTTTGTAAAAAAAGGACATGAAATTTCAGTACAGGCCATTCGTCCCATAAAGCTAGGAGAAGAGATTTTGGTCTCTTACGGGATATCCTATTTTGAGACAAACAATTCTGGCTGTCTTTGCAGAACATGTGAAAGGTACCTTGAGACACAATTTTTTTTAGAAATGGAAAATTTCAGTTTGCCACAAATAACTGTGTTGCCAAGGAAAATGGGCATATTTATAAGGAGAATCTAGAGTACCTTCTTCGGCCCCGGCGTCTTAGAGCAGACATATTCAGCGACCCGATTCCGGTTCAACAATCGGGCCATTCGACCGATGCAATAGGCTGTCCCTGGAGATCCGCCTCCTTTCCAAGCACAAAGTCAAAATCGAAGCTGTGCGAAACATGCAAAATTCGATTCTCCGACTATGGCAGGTATTTAATTTGCGAGCGTTGTAATCGGCATTGGCAGACCTATGGGTGCTATTGGCCGCTAAAATTTTCTAAAAATTAAATATCATGAAACCCCAATTCACGTCATGACTCCGGCAACTTTGGTTAATTGCGAATTTGATATTGCACTTTTCCATTTTCAAGTGATGAAGTCTTCTACCGCTGCACTGTCATCAAACTGCGCCCCCTCGCTGCTTAGTGCGGATGGGTCTTTGGATTCCCTCTGCATCGCAACCATCCGCTCGCTCGCAATTGACATGGTTGAGGCTGCCTCCAGCGGACATCCAGGCGCCCCGATTGGGCTGGCCCCCTTGGCCCACGTGCTTTTTTCTCAGCATTTCAGGAGCGTTGGAACGGACCATTTGTGGATGGGAAGAGATCGATTTGTTCTATCAAACGGCCATGCATGTGCTCTGCAATATGCAATGCTTTTTCTGCTTGGGTTTCCATTGTCGCTCGATGATTTAAAGTCATTTCGGCAGTTGAACTCAAAAACACCTGGCCATCCAGAATGCCATTTTACACCAGGCGTTGAGGTGACAACTGGTCCCTTGGGCCAAGGTCTTGCCAATGCAGTTGGGTTGGCCGTTGCGGAGGCCCATTTGGCCGCTACCTTTAACAAGCCCGGCTTTACAATATTCAATAATTCGACCTTTTGTATTGTCGGAGATGGCTGCATGCAGGAGGGAGTTTCTGCGGAGGCCTTTTCTCTTGCCGGGCACTTGAACCTATCGCGCCTTATTGTGATCTACGATGACAATGGAATCCAAATTGACGGTTCTACTGACCTGGCCTTTTCGGAGGATGTTGACTCCAGAATGAAGTCATACGGATTTAAAGTTTTTGTTGTCGAAAATGGAAACACCGATTTGGTTGCAATATCAAACGCAATTTCTGCTGCTAAAGCAAATACCTGCTCCCCGTCCTTCATTAGGATAAAGACCATGATTGGCGTAGGGTCGGCTCATCAAGGGACCGAAAAGGTCCATGGATCGCCATTGGGAGCGTCCGATGCTGCTGCCTGCAAAAAGCTATATTTTGGCAAAAGCCATCCCGCTTGGTATGTTCCTGGAGAGGTCAAGTCCTTTTATGCGGAGGTTCTAGAGCGAAATAATAAGCTTAAAGAGGAATGGACAAATTCTTTTGAGGCATATTGCATCAATTACCCATTGCTGGCTTTAGAGCTGGAAAATCGCCTTTCTGGAAAGCTTTCACTGAAGATATCTGATTTCCCGTCTTACAAATCGACGGATCCCTCGATGGCCACAAGAAAGCTATCTGAAACTTTACTAAGCTCCATTGCAGATAAGCTTTCCTCCTTGGTTGGTGGATCTGCCGATCTTACTGCCTCCAATCTAACGCGCTGGAAGTCTGCAGTTGATTTTTCTCAGTTCCATCCAGAAGGCCGCTACATTAGATTTGGTGTGCGCGAGCATGCGATGGCTGCCGTTTGCAATGGGTTGGCCGCTTATGGTCATAAAAAGGAAACGAATGGCTCGCTATTGATTCCCTTTGCAGCGACATTTTTGAATTTCATCACCTATGCTTGGGGGGCTGTCCGTCTTTCTGCGCTTTCGCATCATCAAGTGTTATACATTATGACACACGATTCCATCGGACTTGGAGAAGATGGCCCCACGCATCAGCCGATTGAAGCGCTTGCCGCTCTTAGGGCATTGCCAAACATGTTGACTTTCCGCCCAGCCGATGGAAATGAGGTCTCCGGCGCCTACTTTGCCGCGCTCTCCTACAATTCCGGCCCCTCTGTGTTGTGCCTTTCTCGACAAAATCTGCCCCAACTGGAGGGATCTTCGATCGAAAAGGTGTCTCTTGGCGCTTATTCTGTTTGGGAATCGTCTTCGCCTTCGAGCTCGGCTCCGCGTGTGATTTTGGTGGGAACTGGCTCTGAGGTTTCTGTTCTTGTTGACGCGGCCAAAGCGATGCAAGATAAATGCCGTCTTAGCGTGATTTCAATGCCCTGCATGGAATTGTTCGAACTTCAGCCTGCTTCGTACAAAAAGTCGATTTTCCCCGAGGGAATTCCGGTAATCTCGATGGAGGCATCCTGCACTTTTGGATGGTCCAAATATGCAACCATTTCAATTGGAATTGATACCTTTGGCGCATCAGGGCCGGCCCCCAAACTATTTTCACACTTTGGCCTTACTGCAGATGCCGTAATTAAGGCCATTCAGTCGGTCATTTAAAAATAAAGCATACGGTTGGGGTTAGTTTATTCGTTGCGGTGCAGCATGATTCCTAAATGGAGCTTTCCGCTGCAATTACGCTTGAATGTTAGAAGGATAGCCGGCATATCTGCACTTTGATCCAAGCTCTTGCTCGATGCGCAAAAGCTGATTGTACTTTTCGGTACGCTCCGAGCGGCATGGCGCACCAGATTTAATCTGGCTAGCATTAAGACCAACAGCAAGGTCGGCAATGAAGGTATCACAGGTTTCCCCGGAACGATGGGAGACCATCAATCCCCAGCCAAATTTCTTGACAAGCATAGCGGCATCAATGGCTTCCGTGACAGAGCCGATTTGATTGACTTTCAAAAGAAGAGCAGAGCACGCATGCTTCTCGACAGCCTCGTTGATACGTTCCGAATTGGTCACGGTGAGATCGTCACCAACGATTTGGATCGAAGAAAGCGATTTGGTCAGCATGCACCAGCCCTCCCAATCATCTTGTTCGAATGGATCTTCAATTGAAATGAGATTGGGAAACTGCTTTTTGAGCGACATATATTCGTCGGCCAATCCGGCTGCGGAGAGGCGGCGGTGAGACTCCAAGGCCATGTTGGGTTTTTTAATATCCAAATCGTAAACGCGAGGACGGCCATCTTCCATGATGCAGAACTCGGAGGCCGCAACATCCATGGCAAGGTGGATCTTTCCAGAATATCCAGACGCATCAATGGCCTCTGTGATAACGGAAAGCGCTTGAGATGGCGTCTCGAAAAATGTAGGTGCAAAGCCACCTTCATCGCCAACTTGGATTTCCTGATGGTATTTGTCGTGGAGGATTTTTTTCAAATGGTGGTAAACCTCTGTACCAATTTTCATCGCTTCGGCAAAGGACTTTGCACCGGTTGGCATAATCATAAACTCTTGGAATGCAAGGGAGGAGGAGGCATGCGCACCGCCGTTAATGACATTGAAGGATGGCAATGGGATGGTCAGCTGGCTGTTTGCAGAATTTCCACACAATCTGGAAATGTGCTCATAAAGAGGGACGTTGTTCTCTGCAGCTCCAGCCCTAGCAACGGCCATAGACACGCCAAGAATAGCATTCGCTCCAAGCTTGGTCTTTTTCGATGTTCCGTCCAGCTGGTTAAGAAAGGCATCAATCTCCTTTTGAGAAGAAACACACAGCTTAGATTGGATTAATGCGGGGGCAATTATGGTATTGATATTTTCAATGGCCTTGAGCACACCTTTGCCCATGTAGTCGGACTTGATGTTATCGCGCAGCTCCAAAGCCTCGTGTATGCCCGTGGAGGCACCAGAAGGTACAGCAGCACGGAAGAGCCCCTTGGATGTGGTCAGATCAACCTCAACGGTAGGATTACCACGAGAATCAAATATTTGTCTAGCTACGAGCGCACTAACGGAAGACATGTGGATGTTTGAAAAATTCACTTTTTACATTCCCGTAATGAGCTTTTTCCGTACGATTTCTAGAACGTTCTCTTTGCACGGCTTTCAAGTTTAAAAGTTCTGAAACAAGTTTATAAATTTTACAAATGACGTTGATAAGCCCAGCATTCTTGTCTCGTATTACCAATTTGGTTGTCGTTTTGAGATTTTGATGACACTGATCCAGGAAATCATTAATCGTAGATTATTCGATGAAGACCAAAAATATCGCAGCTCTGTTCTGAAAAACGAATGGATTTCCCGCCAATCTCGAAACATTCTCGCCTCGCTATTGATAGTATCTTCTTTGCTGCAATTGATGCTAAGTGTAGTGCTTGTGCTTCAAAATGCCGTTTTTTCACTGTTCATTTTCATTTGCCTACTTATTCCCAGCCTTCAGGCGGTCATTGTGCTGACTTCGCACAGGTCGTCCTCGGTTCTGATTTCAGCGCCGATTTTGAAAATCTCCTTGATGGCACATATTCTTGTTGGGATCGTTTATTCTTTATTTATGATTGCTAACATTGAAGGTCTGATCCCTATGGTTCATAGACCTTGGCTGACTGGTACCGACGCAGCAAACTTACTGATACAAAAGTACGTTGCTTTCCCAATCTTATCAGATACCTCTGCTTCTCTATGGATGCCACATGAAAAGCTGAACTTGTTGCAAAGCATTTCGCTGGATGCGTATCTTTGGGTTAGAGTATCCTTTTTACAGGTGTTGTTTGCGGCTCTGATCGTAATCTCGGTAAGGTTCGTTTCTAATGTGTTAGTTTTTCATATCAATTGTGGCCTTAGTTTCCCTTTCATACAGAAAAGGCAGCTATTTGGTTTCGTTGAAAGCGTCGGCGACCAATCGCGTGTCAAAGACATCTGTTTCGCAAAAACCTGCCAATGGCAATTATCGGGGTAAGTCAGTATCCCCACCAGCCGAATCAGCAGCATTCTCGCCTGCCAGAATTTATAGCCCCGAACCCAAAAAAATAGCCCCGTATTTTAACAACCAAACGAATCCAAATGTCTATGTGGAGGTGTCCTTGTAAACACCAAGTATCTGCAATGTACGTAACTTGTCATTGTTTAAATGCAATAAAAGCTCTTCACATACAAAGCCAAGCGTATGTTATCAAGCATTGTTTATTTAGAGACCCTTTTGATGGATTGCAGTCGCAATTGAAGCGCTCTGCTGTTTGGCTTCATTTGGCAATCTTTTGTCAAAGCAAAGGATGGCATTTGTCCAGTTCGGCGCAATCGTTTCTCCGGTGCGAGCGGCAGATTTTTCTGTCACCCGATGTGCGCGAGCTACAGAAGAACCCCTTCAATTTGTTTGCACATCGGATCTGGTGATTGGCTAAAATAAAATTTACATTTGAAGCAGTTCAAAATGTCAATATGGCTGACTTTATGCCAAACATCATCAAGCCATTGTCTACAACGGCAGGCAGAACGGTGTTTGTTAACTCGCTAAAAAAGGCACTCACATCTTTACCTCTGCACGAAATTGAGCTCATTTCGCAAGTTAACACAACCCCCATAGATGTATTGCCACGTGCCTCTGTACTGGCACCATTATACATTTCTCCTGAAAATGAAAAGGTAGGCCAAAAATGCAGCTAATTGGCTAGTGGATGCTGCTGACCGTACGCACTGAATTTCTTTCTCACCATCCGGGAGAAGTATGCTTTCCCGGCGGAAAAAGAGAATTTCAGGACGTTTCCGATATAGACACATCGCTACGAGAAGCATCGGAAGAACTGGGTGTCAACATCGAGGAGCATGTTGATGAAATCATTGGGGTTTTGCCACCAACACTTGCAAAACATGAACTACTAGTGGTGCCTGTATTGGCATTAATGAAGGGATATCCTCCTCCTTTCTTTGCGGTCAGCAATTCAGAAGTCGCAAAAACATTCATCGTCCCCTTGGATAAGTTTCTTCAATCCAAATTCCATTCAACATTCGAGGGTATTATTAAAAGCAAATGGAGCCCACGACCGCACCAACAACATCCCTTTAGGGTTCATACATTTAACATTGAGGACACATGTGGAGAATCGGTGCCCATAATATGGGGAATGACTGCTCAAATCCTAATTCAAATATCGCAGCTTTTGTATCCAGACCGCAAGTCTGAATTTCAATTTGAGCCTCCGGAGGGACCCTCGTATTCAGAATTGGCCCAAGCATATTTTAAATTTAAAATAAATTCAGCCAAGTAATTTTTCAAAAATGTCCAAATATAAAAATACGCTTCAAGGAATCACTAATACTGCATCGGTGGCAGTCAAAGTAGGCATATTTTCTATTCTCCTTCGGGAATATTTGTTTGACGTTGCAATTGTAAGAAGCGTGTGTTTTATAATGTACTAGCCTTCTGGCCCGTCCATGTTTCCCACGCTCAACACAAGTGGCGATGCAATTTTGATCCAAAAAAAAAGGGCTCGCTGCAGCAGGCCATTTGAGCTAAATGATGTGATAACAGCGATCAGTCCAATTGAGCCCAAGAAAATAATTTGCAAAAGGATCTCGGCAAAGGTAAATTCAATTTAATGAGTCTAGGAAGGCGAATTGGCCGTTACCATTGGCCACGAGCACATGATTATTCCAAAAGGACATGTGTGGCTTCTTGGAGACAATCCAGAAGAGTCGATAGACTCCAGACACTATGGCCCGGTTCCGATTGGGCTGATCCAAGGGAAGGCCATTTGTAAGATTTTGCCACTTTCAAATATATTTGCAGCGTTGTAAACTTAAATTTTGCAAGTTTAAAAAATCACTGATGAGTGATTGATTAGGTTAAACAGCACAGGCCCGCCAATCATATCTGCCTTCTGCCAAAATCACAAGCGACTCACCGATGATTACTCAACCAATCATACATAAAGCCAACTTTGTAATGCATCATCAGCATCAAAATCTTGACAAGCTTTGAGTTTATTTTCACTAGCTATAATTGCTGTATCACATCTGCCTTCCCATCATCGATCAGGAAGACAACACAAATTTACACTTTAATTGTTCTAGCTTTGCTAAGGACGCTATAAGTGATTTGACTTTGGATGCTTTGTACTTCAAGAATAGGACCGTTTCCTATGAATCAAATGACATTTGGCGGAACTAACAATGCTTTTACATATGTTGAACCATATTTAAGCCACAGTGCTATTTCTTTGGCATCTGCTGCTGCTAGACCACACAACTATTGTGCATTTCCTGGAAATACGGGTCCTTACCTCGCCTCGTCATTTGGACAAACCACAATTACTGCTCTTGTTCAACCTTCGGTTTCACTTAACCTGTATGTCTCCATACTGACAGAGGTTATCTTGATCAAGACATCGAACACGCTCAATGGATCCCTCCCGACGGATTCTTGGCCCCGTTCTCCTTTGCCTCTTTTAAGAGACTTTGTCCTGCAGCTGATCCTGATCTCTCAAAGCCTTCCCATTACACTTCTTATCGTGTTGGTCCTGCTGGACCGGCTCAGAATGTCGCTTCCATACTATGCGGTGGGAACAAACGAGACAGGCCATCGAGTCTTTCTTGCTGCGCTTATTGTGGCAAACAAGTTCCTGCTGGATATACCGGTAAAAAATAGCGTCTGGTCGCAGTGGACCAACAATTACTACTCGATCGTTGATATCAATTTTATGGAGCGCCAATTTCTAAATCTATTGCACCATGATATCGAGGTATCGCTCAACGAAGTTCAGCAGCAGTTATGTCTTGTCCAAAGACTCCATTATCATCCGCACCAGCAAAATCGATTCAACGACCACAAGCGGAATATTACGCCAAAACATTCTCATCATACGATGTCATATCCTCAATTTGCACCACCCCTTTGTCCGTGTAGTGCATACACGGGCGAAAAAAAACGAGTCCATTGTAACCTGTGTAGTGGTGGGTCCTCTGCGCCATCAACAACAGTTGCATCGGCGTTTATTCCGATCCACCCGCTACCTTTTCAATTGAAAAGACAAAAGGGTCAATTTGAGGATAATTTTTATTCACTTCATAATATTCCATCTCCATGTCCATCTCTTGAAAGATCTCCAATCCACTTTGTATATCCACAATCAGCATACCGGTCATCTTCATTATCATCTAATTGGATTGCGTCCCAACCAGCGTCCTTTTCCCAGTCGATCTCTTTTGTTTAAACGACATCGGCACCAAAGAAGTTTAATAAACTAACTATTCTTGCACAGGTTTGGAATTAATTTATAAGCAGCTGATGCAGGCCAAATGGGATTCGGCTGACAATTCGCGGTCCTCGTTGAGGGAAGCCACCAGAATGGGCATGGTACATGATGGCGAGCTTAAAATGGGAACCTATGTGTAAGCAAAGCGCCATTTGCCACCAACATTGGTCATCAGCACTATTCTATTGGGCGAAAAGCTGATTGGAGGATGCCCGGACGCAGCAACTTCCAGAAAAGAACATTTAGGGGCGAAAATGACCGATTCCTTGGGAAAGTTGGATAAATCCAGCACCACTGTGGCCTCGCCTTTGCATAAAATATGGCGTCACGCAATTACCTGATGGGTCACACACTCGAATATAAAAGGTCGACCCAAAATAACAGTCTTGATCGATATGCCGAATGATTGCGGCGAAAAAGGGCGCTCGATCTCGTGAGGAAGTATCAAGCAGCGACAACAGACCAATTTCATACAAGATCTTGGATTTAAATTAAAAACAACGGCAAACTGGGTTGGCGAATTTGGATCTAAAATATTCAAGTGCCGCGGCCTGGGCGTATTGCCATTTCGGAATTTCCGAAATCAGCTCGTCGTTTCCCTCAGGTAAAATATGAATTTCTTCGGACGAACGTGGTATCGCAGATGAGACGAATGGAGACGGCGAAGCCGGCGAAATACGTGGAGATGGTGCAAGAGACTTGATTTCATCAAGCAGATCTATAAGCCCGTCGTCGTCGTTGTCGTTATCATCATTTTTGATGAATGAAGACATGCCGGCTTGATACCCCCAAAGCTCAGCTATTGTTAACGACCCCAACTAATATTTCAATTGGCTGATGCAAATTTTAATCTCGTGCTATAAATTGCAATCAAGCCGATCAAGCCAAACTAACATGAGTCAAACTCCAAGTACCGGGGCAGACTCTACCGTTTTCGAACGATTGACTAACATCGAACTGATTTCCAGGGACGAAAACACAAATACATTTATCTACAATGGTGCAGAGGTAGAATCCCATTTTGGTGCTCGCGGTATCTACGGTAAGGAATTAACTTTGACATGTTTGCTATCCGTAGGTGGTCTTGTAGCTTCCCAGGCACTTGTTGCTGCAATTCGAAGTGTTAAGCTTTTATCCAACAATGAGGATTGGGTTTGTCATTCTTTTCATTCCTATTTCCTGTTGCCTGGAAAATTTAATCTCCCCATCAGTTTCAAAGTGACTCCGCTTAGAGCTGGGCGCTCTTTCTCCGTCTGGAGAATAGATGGACACCAATATCTAAATCGGCCATTATTTGTAATGGAGGCTTCTTTCAAAAAGATGGATCAACAGAGCATCCAAAAGGCCCTGTCTGATAAAGGAACGACAGGTAAACTCGGACAGCCGTTGATGGTTAGATTCGAATTTTCCGATCCATCAATATCCAGAACCGGAAACGCTCTGCTCGTACGTGATATTTTTCGCAATTTTTTGATATCTAAACCTCGTTAGGGATCTCTCGGATGAGCTTAGATCGTCCACCAGTACTTCCCTGGACAACAAAAAAAGGACTCGGTTGAGGGCAGCTTTAATAGCTCTTCGAGATGAATGGCACATTTTCGAAGAAAGGCCATGCAACCCATCCGGCATGAGAGCCCTACTACTTGAATCCCAACCACATCCAGACGTCCACGTATGGTGCGTTCCCTTTATAAATAGGCGATGTGGATAAGACCCTACGAACTTACCTTTAACCCGATGGATCTTGGGCTACAGCAAGTATGAGCGTTTTATTTTTCTGTTGGCCCTAGCTATATATGCTTCGGATCATATTTTGTTTACCGCTGCATTGTCAAAGGGGGTGAGAGGAGTTGGAGATCGAAAAATGAAGTTCATGGCAACACTCGACCATACGTTATATTTTCACGAACCCATCAAGTAACTTGCTAGCGGGTCGCTAATCTTAGGATGGATCAATGGGTGCTTTGGGTGACAAAGGTAAAGGGAAAAGAAAAAACTGGAATTTTAGGTTGAATGGATCAAATACGACAGAGCTCTTGTCTCTGGTCATCTTTATCGACGGGACGGTCTTCTTCTAATGAGCGGATTTCAGGAGGGCATTTTAAGCCTCGACTAGGGGTGCAAAGACACCCAACCAAACACCACTAGCATGTCATTTTTGTAATAAATTTCGTCGTCTTGAAAAGTTTAACTTTGTATTGTGCCCCAAATTCGGCAATCAAATTCAACGTTGCCAATTGCACGTTGCTTTGGCAAACAAAAGTTGGTGGCGCGACTTGTGCGGTTTGGCGGCCCAATAAAGTTTGATGCGGTGAAATTAGGGGCCTGATATGAGCCGATAAGGTTCATGTTTTTACAAAATGCCTCTGGGCAGACGTCCAATGCTGCAGCTTCTCTATCCACGGGCACGAATGTTAAGAGCCACCATCAACAGGGCGTTGGTGAGCGCAAGAAAAGATGGCTCAGAAATCTATCCAATGATAGGAATGTTGATCCTATTTGCGTCGTGGAGTGCCTATTACTATTCAAGCCGGAATTTCTCGCTTAAAGAAATTGATACTCCACAGCGTAAAAAATAAAATCGGGAATTTCAAATTTTTGTGATTGTAAATACATACAGGCTCCATGTCAACTGAACTTGTGACGCTTTTGGTACGAGTCCTTGTTTGCTATAACGATGGTGTAGGGCGATTGGGTATCTTTATATTCGAAAAGCTTCAGCAATATTGACAAGTCAATCGAGGACTATTCGGTGATTCTTCTCGAAGAAACCCAAATTGCCGAAGATACGGCGTGTTCCTCGTCTCTTGCCGAGGAATGGCTTGATCCAGATGTATGTGTGACGCCTATCTTTCATTAGAGATCATACCCTGCCCAATTGGCCAAATTGGAGGGTGAAAAGAAGGACATTTTTAGGACGCAGGCGTTCTTTATATTTTATGAGAAGGAGCTATCTAGAATTGCCAAGGTATGTGCTTGCTTTGCCCATCAACAGGTTCTCTCCATTCTTGAGGATGATCTGTCCGCTGTATCTACAATTACAGAGTCTTTAGTGATTTTAGAGACATCTTTGCCATTTCTCTCACCGCCCGTCATTCCAGTTCAGTTTTATTCTGCCGGGATTTTTAATGCGGAAATATCGGCACTTGTATCTTACCATACTACTCTTGACCTGGTGTACCAAGAAAAGCTGAATGCGATTATTGAGAAGGCCAAGTCTCACGAAATAAGGTCTTGGATTGTTTACAAGGCCATTAAGGACCACGAGAAGAGCATATTTTCGATTGAGACTTCCGATAAATGGAATCGTATGGGTAAATTTTTAATGCAATGCCCTAGGATCCTCCTTTGAACTGCTAAGTAAATGGAAGCTGCTGCCTTTTGCTGCCACCGCATCTCCGCAGCCCAATGTTTTGCCATCGCTAGATATAGACGCCCCATTTACAAGACATTTGCCCATTGATTCTGTTCTTTGTTCTTTTGTTGAGCGATTGATCTCCGTGATATTTGGTATTTTCCGGCCTCTTAATATTAGATTCAAGCAGACTTCGTGTTCGTCTTGCCTACGATCAGGGCGCATCGTCCACTTTGCGTCTTTTGATTTCTCGTGAAGAGATAATAGTTCCGCTTAAAGAGGACGACAATAAGGAGCTGTTTGGTTGGAATTCCGACTTTTTTCTGGAGAAGCTCTCCAATATTTCTCTTGTGATTAAATTTATTTCAGAGCAAATATTGGTCCACCCGCATTTGAAATCGATACTTGTGCCAATTATTTGCTCAAGTACCAAGTCGGTTTCTGGAAAGCCTTCGCACTCGTTTCTTGAAGCGTTGCGCAGATATATTTTGCACGACACCGTCCCGATGAGTCCTTCTCAAATGGCAGCTTTGCAGCCTGGAGGAAGTCTATGGAAGGCTGTTCAAAAAGTCGAAGATGAGCTTGTTGAATCTTTTGATCTGGCTCACTGCGAAGTGTCTCTTGGTCCTGGATTTATTACAGGCTCATTGCAGCTTATTCGGAATCGATATTCGGTATTGCTGGCGTCTGAGGTGCGATACAAGTCTCTTTATTTGATGAATCATCCCGACAATCGACTTGTGTCGTGGGAGAATCCGCCCGGCGTTACTTTGCCTCCAAAATATGTAGCAATGCTCACGAGCAATGCAGTTGTCAACGATCTTGCCCAAGATGCCCACTCTCTGCACAGAGACTCTGATCATGAAAATGAGTCTTTGGAGTATGCCATTACAAATTTGCTTTTTGATGGAAAAAAGTTCCATTTAAAAGTGCTGCAACTGCTTAAATTTATGCTGTTTTTGATTTCATTTGCAGACAGGCTTCCCGAGGCGTTTCCGTTTGACATTGAAAAGGTTTTTTTTGAAATTTTCGATTCATACGTGAAAAACTTTTCCCCCTCCACAGGGTAACAATTTGCTTTGTAAATCACAAATAGAAAGGGGCATTCTCGAATTCTTGCTTCGCCAGAGACGACGTTCCTTTTTGTGAATGATTCTCTGCTGCTCTCCAGAGCCATCTTGGTAGAGTTGATACCAAAGCTATTGGCAATGAAAAAATGCCCCAATCCACAAAGCATAGACAAATACTCCCGCATCGTCTTGATGGCTGCGGAGCTTCGTCGAATCGCAGATGAAACCATCCACATCCAGCTTCAAAATCAAAAGAGCTTTATCGGCTCCAAGCTTGAAAATCGCCAAGTGTTCGTATGCCTGGGAGTATCGCCAAAGAATCGGATGATTTTGGATGAGCAATTGAAAAAAATCCAAATTTCGCTACAGCAGCAGCTCCACTCTCTCAATGCAAGCTTGGCCTTTTCTTACTTTTGTAGAGAATCATTGCAAAGGGATCATACCGAAGATTTGCTGGTCAGATCTTTTCTTATATCCTCGGGACGATATCCAAGATGGAGTTTGGATTGGAGGCCATTTCTCGGGAGGATGCGTTCCAGCTATACTCGTTAAATCAGTTCATAATTACGTGGTCAGAGTCGCTATCAATTTTAGATTCGCTAAATGAGACCACCACGTTCAGGTCATTTTCTGAACTGGCCATGCTTTTTTCAGCAGGAGATAGAGAACTTATTGGGGCAAGGAAAATAGAGAAAATCCTGCTTTATATTCCGAATTGGATCTCCTTTATCCACTTGACAAACATCTTTTGCTGGAAGCTTGAGGAAATTGTCGAGTTTTCAATGTCTGCTTGCAATTCGGTGCATGCAAAAGACTTGGTTGTTCCACCGAAAGTAATCCTTTCGCTGGTGAAGGCTATTTTCGCAGACTCTGATGTGCGAAGAGAAGCCATCCATGTGCTCTCCAAGTGTGTCTAGAGTAAAATAAACGATAACACTACAATGGCAATCATGATGGTCGCGCAACGGTGGCCAGTCGCACAAAATTAGCTGGACAACGCCATTTTCTCAAATTGCAGACAGTGGAGATGAAATAGGGTTTCCATGCCGATGGAATTTACAATTTCTAGCGTTACAAGCAATGCGTTACCAAGCTCATCGACGGCCAATCGCCTATTTTTCTTATGATGACACATTTTTCCTTTAACCAAAACAACAAAGCCTAATTTTATATTTTGATCGTCATTGCGCTCAGTGATCGTTAAAGTGCAATCAATGGTGGCCGTCGTGTCGTCCACTAATAAATTGCGCTTTTAAAAATTGACTCTTACCGGTGAAAATCCTTTTTTGCATCCTTCTCTCTATGCTCACTATGATGCCGCAAATCTCAACCCTATGTAACGGAACTGATCCAAATAGTAGAACATCTGATGTCATTATGTGGGAAATTTTCATACTCTGAAACACCGGATTGCAGGCTTCTAGCTGCAAAAGCCTCTTGACGTGGACTCTTGAATACATCCAAAAGGAAGAAAAGGAGCCCCACTGGGTTGGATTCGATATCATGGCCCTAAAATTTAAACCTCATTTAAAGTTTAAAGCTACAAAGTACTGATTAAATTTTTATCAACCTACAAGATGGACAGTAACAATTCCAATTTGCAATTACTGGATTCAGCTTCTGGCGGCACTGCATCCGACCAAGCTTCAGAACCTACCACCAGTTCTTTAGAAAAACACGAGCCAATAAGCACATCTAAGCGACCGCGTGGCCGTCCAACAGGTTCCAAAAACAAATCCTCTTCCTCTGTAACACCTTCGATCGTTGAATCGAAGGCGAATTCGAATGCTGTTGAAGGAAAGAGAAGAAGAGGGCGTCCCGTTGGCTCAACATCTATATCTCACCAACGGAGTAATAAAAAGGATGCTTCCCTTATTTCGGAAATCCTTAATTCACCGAGCATGCTCACAGCATTCCTTAATGGAAGCAAGTGCATTTGCTTTAATTCAAAAGACGATATTAAGCGGTTCGTAATTGACTGGTCAATGTCGATCGGAAAAGCCTTCAAAGTCCTCAAGTCTTCTCAGCGCCGATACGAAGTTGGATGTCCCTGGCAATTCGATTCTACCAACGAACAGGAGGGGGATTCCCTAGATTTTGATAAAGAAAAAATCGATGAAAATCTGATCAACATTCCTGAAGAAATAATGTCCGACTCCTCCCAAAACGCACAATCAACGTCGCCCACATCTGATTGTCCTTTCAGGCTTTCTTTGAATTTCAGCACAAAGGCAAACGGATGGAATGTCCGCAGTTTTATTGCACATTCTTGTCCAAACTCCAACAGATTGAAAAAGGTCCCTGTTCACTGGATATTGGAGAAATTCAAGTCCCTTTATCAGGTCAATACCCAGGATATGTTAACTCTTCCAGATACCTCGAGCCCTGGCGAATCTTTGACCGGAAACGAAGGTGAAACCCAAAGTGAGCTGGAAACTTGCAATTTTAGAACCACACTTACGAAGCCCATTGTTGAGTCCTTTACCCCTAGTCGCGTTCAGGCAGCAATTCTGGAGTCATTTGGCATAGAAATTCCATATCCATCTGCTTGGAAATGCCTCTCTCTACTGCAACAGGAATACGGAATAGACGTCCATTCTCAATACTCTGCGCCTGTAAGCCAATTTCAGGATTCAATTCGAAGAGGGCCTGGAAGGCCCAAAAAGGCACTGTTGAATTCGGTGAAGGACAAACACAACTATTGCGCGATTGAAACGTTCTCGGAGCCATTTGTGCCAAGCTATGACCATTCAATATTTGGGCAAACCCCTTTTGAGCTCCAAAACTTTAATTCATTCTCTATGCCTCCTCGGTCCGGAAATGAGTACATGGTGGCCACGCCAATCGCATCCTCATCCACGACCACCACCACCACGTCCTCTTCATCAATGGTATCTAACGAAGAAGTTACCAACCGGGAATATGATAGACAAAGCAGTTAGATTTTACAATTTTATAATAAAAGTATCCTATTTTTAGGAGAAAGGCTAAATATTTTCCAAATCCAGTTCTTTCTCGTCGTCGTGGGTGCCGAAATCGGGATGGGCGGGTCGCCTGTCATATTCCAATAAATCGGTAAAAAACACCGAATTTTCGGCTTGCTTTGCTTCTAAAAACCCCCTTTTGAGGGCCTTTTTTGTCTTTACATTTTTCCTGCCTTTCGGTATTTTGTTTGCATCGGCCCTCTTTGCAGCGATCTCTGATGGCTTGTAGTCTGAAATTCCTCCAACATCTAGCTCTTCATTGTCGCTCGAAAGGGCAAAGTCTCGGGTGCGCTTTTTGGCTTTTGAAAAATATTTCAAATGGCTAGCAGTGACATAAACCATTTCCTGAGAACCGCAGACCAAAAGAGGAATTTCGCTATTTTCGATTGGATTGTTCAGCGCCGAAATGGTTGAGATTGGCCAAAAGTTATCATCAGACACAATATCGACCGGAGACGAAGCGAATCGGAGGCCTGTGTTTTCTAGCCTTATGAACAAAAATTACCTTGCTCGTGATGGTCTTTTTGTTGGCCCACATTTTCCTCTTCTTGTTTTGCTTTTTCTCGATGGTAACCCTTGGCACCGGTACCATATTCGCCGTTGATATTATCGATGTCATCAAAATGGTGAGGAATCGCTGTCCATCCAAGTAAGGAGTTTGGCCGAATGCCGACATATCTCAGAAATCCATCTCCACCCCCCGTGGCAATTGCAGACGAATTAAGAGCTACCATCGAATCAACAGAAGAGGGATGTCCCAAAATCCTATCAGAAGGACCAGCCCAGTAGTCCCAAGAGAAAATGTTGACCGAGCCATCCTGCATGCCACAAACGAGGTTTTTGCCTTGAAATTAACGCGAAAACGTACCACCCTTTACGAAAGACATGGAGAGAATTTCCTCTTGAAGAGGATCGCTTGATGCCTTGCACTTGTTTTTACGGAGATCGTACACGTGTAGAAAGCCGTCCCCGCCGCCAGTAACCATTGTCTTTTTACTCGGAAGCGCCTGAATTGACGAAATAAAGTCAATATGGTCTTTGAACTGCATAACTGCAGTTGCTCCCTTGCCGAGAATCCTTTCGTCCCATATCTAGCATGAAAGCGGTAAAACTCAACCTTTAATATGCCTTCATCATCTCCGGTGGCAAAAAGCTGCGAAGAAACGTACGAACATGCTTGAAGAGAAGACTCGTGTGCCTCTGGAAGAATAGCGTGAGGCCTTCCCGTTTCAATGTCACTCAATGCGATAGAGCGGTCTGCAGATATCGTGCAAAGTTCTCGCAATTAAAATGGAAAATTAAATACTTGAACCGTCTTGTGAGACCAAGATTCCTCGACAAGAGTCATTATGCACCAAGTCAAATGAGGTTACAATTCCGGGTTCAAATATGGGCCTTTTTTGTTCAAATCCCAGCTTGTAACTAGGCCATGAAAATACGCAAACCAAACCATAGTATTTCGCCAGTTGAGAGTCCGACATAAATGAAAGGCTTTGAAGGATGGGTTCCTGTTGATATCACAGGAGCCTCGCAACGTTTACAAGAAGAAAAAGAAAAAAAAGACGCATGACTACGAGATGGACCATTCATCCAGCGCCAGCAATTTAATAAAATTAAATTTTAATAAAACGAAAATTTAATAAAATCAAAATTTAATCTTCAAATTTACATTGTCCATTGGTTATTTATGTTCAGCCAATAGGTTACCCACAGAACTAGTATTTTTATTCCTTCTCCCTTTGGCTCTTCCGAATAGCTTCTTCTTAAATATTAATGACACAACCAACGCAAGCCACCTCGTCACAATCTGCGTCTACGGGCTCTGTTAGAGCAGCAAAACCGATGCCGATGCAGCAGCTGCAGTGTAATTTGAAAGCCCCCAACCAGCCATTCCAACTTTCTTCAATTCCGACATCAATAACATCGTATTCGAAGATCGAAAAGTTGGGAGAAGGCACATATGCAACTGTATATAAGGCAAAACACCTACCAACAGGATCGATTGTAGCTTTGAAAGAGATTTCTCTTTCTGTTGAAGAGGGGGCCCCCTCGACAGCCATAAGAGAAATAGCTCTCATGCGAAGCCTTTCCCATCCAAACATCGTCAATTTGTTGGATGTCATCCACACCGAATCAACGCTTTGTCTTATTTTTGAGTTTATGGATACCGACTTGAAAGTTTATCTTGACGAGCAATTGAAGAGATTCCCACCCAGCCTTCCAATGGCCACCATAAAGTCACTGATGAAAGACATACTTTTGGGCATCGACTATTGCCACCAGTCAAGAAAGATCTTACATCGTGATCTAAAGCCCCAAAACCTGCTGCTTCTTCATCCCACGCCGTCAGATGGAAATAGCAGTTTGATTCCGGTTTTGAAGATCGGAGATTTTGGCCTTGCAAGGGCTTTTGGAATACCTGTGCACTCTTATTCAAACGAGGTGGTGACACTATGGTATCGATCGCCTGATGTCTTGTTGGGGTCCATTAATTATACCACCAGTATCGACATTTGGTCGATTGGATGTATATTTGCAGAGCTGATCACTGGCCGGCCCTTGTTCCCTGGAAAGAACAACGAGGACCAAGTTGGGATAATATTCAAGCGATTGGGTGTGCCTCTGGAGAGCCAATGGCCACAATTGCCGACACTGCCCCTCTTTTCCAGGTTCTCCCCGTTGCTGGCACATTTAAGAGCCAAGAATTCCTCACAGCTTTCTGGAATTCCAACCGGTTCTTCCCTTGCCACTCTTTTTCCAACGCTAGATAACATTGCCCTCGACCTGCTGTCGAGGCTTCTGCAGCCTATTCCCGAACGTCGTATTTCTGCCAGAGAAGCCTTGATGCATCCATTCTTCACATGACCAGATGGCTTTATAGCTGCCTCCAATGGCGGGGGAGTGTCATATTTAGATGTTGTCATCAATAAAAATACCTTAAAGACAAGGTAGTCGCAATTAACTAAAATCCCCGCAACAGCTGAGCTCGGTTTGAAAAAATTTATTGAAACGAGGCAATGCTCCAATCTGAGTCGATAACCAATGGCTCGCTGATTTGCACTTGGCCCGTTGTGGAGATATGCCCGTATTGGATCTAATTTGAGAAAGGCAGCCAAACCTTATTCAAAGAGCGAGCATCGCGATAATATAGGACACGCATGCAGGTGTCGATTGCCGATTTTGCCTCTTCGAAGGAAAGCTCCTTTGCGCCGCCGGACTTTTCCTCAATGGTGCGACGAAGAATTGGCTGGGCCAAATGGGCCCCAAAGCCAGTTGCAATCGAGTCGCTCTCAAATTTGCCACCAAGTAAGTCTACACATCCCAGGAATCTTGAATGTTTACGCCACCACTTTCACTTACTTTTTTTCGCCATCTATGCCGGCGACGATGTGGGAATTCCATAGAGGATCCATTTTGGATCGCCTTTCATACATCATCTTCGAAACCAGATGAAAATAGGATTGAGAGCTCATTTTTTCACTAGTATAGCGCTCGGAAATACTAGAACATAAAATACAGACGTCAATACTTTATCTGTTTCAGGTGGGAGAGAAGAAACTGCTGGTCGCTGATATCTCCAGAGGTGGCCAGAATTGTGCAAGGTCCTATGGAGCAAATGCGTTGGACATCTCTAAATCTTGCCAAAGACCCATATGATGCTACAAGAAGGTGCGGATAAGAACGTTGGCGCAATCTTACCAAGAGTGTCGGCAGCCAATAAAATTCCATCTGAATAGACGATTCCCAGCACAGATGTTCCGGTTACAATTGGAGACTGTGTGTGCGTTATTATTTTTCTATTGGTGCGATTAACATTGGAGTTCAAGGCATTTTGGCATACGTCATAAGAAGAGCCTGATGAAGGCAGTGATTGTCCCCAATTTTCGGTGAAAGTGGCCATTAAATTTTTAAAAAAATTGTCCCCCAAAATATGATTTAAAAAGGCAACAGATTTCAGCCAATCAACAGGTGGTGTTTTTTGTCTGGCCTTATGAGGTTCTCACGAGACATAATAATCACAGTCGTTGGCACACTGCTAATCATCACGCTTTGTATTATTTTCCTGATTTATGTTCTCATCCCAAAGCTTCGCTCTAGCGTTTATGAAAAAAATTTCTCTGCCTCGATAACGGTAACCCTAAATCCTGACAACATTCCAATACCAATCTCAATCTTAACGCCAAATAGCACGAAGCTTGCATATTCCAATATCAGCATCATTTCACATACTCAACAAATTTATTCCAACGTAATTGGTTCGAATTTCAGAGAGTACAGGCGGATAGTTCAAATAATATCTTTCTCCGCTGTAACATTTCTTTTTTTTAATCTTATTTTCTGGAGAGTTTTTATTGGAGTGGTGCTTTGTCTTCGCATCTTAACGGCATCAATTCTTCTTCTATATCTTACCAGGAGACTGGCGATTTTAGAGGCCAGATTCCTTTCAGTAAAACAAGAATGCAGAAAAAACAAGCAGGAACTAATCGGGCTAAAATCGAGCTTTTCCAGGTTAAGCGAATTGGCATTCACAATCTTTTCAATAATATATCCGTTTGGCATGAACTTTGTTCATATTTCCAAATATCTTTACTTCTGGCCCGACAAGATAAAAGCTTCAATTAACTTCACATTTGATTCGGTAATGATTCAAGAGCTAAGGATTCAATCTATCCTTGAAGAGCTGGAATATCTTATTAAATAAATGCAAATAAACCCCATTTGTGGCTAGCGTGTATTGAAAACAAATTGTACACCCAAGATGAAGGCTTTATTATTGGTCCATCGACAAAAATGGATATGAAATAAATAGCCGAACCACGATAGTGCAATGGCGTCTGGAAGGGGGCAAGCTACGAGGAGGGAGGAACTCTTTTGGGGTTGACTCTTGATTCCGCCTCAAAACGCTCATAGGCCCTGACAAATTTTGATTGAAGGTAGAACGATCCATTCCAGTCATCCTTTCTGGCATTTGATTTGAAGTACTTTTCAAATTTCTACATGGTGACCACTTGACAAGCAATACCTCTTTGGCCTGGTCTAGTGTAGAGCCTGGAAGGGGAAGGTTTAAGATTTTTCCGGCCTCATCCATGGAAAGAGTTGACGAAACTTGGGCAACTGCCGGCGAATTGGAGGATCCCAATTTGCTTGCATTTGATTCCGCGGCTAAAAACAAGTACCGAAAAGGCATACCTTTGATGGTCTGTATATAGGCATCTTTAACAGACTTTCCCAACACCTGCCCCACCACTGCTATGACTTTGATAAGAAGACGCCCAATCTATGTAGGAAAGGATATCTAACATACTGCCATGGGATGGGTTGGATGAAAATTAAAATATGGTCCACTGGCGGGTCGTTTATTTGGTTGCTTAATTAATTAATTAATTGAGTTGCCGATTGATGATGCGTTTATTTCTTTTTGTATTTACATTCTTTCTGGCTCCATCTATTTTGGTCCAGAGTATTAGCAAGCCCTGACACCGTGCAATCAACCATTTTGGTGACCCCCAACAAGGGCCGTACAAATGCCAAAGGAACGGCTTTAAGGATATTAATTCTTTCTTCACTCTCAACATGCAGAGATGCCTTGTCCAGACACTCGGTAAGCTCTGTAACGCCGGTTTTGATGCCGGAGTCAAGGTTTTTTGGATTTCCATTTGGCCTCTCAACCAGAGGCGCTACACCACTAAGTGTACACAGAAACGAATCGGCCTTTTTCAAGTAGTTCTTGGTCGTTGATGCCAATTGAGAGGTGATGTTGATGCCTTGCATCAAGCTCTTCCTGATCAGTGAAATTGAAGTTGATGACCCATCGTTTGGATTGCTATTCATAGGCAGCATGATCAATTCACCGACGTTGTTCCCAAATTGCACCATAGTTCTGATGGGCGTCCATCCGTTGAGAATTACCTGCTGAGCCTGGGTATTTGTCACATATGGGATCCACGCATCCATGATCAATTCAAATGCTCTGGGGATTCCGTGGATGCCATGAAGATGGACGGATTGCAAAACTATTTTGGCGTCTTCCAGCTTGAAAATGTTGAACACAAACGAAGAGATTGACGATGACGAGAGTACAGATTTTTTTGGCTTGTAGTCGATAAACAGCTCGATTTCCGAAATCACGATGTGCCTAAAGAAGAGCCCGGTCGAGGTGCACTCCAGATCGGTTTGCTGCAGTTCCAAAAGCTGGTTTTTCAAGTCTTCTATGTTCTTTTGCAAAAGCACGATGTCTTTATTGACCGAAAATGAAAAGTAGCTTTCCAAAAAGAAAAGCGAGTCCTGATCGATGTGAAATCGCAGTTTTTGAAGAACATCGATGTAAATGAAAAACTCCAAGTCCGTTGGAGTGTCGACCATGCTGGTCCCAGATAGCAGCCGGTAGACAAGAATTTCGATGGCATTTGACTCGCTCAAAAGACATTTTTTGAAGAGATCAGAAGGGCAGATTGAGTGGAGACTGGAAATGAAATTCAAGATTACGTTGCCTTTTCGCCTTGTGGAGGCACACGGCAAAGAAGAGTTTTTCAAGAACGTTCGCCACGTCGAAAGCGAAACGTGATCCTCGAGCTCAAAGTTTTCGCAAATCAGCAAAATATATTCGATCGACAAATTGGGTGAAATGGTCGCTGGAATTGAAAGATTGGAGATTTTGAAGGTGACATGGTCGGCCACATTGGAAGGAACATTTGTATCATCAATGATGGTAAAGTTGATCGCGCTAAAGTGGATCATCACAATAAACCCACTGATAGTTATTTCATGGTTTGGGGTAGCTGGCTTTGCAACGTCCGGTTGCTTGCATTTTGCGTTCAACGAGTCGTTTTTCTCGAACAAAAACGTCGAAGCCTTGTCGATTCCGGCGTTCCGATGCTGCGAAGCCGCATCGGAACGCCCCTCGTACAGTTTGGCCAGTTGATTGGAAATATATTCCTCTTCATTCCTTAATACCCATTTCATTGCATCGGTAAGGATAAAGTTAAACCCTTCCTTGGACAGCGATAGCCAGCATGAATGGCTGTCAATGACCAAATAGTGATTTTTAAAGATGCATTCCAAGAGATCGCTGACATTGGACGTCAGTTCTCGCTCCTGCTTCTTGAAAAGATTGAGTGTCAAATGAAAGCCTGTGTAGAAGTTTGAATGCGCAAATATTGGAGTGGGAAATTTGATTGTCTTTGGCCTGTCATATGAAACTGAAAGGTAGTCAAAATATGCGGAAACAATTGGAGCCGAGTGAGAAACGAAATCTGCAAAGCTGGCCGTCAAATGGACATTGAAATCACAAGCTGAAAGGGTTGTCGTGCCTGGAACGCCAAAAACATTTTGAAGCGAAAGCGTTCCATTGGCGAGATTGAAAACGGTAGGAAACCGTTGAAAAATACAAGCAAAAGACAAGAAGCTTGAAGCGCCTGCTTGGCCATGCAACGCATCATCATTTGGGGGCCCAAAAAGGTTGGTGCCATCGATAGACATGCTGCAAATGTCAATGTAAAGTGAGGGATACGAGGCATTAGATGGGAGCTGGTTCAAGAAAAACGTACACTCTGCAAATGCAGCTTTCAGCTGATGATTGTTTTGCAAATCGCAGCTTTGAAGCGAACAGTAGTAAATTTGTTTGGCAGGGATTCCTTTGAAAGCAACATTTGAAATAAGCAAAAGGCCGCGGTCCTTGGTATCGCATGAAACATGCTCAATTGCAACGTTAAAGTCAAATAAAACGTCAATGAGAGAGCTTTTTTTGTCCGTAAAGCCGGATGGACACCACAAAGAGTTGAAAGAAAAATCACAATCTACAAATAGGTGTCTGATGCTAGCCTCCACCTTTAAGTGCAATTGATTTTGAAAAAATGAATGCAAATGTTCATGCTTTAAACGAAACAAAGAGGACTGGATCTGATCTTGGAAGATAGAGGACGAAACATTGATGGTCTTTTTTTTGCTGCAACTGAACAGATCGGACAAATCCAACTCTTTAAACTCGATTCCCTCCCCATTTCTGAAAGTTAAGACGATCGAAAATGGCTCTGCAATCAACAAGTTCATATTGAGATCTTTGAGGGCAATTGATGCCGACTTGCATTTTGTTGTAATTGAAATCACGCTATAAGATTGATTGACCTTTAAACTGCATGCTTGGAGAGATACAGACACCGCGGGAGCCTGGCTGCTCAACGAGAAATTTGAAATCGAAATTTCTGGAAGTATTGAATCCAAAAATGAAAGGCAATAAAATAGCGACAATATGCTTTCTTCGTTAAACGAAGAATCTCCGGGCGTCAAAGAATCGCCATCAAAGCAAGAAAGCTTTATGTTAGATACATTGATGGCTGCCAATGCCGATGAGCTGCTTTTGGAAAGCGAAACTAGCTCCAAAAGGGCTTCAAAGTTAGAATTGCATATTGCAGCTTGCGAACAATACAAACAAATGGCCATTTTGTCAAGCAAAAACTCTGGGAACGTGCATTTTAGGTCGATTTCAGCCAGTTTTAACACATTTCCAAAAAAAGTGACGCTGGCACGTGAGCAAGAAAGAAAAAACTTGTGCGTGTTTGACTCTGCAGGCTTTTTGATAGGCATAGGGTTGTTGTAATCAACATTTTTAAACTGAAACCTCCCAGTGGCTTCGTTTAAAATCGAATAAAAGATTTCATTATCCGGGTCATCGTCGCTTGTTTCCTCGTCAGCGTTCAAAAAACCCCCATCCGCCATAACAGGTGAGTCGAAAGCGCCATTTTTATCGGCAGCTGCTTCGCTGAGCGGTATTTCCTTTAACAGATCAAAAAACCCATCAAGAACAAAAGATATTGGCTCAGTTATCTCGACGTTGAGACAGCTGGAGGTGGCAGAAAAGATGGCCTTGCTTGAAGGAGGGATGTCAGCAAAAACAGTGGAACAATCCTCGCTGTAAAGCTTTATAAAATTCTCCACTTTCAATTCCAAGCATAAATCTGTCGAAGAACTGCTTTCAATAACGATTCCATTCAATGTGATCACAAAGCACGAAATGGTCTCGTCATTTTTAAAAAACCTAATTTTTAGCATGCCAGATTGTATGTTTAGGGTTAGGTTGGTTTTCCGGAACATCAATATTAGATCCCTGAACGCATCCATGCATATCGCCTTCGGGTTGGATGCACAATAAGTCGGAAAAGATGAGATGTCAATGTTTATATGCATGTGAAGGCCATCAGCTACCAATAAAATACTCTCAAGGGAAGAATTATTTGAGCAAACGGAAAAGGAAATTTCGTTAACATTGGCATCGGCCAGTTTCAAACCCGAATCAAGATAGTCGTTTATAAATTTTGCATTAAATACAATGTCTTTAATGGAAACAAGAGACCTAAGCTCGCCATCTTTGCATGTACAATTAGAGATAGATATGGAGAAGGTTGAGACCAAATTCTTCAAGTGCTTTTTAAAAAAGAAAGATGCCAGTCTTTCCTGCACATAAAAGGGAGCCGTATTTAGAAAGATAAAAATAAAGCTCCAAATAAGATCGGAGGAGAACATTTCCCAACCGAAAATAATGCATGGATACCAATTAGGCAAATTATTAGAAACTCTAATATTAATAGTACAATAATAAAATTATAGTCTCCAAAAATGTGTCAAGTAGCTCGTGTCGTATAGAGGTAGTATATCGCGTTGTGGCCGCGCTGACCCAGGTTCAATTCCTGGCACGAGCATTTTTTGGATTTCTAGCAAATTTGCGAAGAAATTTATTCTATTTTTAGAATGGCCTTCATTTAAAAATGTTTACAATGGGTTTGATTCAATAAATGTTTACAATGGCCTTCATTTAAAAATGTTTACAAGGACTTGTTTGTTTCTTGCAATTTAATACAATTTTTTAATGACTTTCAATTTGATAGAATATATTTGTGGCCTTGCTTGCAACGACTCTTTTGACGGTGAAAATCTGTACAATAAGCTCGCAAAGCCATTCTATTTGTCCAACACGGCTTCTCTGCAGCCAAAGGACCATCCATCCCCGGTCTCGCTGTCTCTTTCTTCGTATTCTTCTAGGCTGAAAGCCAGAAAGGCTGCATGTGCGGCAATTGCATCACTGTCGTTTCAGGATGTCGAGCCCCTCCATTCGCTTTGGTGCACATATGTATCGAAGCTATTTAGCATCCCGCCATCAAAGCCTAATAGGTCAATCTCAACATCTTGGTTGACACCTGACGATCTGACCAAATCTAGTCGCATGGATCTGCATGGCGCATATGTCACAATCAAAGCATCTAGATGTGCAGCCCAAGTTGGAAAGGCAGGTGTAATTGTACAGGAAACCTCAAAGACAGTTGTTTTGATAACCCCCGCCAATAGAATGATACGGATTCCCAAGGAAGGAACATTGTTCGAATGTGCTCTTCCAATTGCAGGAAAGGAAAGTCTTTATACAATTTTGATTTTTGGAAGCCAAATCGCGCGGGTCAGTGCCGTGGAAAGGGCCGTGAAAAAGTTCAAAAGGAAATAAATAAACACAAGCAAATTGATGCAGATGGCGGCCATTGGGTACGGAGCAATTTTGAATTTTTAAACTTTACATTAAATGACAAAGGGATCAATTTGTATCTTTAATACCCTCTGCGGAAAGGAGTACAATTTGTCGTCTCTTGAAATATGCAACATCTCTTCCGTGGTGGAGCTGAAATTTCTGGTCTCTTCAGACACTACTAGCTGTGAGCTGATTCCACCAGATCATCAAATTCTGATTTTACAAAATGGCTGTCATATTAAAGATTCGGATTTGATAGCAAACAGCCAATTTTTGACTGTTTTCTTATTTGATAAGCGCGTACTTTTACGTGATCAAAAGTCAATTTCAAATGCCAGCCACATTGAGCAGCTGGGCACCACACATAAGCACCACATTCAAATTATTGAAAGTAAATTCCAACTTTTGCTCAAATTTAGTTCCAATGGACCCAGAAGAGCCTCCTTCGATCGACAATGGCATGGCAATTGTAACTGTACGACGCCAAATATTCTTGCCTTTTTAGATGATGAGAAATGCAGTTGAATCGCATTTCAAGACCGCATCCAATCTATTGAGTGAAATGGGCGCAATGGCCAGTGGGCTTGAGGCGGCAAACAGATCGTTGCTTATTTTTATGCGGTACATCTTGCCAATTAAGACACTAGATTCATCAAAGAAAAAAATGTAAATGCAAGCTCCTATTTGGAAACAACAGGATGCAACAAATTGATAATCCGGGAGGCTGTGTTGGCAGAAAAGATTTTACAATTACCCTCCGTGATTGAAGAGAGCCTGTCAAGCTTTCAGCAGATTATAAAGGAAAATTCGGCTGTTTTGTGTGATGCTAAAGAGCAATATGCAAAAGCTGGACCTTCCATGGAAAGCAACAAGATCGTATATGATGACAGCAAAGCCCTTCTCATTGATCTTGTAAAGGCCAAGGTACCCTGTGCTTTGCACAAATTTTAGGATTTCATCCAAAGCCAACTTTTGCAAAATTTGCAATCAATTGTCGAGAAACAGAATGCCATTGCCATTCTGCTGCAAGTTGAGGGGTCCATTTCATCATGTACAAGCATTCAGGAAAAATTGGTTGAGGCCAATGGAGAATACGCGGCAGCACAGTCATTGGCTGTTCCGTCGTCACAGAATGACAAGCCGCTGAATTTATTGAACACATCGCCCCCTAATTCATTAAGCATCACTGAGCTGCTGCAAATAATTCACTCTCTGTCGGACATCAATGAGACGCTGAGCAGGGAAAATAGGGAATTAAAAGGAAACATTGCCCACTTCACATCTAATTTGAAAATCGTCGTTAAAGAGTATGCCCAAAACCTCGATCTAAACATGCAAGACATCGAAAAAATTCTGTCGAAAAGCTCAATTCTCAATGGATCTGTAGGCGAATCTCCAGAAAGCTCAACTGAGACCATTACTCCGGATTCTTTGCTTGTGGCAATCGAAAGCCTTCTTATAAGAAAAAAAACGATGCTTCAAAAGGGCTCTGGAGGCCCCCATTCTTTAAATGCCATCAAAAGCAGGCTGGTTGATATTCTTGAGGGACGGCCCTTGTCTCCCTTTGAAAAAGGTTTTCCCTGCACTTTCATCAATAGACTATGACGGTTCCCTTGCAGAGATTATGGTGCAAATACACCGGCGATTTTCAAGCGAGAAAATATCCTTTTCAAATATCACCATTGGAGACTTGTGTCTTTTTCTTCCAACGAAAAACTCGGCGCACTGGGCATCTTTTAGCATAAACTGTCCAAAATATTTTCTATCTCCTCAGGTGGTCGAGTCTCTCAAGTTGAATCGAAACCAGTAATGTTGGCATTCTGATAATAGAAGATCATGGGTTCTTGGCCGCATCCTTTCGATGACTGAAAACAAGGCCGACGGCTACAATCATGTTGGACTTTTAAATTTTACCATTAGGATACCCTCGAGATAGGGAGCTCATTTGTTCTTGTCGATATAAATGCACTGTACTTGGGATAGCATGATGCCGATGGCGAGACCGATGGTGAGACCGATGCCGATGGCGATGTAAATATGTTTTCCGTATTAAAATGTTGGTTTGCAATAAATTTTGATTTTAGCTTTGGTAATTAAAATTTAATGAATGGGCTATTGTGCCAGTATAATTCATTGGGCGGAGTGCCCACTCCTGACATTCTGAATGTCCTCTCTCCCGCCCTGAAGGCCTATTATTCTGAAAACGCATGGGATTCTATTTTACGGACACACATCCGCTCTCGGATTCAAGACGCCGATATCGCCACCTCATTCCATCAAACCATAGTTCAGCCTTTAGAGCTATGTTTCTCGACCATATCGATGTTCAATGCTGACGAAGCTTTATGTTTTTCCATTCTCGAAGAAACTGTGGAGTTGTGTCCAGCCACGTGTCTGTCCAGCCTTATTGATAGCATCGAGCGGATGTCTCCGACGCTTCAAAAGGTAGGCCTACTTTGCTATTTTTAGGGCCTGGTCCCTGGAAAAGGCAAAGCTCTGATTGCGCTTCGGATTTGTAACGACCTGATCAAAAGGACACAGCATCACTTGGTCCATTTGCGAGGCCGTGCTTTCCTGCTTGCATGCTCGCTCTTTCCCATCAATGAGCGCTCCGGACTAAACCTGCGTGGGGTTTTTTCCTCCGTCGAAGTGGAAAAAATATCGGCAGAGCTGTCGGATTTTTCTGGATTTGATGCGAGCCTTTCTTTCGGTCTTTTTGTCGTTTATAATATGTAGACCGGCTGGTGAGCACACGCGAGTTTTACCTGTCTGTACTGTCACTGCAAAAGGTGTTTTCTTTGGATTTGCTTGCCGTTTTGCAACTGTATAATGCAGAAGAGGGGAGTCAACATTATAAGCTATGGGTGTCTTTTTTGTCCACCATTGAGACGCTTGTAAAGCAGTGCTCCTCGGACGCTTTGATCGGAAATTTAACATCGCAGTCCGATTCAATGGAGCCTTCATTCAACTATCCATGGCACTATTTGTACTCGCAGGACCTATTTATGCATCAGGTACGATCCATGCTCACTAATGTGACAGATCAAAAATTCAAAATATTTTTGGTTTTCTCTCCTTTTTCAAATGATCGAGTTTTTGGTAGCTCTGTTGAGGCTATTAAAGGACCCATGCGAAGATGTCCCGGAGCAAAAAAAGAAAAAGACCATTGTAAAGGATGAGTCCGCGTTCATATCGATCATAGAGAGGCTTTTTTCAGAAGCATCTTGTTCGCCGTTTTGGTCGATCACAATCGACGAGATACCAATGAGTAGGGCTATTGATTCCTTGAAAGACGACGAGAAGGCTTGGGTGAAATGGAGGGCATCTGGTTCGCATGGAATTCCGAAATACGACAGCGAACTGCAAGTGGAGCCGGTTTCTTCGGATTCGCCTTGCCCCGTTGACCAGCCTAGCTTTGGGTTTGTCAAATGCGACTATTCATTCCTTGGAAGCGAAGCCAGTGGCAAAATGGCAAAGCCAAATTTATCAACGCACCTGTCAATACTAAAGGATGAAGATCCAAGCGATAGAGAAGGTCTTTTCCATGATCCGGTATCGATTACGTTTATGTTCAACTGTAGGTCTTTCTTTGGAAAACGTTGCGACTGCTTATTTTGCACGATAGTTATAGTGGAGGATCAACATACGATTTACTGCTTCAATCGATCGGTTCCAATGCCATTGATGCCGCCTCCGCAACAAGTGAAGAAGTGTCCGATCCAAAGCTGGAAGACGAGTTTCGTGGAAGTGAGGTTGGCATCTTGTATTCCAAAGTCATGAAAATGTAATATGAGTAAATAACCTGCAGCCCATCCTCATTTTGTTGCATAAACCGCTCCCTTGACATGCGGTTGCGCACGCTAAGGGCGGTTCGAACCAGCTGAAAGAATGGGTTGTCATCGGTGTTAATTAATCCCTTTTTAAAAGAGCAATACTTTGAATGGTCACAATCCGCACCACCCTTTGGTGAAAAGGTGTTCTAAAAATCCATCCGTTTACAATGCCCTCCCCCCCATAGGGCTGATACAGGGCCTTCGAGCGAGTTCAGCCGAACGGTGCCAAGTTTGGTCGTTTGGATTTTTAAATTCTTTGTAAAAAAATTGATGGCTGGCATTGCATGTAATGCAAGGATGGAGCCACATCCGGCCTCTACTTCCGAGTTCCATACGCCATTTGAGTTCCAAATAGACGAGAGACAAAATGAAATATCGTCCGACCCTTCTGCAGACACCATATCTAGGTTAGGAATACACTCTTCTCATCCATAAGGAGGCGGAAGAGGCTACCATTTACTGAAAGGGAAGATGCCCTGCTTTGCACACTAGTTGAAGAAAAGTCCAAAGATGGGTTTACGATTTCTGGAAATCTATTGTATGATGAGATAAAATCAAATGTAAGCTACACTTTTTTCCCTCAGTTTCCAGATAGAAGCCTCCAATCGCTAAGAACAAGATACATTAGGATCTTGCGATTTCGAAAGTCTTTACAGGCAACCGAGCAAATAGGGCCCACAGAAGCCTTTGCCCAAGTGGAAAAAGACCATGCACACGATACTTGGAAGCAGATCCAGCAGCTGAGCAATTTGAGTGTTGATTCAGAGCATCTTCAAGAGTTGATGGATGAACTGCACAATGAGCCGCTTCCCGAGTCTGACTCAAATCCAATCCCATGCGCCTTCAATGCAGCGGCCCCACTTGACACGCCTACAACAGGCCTTTGTACTGCCGTTGAGACTGCTTTAAATCCTTCCTCGCATGTGGAACAATTGGCGTCCGAGGAGCCATTAAACCCCCCGATGCACAAAAAGAATATCCTGGATTTATGTGTGGAAGAACTGCGAAATCTGAAGGAGTTCATTTCAACCCATCAAGATGGAACCATCACTTTGCTGTTGGAAACAAAATCAATCATCAATACCCGGGATCCGATTTTCATTTTTTTAGCATACCAGTCGGCCGGCAATATTTTGCTGCTAATTGACCATCTGATGGCGTCTTTTCCATCGAGCTGCAGTTGGTGGACCCCATCTTTTGACTTGGAGTTGATTCGCCAAAACTTGGATGCAATCCCATCTTCCATTTTGCATGGCGACTCTCCATCCTACCTAAGCTCAAGGATGCATTGGCTTGCAAATAAATTGTGAAATCGCCCTTTGCGTCTAAAATTTCCCAAAATCGCAGCTGTTAGCAAATTGGTTTATTTCCAAACTCTGCGTCCACCCAGGCCGATATTTTTAGGGTCCAATCCAAGCCCACATCGGCGATCATGTGAATCGGCATGCTAAATCCCGAATTTCCGGCAAATTTAGGCGGAAGCTCAACCGTCAAGCTGACAATGTTATTTTTGGCATAAAAGTCGGAGGCTGCTCCCGAGGATGCATACATGGCTGCGCTTTGCATCGATTTATAAGCATGGCCCCTCGATGAAAGGATAGTTGCAACCTTTTGATGAGCCTGCTCATTCGGGTGCATGGATGAGGTGTCGTAGCTCCAGGGCCACAAGATCAGTTGCGAAAACGTATGAAAGTCAAAGGCAATCACAATGTTATCAGCCTTGCTCACGAAAAGCTGCTCCAAAGCCTGCGTTTCGATTTCGGAACACGCATGTGGACCGGAATAAACATCAGAAACTGGGTTAGAAGAGTCTCCGGAAACACCCCATTTGCTGTTGAAATTTCGATTGAGATCGACGCCATTTCCATGCTGCGAGCGGTTTTTTCTCCAAAGCCGGTTTTGCGTCCAAGAGTACTCATACCCATCTGGATTGCAGATTGGGATGATTAGAAGCTCGATTTGGCCATCCTCCACCAGCTTGAGCAGAGTGTACATGTCGACCAAAGGATCAGTAGCATTTCCGGCCAATCCTTCAATAATCATTGCTGCAACGTAGTTGACGGTGGCCCCTGTCAGCCATTCTCTGGCATGTAGCAAGCTAAAGGTAACGCCGAAAAATTTACCTTTGAATCCAAATGACGTGTCTAGTTTTGGCGTCGCTTGCAAACGAGTGACGATTGTATATTCGGACAGCAAATACGGTTCTGTTTTCAGATGTGGTTGTGTTGGAGATGTTTTCTATATACTCGACATATCGAGGATACTTGAACGATAGATGTCGGTACCAATCCTTTGTCTCGTGATAAGTTCTGTAGGTCGAGGCCCATTGCAGTTCGGGGTTTCCACGATTGCTTTTTGAAATGATCTAGGAATGTGTAAATCGACCAAGCCAACCTCGAGATTCTTCAAAGCTATTTCAGACCTTTCGTTCTTAAGCACTTTGTTGTAGTCTTGGAGCACAATGGTAATGTTTGCATTGTCTCCGCAAATTGCGTTCATAAAAGACGAAAGATTTCTGTCCATCACGGCATATAGCTCGACATCGGTTTCATGGATCGTCACAAAGTCAGATTGCAAAAGATGCTTTACTGAATCCAATGCGAGCATCCTGCTCTTTTCAATAGATTGCTTGTCAATGCAAATAAGATCGTGGTTCGCATACAATTCCAGACTTACGCCATCAATCAGGAGGCAAAAGATTGCCAACGCTAAAAATACAAGGTGCTTCATTGCCTGGCTGTCCCCAAATTGTGACAAGGCCGCTTCATTGTTTATTTATATGTCGGTGCAAACATCAGTTACAATGCCGAAAAAAAAGCAAAGCAAGTACACATGTAAAGTGCGGGAAAATTTATTTAAACGGCGGCCATGTCCGGTGATTACGAGTTAAATTTAAGCAGTCACTAAAATGAAGGGTTACAAAAGCCAATTACTGTATGAGCTGGTTTCGATTTCGGCTGGAAGTTCTGAAATGTTGACCTCAAATCTCTCCTGGACCTGGTTGAGGATATCTGTATCGGCGGAGGTCGAAACAAAAGAGATCGCGAGGCCTTTGGTGCCAAATCGACCGGCACGGCCAACGCGATGCAAATAAGCATCAACCCCGTCCGGCATGTCGTAGTTGAATACAATGTTGACCCTTTCAATATCAATGCCGCGGCCGAAAATGTCCGTCGCAACCATGATGCGCTTCTCAAAGTTTTTAAACGACTTGTATCTAGCAATGCGTTCATCCTGGGCCATTCCGGAATGAATGCAGATGGACGGGAAATTACACTCCACAAGCAATTTGTTCAGCTCGTTGGCCCTGGCAACGCTTTTGACAAAGATCACCACCTGGTTAAATTCTAAAGAATCCAAAAGATCGTTGAGTTTCCTGTTTTTCTCGTTTTCTTGAAGCTTGACATAGTATTGTTGGAGTCCATGGAACGTCAGTTTAGCTTCGTCATCGATCAGAATTTCCAGGGGCTAATTTCATAATAAGCGAAAATTGGCATACTTTTTGCATAAACTTTTTACAGATCGGCCGAATCTCCTTGGAAAGGGTGGCCGAGAACATGAGAACTTGTTTTTCGCGAGGGGTTTGAACAAAAATGTCCTGAACGTCTTTTCTCATATCTACAGCAATCAGGGACCAAATGCAAACCAATCTGTTCCAATAGCTTATCGCATTCGTCCATCACAAAATGCTTGATTTTTTTGAGCGAAAGTGCGCGCTCTTTAAGCAATGCCAGAATCCTTCCCGGAGTTCCCACCACAATCGAAGGCACTTCCTGCTGCAGCGATTCAGTATTCTGCTTGATCGGAATTCCGCCGTAAAACACGGCAGTCTTGATGGCAGGCAAGTACTTTGTAAAGCGAGCATATTCGTTTCGTATTTGAAAAGCAAGTTCGCGCGTATGGCAAATGACGAGAACAGATGCTTCCTTCTCAATCGGTTCAATCTGTTGAAGAGTTGTAAGAACAAAGACTGCAGTCTTTCCCATACCGCTTTTTGCCTGACATAGAACGTCCATACCCAACACTGCCTGAGGTATACATTCTTGCTGAACTGTAGGAAGGTTTAGTTGAAGCCAAATAGGCGTATAGTTCTCTTTAACAAGAACGAGAGATAGATCAAAGGGGAAAAGATAAATTGGTTACTAATACCTTCTGATGGATGTTCAAAGCCACAATCGTTGATGGCTCTCATAAGCTCTGGTTTCAACAGAAACTCTTTGAAGCCAGTTGAGTGGATACCTGTGTACGAGGAGGTTGACGAAGGAGTGTGCTTCTTAGTTGACTCGCTCTTTTTGGGGGGAACAGCAAGAGAATCGGCCGGTTTTTTCAGTAGTGAAACATCATCCTCCTCATAGTCAATCAAATCGTCTACGTGGTCGGTCATTATTGTGATCGGGATTGATGGATGTTAAACAAAAAAAATTGAAAATGAGAAATTCCGGAGCCTGATTTAACGTTGATTGCATATGCAAACATGATTGGGCAGCTATTTTTTAAATTATTATTTTAACTTTAGTGGCGTGGCATGCCATGCCATGCATGGTGTTTACAATTTAATTCTGCAGCACATGAATACGTTTGATTTGGTTGAGCAATTATTGTTCTATAAGCGCTACCACACAAATAAATGGTACCCGATGTCGTTTGACAGTTTAGGAACAAAGTGATCCACTTCATATTCATTCCAGCGATTTTTTTCTCCTCCCTTGTCCTGTACCAGTGCTTTACGGAGTTTGTTCTTGGAATGTATAGCCCGGCTGTTGCCTTCCTACCGGTCGTGGTATATTCTGTTTACTATATCCTATTGGAACCAGTTGCAGGGGTAAGATATACTTCTTAGTGTAGATCACAATCACCCCCATCCTTGCAACGCTTTGGTACGGCAGTAGATTGACAATTCAGTCCTTTCCAGCGTATTCGTTGCATATTGGGGCGTGTGTATGTGCCATTGGATGGATATTCCAAATACTGGGCCATTGGTTTTTTGAGGACAGAAAGTATCCAGCTTTGTCTGAAAACATAATACAAGCTCTTGCCTTGGCACCTCTTTTTGTATATTTGGAGTTTCTATTTAAAGTTGGATATCGTCCACTTTTGCAGTCAAAAATCAGCACCGCAACGAAGGAGCAATAAACTAAACACTCAAATTTTATGACAGCACGACAGGCTAAAATGTTAAATTTTATGCTGGTATTTTTAAGTTGGGTTTACAAAATTACAATTTACAAAGTTGGGGCCTTTGGCTGCTGGCAAAGGCTGCTCTCCAATTCCACCTCCGAATGCGAGACAAAAATGGCGGGCTTGATCCCCCTTACAACATCTGAATCAATTATTACTTTTGCTACATTGGATTTTGGGATTTCAAACATCACAGGGACAAGGACCTTTTCCAAGATTGATCTTAATCCACGGGCACCGGTGCCCTTTTTATGTGCACTTTCCACGATTTCGTTCAAAGAGTCATCTGTGAAGGTAAGCGACACCTAAAAAAGTAAAGACGATTTTGAAGGTTACATTGTAAAACTTGAAGAGAGAGTCGAATTGCTTGAGCAGAGAATTTCGGGGTCTTTCCAGCGCAATAAGAAGAGACTCTTTGGAGAGGGGCTGTAGCACCGAAAAAATCGGCACACGCCCAATAAATTCGGGAATAAATCCATACTCAATCAAATCCCGTTCTTCAACCAATTCGCCAATAAGATCATATCTGGTTGAGATTGAACCATTAGAGGGCTCGGGGTCAATGTCCTCTTTGAAGCCAAGCCGCTAGTAGCTATAAAAACCGAATGAAAACCTTCAAGTTTGTTCGGTTACTGATTATCTTATCAACCCCTTGAAATGCCCCAGACAGGACAAATAGAATATTTGAGGTGTCTATCACATACGAATCTTTTCCATTTTGGGAGGCCCGCCTGGAATTCTTTTCAGAAACCGTTATAGAAGTTCCTTCAAGCAGCTTCAAAAGGGCCTGCTGAACGCCTTCTCCGCCGACGTCCCTTTGGTTTGAGAATCCTTGTCTCTTGGCAATTTTGTCTATTTCATCTAGAAACACAATTCCGGTCTCCGCCTCTTTTACGTTAAAATTACATTCCTGAAGTAAAAATATCAATCGCTACTTGAAGTAAACGGTAAATCATGCTTTCAACGTCTTCTCCAACATACCCTGCCTGGGTAAACGTGGTCGCATCACAAATGGCGATCGGCACCTTTAGGACCTTTGCAAGGGTTTTGACGAGCAGAGTTTTTCCCGACCCCGAGGGTCCCATAAGAAGAATGTTACTCTTTTCGTATATCAATTCAGGCTTTTTTTCCAGCGACGACGAAATTCTCGCAAAATGATTGCTAACAGCCACGGCCAGTGCCCTTTTTGCAGGCTCTTGGCCAATAACAAACTCGTTCAAAAAGGAGTAAATCTACATTTAAGTCGTGCAACGGCTAGGGTTACTTGTTTTGGAGTCAAATTTGAAACCCTATCTTTGGAGGCCTGCTCCTCTTGCGAAGGCAGGGTTATTTGGCTTAGTAGCGGTCGTTCTGCGGGGCTAGCTGCTTTAAAGGCGAGAGGGTTGTTGCATATTGGACAGTTATCCAAATTGCCGATCAAAGGAAACAGAGCTCTTTTTATTTTGGAAGATTCATTGTAAAACCCCAAGCTATTCTTAGCGGACGAATGCTCGATAAGTGAATTGAGGAAAGAGGGACGGCTCTGCGGTGGATTTAGCAAGGTCTTGCTGGATTTCTTCTTGAATCCCTTGCGTGAGCCGGGAGGCTTTGACGATGATGAAGAAAAAAAGATGGCCCGTGGTCGGCCAAAAAGCATGGATCGACCGAGCATCGAATAGAAGAATTAAAAATCTTGCATCGAAAAAGAAATCAAAGATATTAGCAACGGACCTCTAATTTCACATTTCATATCAGCCAAACCCTAACCCTATCAGTCGCCTTTGATGCAGACGAGATGCTACCTCCATTTTAGCCATTTGTACACATTTGTGCGCATTTTAATCCATTTTTATTACAAATTTGCGTGCATTTTAGCCGATTTTTACACATTGCCCAAAATGTCGAGCCGTCCCGTGGTACTTTCATGCGCCGTTCAAAAATACGCCTGGGGTGTCATTGGCGCGGACAGCAAAGTTGCCGATTTAGCATTTTCTTCCCCGGTTCCCCATTCGGAATCCACTTTAGAGCAAAATGCCCCATATGCAGAGGTATGTGCCAACGTGGTGATTCGGTAGTTTTGGCTGGGCACTCATCCAAACGGACCTTCATTCGCAATTGAGGCTGAGGGCAAGAAATTGCTTTCCGAAAAAATTGGGCATCCCCTCCCTTTCCTGCTCAAATGCCTCTCCGTTCGTACGGCCCTTTCTATCCAAGCGCATCCCAACAGCGAACTTGCCAAGATCCTTCGAGCAAAGAATCCCTCTGCCTACCCAGACGACCAAGCAAAGCCCGAAATGGCCGTTGCAATTAGTGGCAATTTTGAGGCTTTAGTTGGATTCCGACCGATGGAAGATATCGTTCAATTTATTGAACGGATCCCCGTTTTTGCAGAGGAAGTTTTGGGTACTTAGACACGCATACTAATAGGGTTAGGAAAGGAGCTGTCTGAGATGGTTATCTCTGCCAGTGCAAAAGAAGACCGCAAAGGCACATACAAGTCGATGCTTGAGCGAATTATGGGGCTATCTGCAGAAGCCCTCAAGCGGTCGCTTGATGGGCTGATGAAGTTTTTTACGACACAGCGAGATATGCTGCCCCATAAAGAGGTCTTTTTCAAACTATCTCGCGAATTTCCGGGAGACGTTGGCATCTTGTTTGCCTTTTTGTTGAACCATATTGTCCTTAAGGAGGGAGACTGCATCTTCTTAGGAGCCAATGAGCCGCATGCTTATCTTTCTGGATCATGTATCGAATTGATGACATGTAGCGACAATGTGGTGCGGGCTGGACTGACGCCAAAATTCAAGGACGTTCCCACTCTGGTTGAAATGTTGACATACGAGGGCACATCTCCACAAAGGTTCTATGTTCGAAAATGCGTTTCCGACTCGCCATGTACGATCCTATACAGACCTCCTATTGATGACTTTGCCCTTGAAGAGATTTCGGTGTCATCCTCAGAAAGTAGCCATACATTTGATTCCGAGTCGTTGCTTTTGGTTACCGAAGGCCAAGGAATGCTTTTGACCGCGGAAAATGAAAAATATGCCCTATCGGCTGGCTCTTCTTTGTACTTGTTCCCTGAAACACATTTTAGCCTGAAAAACGGGGAACCCTCGCGCCCATTGAAAGTCTTCAGGGCTTTCAAGCCGAAATAAAATTTCAATTGTTTATTTGCTAAAGCCAATGACACGGTGTTAGCGGTTATAGGAGCCGGATTTTGGTGCGCCGTAGCTCGGCATGTCATAGTAATTTTTGTTACCGCCATACCCTTCATCATCATCTTCGCCATTATAGTTGTATGCAGGTGTCTTCGATCCATAGCTGTCGGTGGGAAGCGCAGTCAAACTGGAAGTAGGGCAAGGTTCGGTCATTGTAAGTGTGACCGTATCTGCAGGTAGGGTCTCTGTCAAAGTCAGAGACTGGGTTTCAGTCACAAGAACGCTTTCAGTCGTCGTTGTGGGATAAAAGATCGTTGTCGTATCCAAAAAGGTAGACGTGACAAATTGCGTGGAGGCTATTGTTTCAAAAGAAATCGAGATCAGGGTTTGCGTTTCCGTAGATATCACTGGCGGCACGGTTTCGGTGACAGTCACAGTAGGCATTATGGTCGTCATGGTGGTGAAGATTTGAGGAAAAGTTTGCGTAGCCGTGCCGCTGGGAAACACTGGCGATCCCATGGGGAAAACAGGCGTCATCGAGCTCTCCGTTGGCATGGCAGACGGGAAAACTTGGGTGGGCATCAATGATGGGGAAATGTCGGTGGTTTCAGTAGGCATGGTCGGAATTTCAGAAGAAGTCGGCATCACGCTGGATTGCGGGAAAATAATCTCATTCGAGCAAGTTCGAAGGTCTTTTTTGTTCATGCGACAGCCAGAGCCAGATGGATATGCAAAAAGTGAGTGGAACACGGAGAGTGAAATGATGGCAAATACGGTGAAATACATGATGCAATTTGGATGTTCCTCCGCATCAAAGCCGCGCCTTAAATAGACATCGAAAAGAGCCTTTGATTAATTCATGATAAATGCTGGACAATCAACCGCCAAATAGATTGCCTGCAAGGGCCATTTGGTGGCAGCCGGTGCAAGTTTTGGATTTTAATGTGGCGGAAAATAAAATTTATTTCATACTTTGGTTGCAATGTCCTCCTCGTCGTCATCGTCATCGTCGTTGTACAAACACACCAATACCTACAGCACTTCTGAACAGAAAAAAGACGCATATCAGCAAGATACTTATGCCTCAAAGGCCCCGCTGGGATCTCAGGCATCGACCTCCTCATCTGGGGTGGGATTGAAGGCAGAATTTGCAGACAAGAAACCATCTCCCCATCAGTCTGATTTTTCGAACAAGCCGCAAAATTTTCCATACGATGCTGCAAGATCTTTTTCCAACATTTCGCCGACGTTTTCCGATGCAAAGCCTTCCGACTTTCAGCATTCAAAATTGGCATCATATCCCTCAATGTCATCGACCCCATCGCTTGGGGACAGCGTGTCGACCTCTTCTCTGTTGACGCTTTTGTCAAGGACTACATCTTCATCCTGCTCAATTCCATCCAAAATACCGTCGCCATCGATCAATGCCTCTAGCCCGCTGTTGCAATTAGTCGACGAAAATCAGGCTTTCAAGTAGGGGGGCGTGTATCTGCTTACTTTTAGTAACCATTTGGAGCACCATCTTTGTGATGTTCTGCACTTGTACCCACGCGGAGGAACATCCACTTGTGACTACAAAGTGATTGCTGTCTTTGGCGCTCAAAGCTCCGGGAAAAGTTTATTTGCCAAATTTTCTTTTAGGCACTTTGCTGAATGCGCTTTTTGGCACTGCATTTCCAGTCATGAGGGACGAAGTGCGATCCCAAACGACAAAAGGTTTTCCCGCATCCCTTAGTGCTAGGAATTTGGCTTAGCAAGTCTCAAGGCGCGCCCTTCCTGATTCTTGATGTGGAGGGCACTGATGGCAGAGAAAGAGGCGAAAATCAGGTAGTTACTCTCTTTTTACGCATGCAGGACTTTGAAAGAAAGGCCGCTCTTTTTTCGCTGGCCATAGCTCAGGTGGTCATTATAAACATGTGGGAATATTCCGTCGGGCTCTACAATGCTGCAAACATGGTTCTTTTAAAGACCGTTTTGGAGGTCCATGCACAGTTGTTCCAGAACCAAAAAAGGTACTCCATTGAGCGATATTTGATCACCCCAATAGTTCTGTTCGCACAACTCTGCTGTTTGTCATTCGTGACTTCATTGGGACTACTCCTTTTTCTCAGCTGCAGAACATTATTAAAAATGACCTCGCCTCCATTTGGTCATCTCTATCAAGCAAAAACAAGGAAAGGCACGATTCGTTGGAAGATCACTTCATCATTGCCTTTGCAAATTTGCCTCATAAGGTTCTGAAGCCAGACGACTTTTCCAGACAAATAAAAGACTTGGCCACAAGATTCTACGATGCTGATTCCAGCAACCCAAATTCGGCTCCCATTTTCGCACACATCAACCGCTCTGATAGCTCAATTGTTCCACTGGATGGCTTTGCTGCATATGCTTCTGTAATTTGGGAGCGCGTCAAGACAAACAAGGATCTAGACTTGCCAACGCAGCAACAGCTGCTTGCCCAATTTAGATGTGCTGAGCTGTGCCAAGTACAGATGCAAGATTCCAATTTCATCATAGATTGCCTGGGATCGGCTTGAGACCGCTTTGGCCGGCCTGACGCTGTCAAATGGAGCACTCCATCCTTCTCTTGGAGCATCTCTTGATGCTCTTCTGACATCTGCAGATGCAGAGTTTTTGGGTGCCGCTCAGCGCTACCATCCGGCAACCGTTGAAAGGCAACGAATGGATTTATTGGAAAAGTCCATTGTCACCTTCAGACCAATTGTTACGGAGCAACTACGTACGGCTAGTAGGCGAGCGCTATTGTTATTTGTGGGGGGCGTTGAAGTACTCTTTTGCCATTTGAATTGATCTTAGGCCGGCATGAGAAGCGGAACGCACAAATTTTCTGACATTGTCGCCTCCAATTCATCTTCTGCCGCTTCCTTTTTCGATGAAAAAGCAAACAGTAAGATGCTAATTTAGCTTTCCATCAAAATAGCGGCCATGCCTCAGTCTCTGAATACCGGAAGTGATACACTTCGTCAAATGGGCATTTCTCCAATCGACTGGGGGCTTTCAGATGTGAGAAAAGAACTGCTCGAGTCTATCAATGAGCGCGCTTCATTTTACAAGCGAGAAGAGCTACAAAGAGCGATAACCCTGGTGTCTGATAGCTTTCAAAAGGCTTTAACCCGAAGACTTTCCGGGTTGTTGGATGATGCATCCTCTGGGGCGCTTGAGTCTAGAAAAAAGTCTGCATCAGAAGGGGAGAGAGGCGAAGCTTTGAGTGGTGGCAGTGGTTTGCATTCTTCTTCAGGGGTCTGGGAGGCTCTGTTCCAGCTTTACCCCCGTCTGGTTGGGGATGCACAAACTGCTCTTTCCAACCGGATTTCGGGCATTCTTTCCTCAGACCTGAGCATGGATGATCGTGAAAAGGATAAAAACGCCGCGCAAGCAAAAGAGCTCGGCCAAAAGCTGTATCGCTCTTGCTGGGATCACATGCTAACTCGCCTAAAAGAAGACTTTACCACAACTTCGGTTGTTTTGGCGAGATTAAAAAGAAGGTTTGTGTGCTTATTTTTGACAGCCATTCAGGTTCGATCGCACCTTTAGATACGATGCTAAAGGTGCCCCTAGGCTGTGGACACCCGGCGAAGATGTCAACAAGCCCTACAGTTTGGCAATTGAGCAGACCACTCTTTTGCTGGAAGATTTTTCTGAACTTGTCGGAATTCCGATCGGGGCTTCCTTTGTTCCGTCCTCCCAGACCATGGTAGATGTGCTAATTTTGATCGATAGGATCGTATCCCATTGATGTCTCCAGAGCAAAAAGCCCTGATCAAGGAGTCGTTTTTGAGAGATGCGGAGCTGGCGTTCATCGAGGCAACTAGATCGACCCTTTTGCAGCCAAGGACCCAAATTCCAACGTGGCTTATTGTGCTATTGATTGTTTTGGGCTGGAACGAGTTTATGGCCATACTCGGGTCGCCGTTTTACTTTTTGATAGCGTTGATTTTGGTGGGCATTCTCGTTGTGTATGGATACCTGCCTGCATTTGGGTCTCTCATCCCGACCGCTACTTCAATTTCAAACATCTTGATTTCCAGGGCATTAGAATATATACAGCAATTTGCCGCCCAAGAGCGCCGCCCAGAAGCCGGCCATTCTCAGCGAAGAAGCACATTTTCGCCCTCGTCGTCAGGCTCGTCATTGAGAACACAGGCTTCCCACTTTGACACTCATAAGCCATCTTTTGGCGGCAATCGCAGCTCCCCTCCAAGCTTTTCGCCAGATCTGGCAGCCAATGCTGATTTCCACGACGATCAAGACGATGATGAATACGCTAGTAATGAGCGGACCTCTCTGCTTTCCACAATTTCGAAAAAATAAATCCGATAATTCTCGTGCTTTTCAGGCCTTTATTTATAACAAAAACCTTATGTGGCAAGTCTATGGATAAGGGGATAGAGATCGTTGGCTATGGGTGCTGGCGCAGCACTTAGGAACATCGAAAAGCTATAAAGTAAAATCACGCGCACATTACTTTTCCATGAAAAGATGCGGCAGTTCTTTGTCTGGTTCCGAGGAAAGAAACGGTCTTACTTGAACAAATGTATCGATAATCTAATTGGTAGGGCAAATGTCCGCATTCAATACCTTGTCGGTAAGGTTCGGATATAGCGAGAAAATGGAACACGAAGCGGAATCTTTTGGGAACGAAAACACATTTACCAAAAGGCGACAGATGAGGCGCGCATTGGTGGACCTAAAATGCTCATCTGCCGCCATCAGATTTGTTTGCAAAAATTCAAAAAGAGATGCCGACGAGTTGGGCTTGAATATGATTTTCTTGAAGACATCTCCGTTGAAGGGCGCATTTCGAATGATGTCTAACACTACAGGCAAAAAGATAAACGATCAGGAAATTACATGGGAAAATCTCGTTGGCAGGAAGTCGCTCTAGGAGATCCCAAAAAACCTGGGCAAAGTTTAAAGGTTCGCCCCCCAAAAAGGCTGGCTCCAGTAAATACTCCAGAACGGCCCTTTCATCATCCTAAAATAAGCGATGCCGCGTACATTTATCAATGCAAGAAGCTTCTTGAAAATGCCACTCTTATTGATCGCAGTAATCTTGTGATACTTTTGCCGGTCCTGTGGTACGGACACTGGAGGGTTTTGTGGTCGACACTCAAGTGGGTTTGCCGATGTGTTTTTCAAGATAAAATCGACCACTTGGGCGTGATACGCTTCTGGAAGGTCATTTTCAGCAAGGAATTTCGATGCTACCTGGTGGGGGTTGTCTAAAGGTATCAACAGAATGGCGACAAACCGTCTCGGTTCATTTGTAATTTCAATGGAGGAGCGTCTTCATGCACATCAACCGAAAACTCGTAATCATACTGCGATGTGTTTGTGGATGGCGGAGAAGAAGAAGCCGTGCTGGTAACTTCTCCAATTAAATGCCACTGCGCATTTTTCCACTAAGTTGTGATTAGAAAAAAGGATGAACCTCGTAAGCAAAAGAAACGGCCTCCTTGTGTCCGCAATTTGGATTGTTTTTGGCGACGCAGATTTGCCCCTCTTTGGTTCCTAATTTTAGCTGGCGGCAAAAATCAAACCTCTCCGTAGCATAAGATCGGAATATTCATAAATTGTCATGGCCTCGTGATCGAAGCCCTTGGGCGCGTGCAACTCGATCTTGTTGCCAATAGAAGACAAAAAGACAAGGTCCCCAGATGAACAGCCGAGAATAAGAAGAGGTACGTCCGCGTATGAAGAGCAGTTTGCAACAGACCAAATGGAAACGGTATTTGGCAGGTGCAAATTTTGGATCAGCTCAACATCTTGTGGAAATGGGATCGATTTCCATACCTTGCCATTGCAAAACGGTGCCATTTTCTCCCACGGCAACGGTACAATTGACGCCGTTTTGAATTTGACATACGCTATATAAAAAATCTGCCGCTGCCGAAAGGATTCTGATGCAACTTCCGGTGTCAGACCATAGGCGAACCGTGCTACGGTAAAATGGCTGTGAAATACCCGTCGTTGGAGCTTGAAGCAAACCCAACTGCCATTGGCAGGGCACATAATGCTCGTACTGCGTCTGTGTGTCCCGTCATCGTTTTGATACATTTTTCGTTTTTCCACATCTTAATGGACTTGTCTGCCGACGCGGTGAGGAAATTTCCGTTTGGAAGAATAAGAACGGCCCACACGGCTGCCTGATGCCCCGAAAGCGTATGCTTTGGCATTTTGAATTGATCCCACACGATGGCTGTTCTAATTGTGAATCCAAATCGCAGCAAAATACTTGTCCCACGAGCCGGAAATAAGGGTGTCTCCATCCAGAAAAAGGGAAGAAACGTTATCTGAATGGCCTAAAAGCAAGCGGTACGGTTCTGAATCTGCAGACTGCGTTGGATCGAATGCAAAGATGACTTTATCGGAGCCGCCGCTGAAAATCATTCCTATTGTAAGGAAAGGCCCCGTCCACTACCATTTGGAAATTCGCAATTTGGCGTCTTAAAGACAAGAGAATTTACAAAGTTGGAATGAAATGAAAATGACCTTGTCTCGCTGGTCTCATAATTGGAGCCTTTTCTGCGAATGGAAAACACTTTGACATGTTTATCGCGCGAGCAGGTGATGATGCTGAATTTGATGTCGGCATCGTTGTTGGCATCATCGACAGGTCCAAAATATGGCGCCGAAATGACAGCCTTTACCTACAAATATAGGGGCTGCATTACGTCACTAGAATGTGCGGCGATGACGCTGTGAACCGGGTTCAATTTACACGACATTCAATACAATTAACACACACGGCAATTTTAAATCAATTTCCGGAGCCAACTTTTTTGTTGGCAACCGATCCGTCCCCCATATGACGTGCGGTGTTAAAAAGAGCATGCGCGGTGTCAAAAAGAGCATGCGCGGTGTCAAAAACAGGATGCCTTGCCGGCTTCTTTTATTATAACTAAATAGACAGATTTTTCAACTGGTTTAGCTCGGTCAACAATTCAACCTCTTTAGAAATCTTATCAAGCTAATGGGTCAAGGCATATATAAAACCTGATTGAGCTCCAGAGGTTCTCCAGAAGCCTGCTTGGTTTTTAACAGGCTGATTTGCTTTAGCTTTAGCGTGATATTTTTAATCAGCTTTTCCTGGGGTGATATTTTGTCCGGCTTTTGAGCTAATGCTGGAAAATCTGAAGGCTTCGGTTGCTCGGCTGCAGCTTTGCGCAACGAGGGCGGCACATATGCAACTTTTTTTTCTACCGTCACAAAGACAAAAATACCGATGCTTGCGTTCATGACCTTGTTCAAGACATTGGAGTTTACTTGAAAATTGGCAAAAGTTCCCTTCGGAAATCGCCTCCACATGGCCTACAACCTTATCAACGACTGGCTACCTGTAAAAGCTCGCTAAATTCGACGTGCGAAACAAGGCCTCCTGTGAAGTCGTAAATCTTGATGCCGTTGTCTACTCGCAATCTTGGAGAAAGTGTTGCAAGCAGCAAAAAGCGACCGTCTGGCGACCATTCAAGCGTGGTGGTCCCTGGCGCTTTAAAGCACGAAATTTTTTTAAGCTTTACACGGTCCCAGATCTCCACAGATCCAGAAAGGTTTCCAAAGCCAGACATGCAGATCAGATTTCCAAAGGGGTTAAACTTTACAAAGTTTCTTGGAGAAGATCCAAAATCAAAAACGGGACGGCAATTGGAATCAAATATCTTTGCACGAGCAGGCATGTCTACATTAACGCGCGTGCAGGACTTACTTCCATAAACGACAATAAATTCATTGGAAACGGGACTCCACTCCACAGCATGAATAGGCCCCTCCGAATCTGAATATTAATGCAGCGGGTGTACCTAATCTTAATTGGCAGTCAAGAGATCCATCCGCCGAGATAAAAACAATCGACTCGTGTCCATAGTAGGACTTTCCATTTTTATCTTCGTCCGAATGAATAAACGCAATCAAGTGGGAGCCCGTATGATTCCAAAGCAAATCTACTCTGTCCGCTTTGTAGAAGCTTTTTGTTGCCCTTGGGAGTGTAGAAAGCCCGCCTGGAAACGAAAATATTCTAATGTTAGAGGGAGACCCATTGTCGCCCTCAAAGTAAATTGCAATCTTCTGAGCGGTTTCGGATGGGGAAAGACAAAACGAGACCATGTTGCGATCCTTGAACGAAAAACATGGCGTATATGGGGCACAAGAATTGGTGATGATCAGTTCACCCGGAGAATTGGAAAATCGGACGAAAAAGGATTCGTCAAGTGTCCATTGGACTAGCCAATTGTTGGTGTTTCGATTCAGAAACGAGTAGATGACCTTTTTCTGATCCAATGACCAAACAAAGCAATTATCCGTTCTGTAAAGCTCGTGGCTGATTGGCACCTTTGTATAAATGCAAAGAAACTTGGATCGGGGAGAAAAATGCAGATGTTGGATGGATCTACCCTCTGAGACGTCCTCAATAGGGACGGTAGTGTTGTCCTCGAACGAATATAGAAAAAGCCTACAAAATAGGTTCAAAATAAAATATACCCCTTAGAGTTGGGCGCATAGGCCAAATAGGTTCCGCAGCTGCTAGCACAGTTTGCCTTTAGACCTTCATCAAGCGACAGCTGGGTGGAATTGTTGCAAAGATCGGGCGATGAAAAGGTCCCCGTGGAAAGGCTGACCACTTTGGAAGTGCTTGCGGTTCTGTCTAGAAAGATTACAAAAGGGACGGCAAATACAAAAAACAGGCAATATAGAAATGCTGGACATTAAATTATGTTATTTAAATAAAAAGGGAATTTACAAAGCCAATTGCTAGCTTTGGGAAATTTAAATTTCGTACAAATACATCAAAGGTTTCAATCCAATTTTATCAACTTATTTATCACGTATATGGCGTGAAGGGATATAAAACAACAGGCGGGCCCGTCGAAAATTATCGAAAATGAAAATCCAGTTTACGTATTTTCTTTCTCTCCTCTTTTTACTGATTTCTCTTGCATTTTCTTTGGATGATGGTGAGTTTGAGACCGCAGATTTTGATGAATCTGATGTTGCAGATGTAGAGCAGTTCCCGGGGCCATTTCCTGGTCCATTTCCCGGGCCATTTCCTGGTCCGCGGCCCTTCCCTCCGCGATGTATTTTTTGCCCATTCAGACCGTGCTTTTGCCCTTTTGGATATGAGTGTCGATACAGTCCTCGCACGTGCTTCAGCTGCTCATTTCCGTATTGCGTAAGATCATTTCCAAGGCCATTCCCAGGACCATTCCCAAGGCCATTCCCAGGGCCATTCCCAGGGCCATTCCCAGGGCCATTCCCAGGACCATTCCAAAGACCATCATCTCCAGGACCCTCACCTCCAGGACCTTTTCGCCAACCTGTAGAACAAGGCCCAGGCAACAGACCTGCTTCGGGCCAAGGGCTACCTAAATAGAGCCGCCGTACGCAGCAAGCAGTACTTTAGTATCAAAAACAGCATCAAATAAATTCGCTTTCTGGCATGAAATCGTGCGAGCACAAGGGAGATGTGGCTAGCCTAATTTAGGTGATTTAAATTTGGCTTAAATGATAAATCCCTGTCATTAGCAACAGCGATTTTTCACGTGTCATGGATTTCAATCTCGATTCGGTTCTTGCATTTGTATCCTATTTGTGGAATGTAATTGTAAACATTCCAGGGATGGATTATATAATTACTTATATCAAGAACTCGTATCAGAATGATCCTATACGCATTATCCTGGAGGGTTTTCTCATTCTGTACACCGTCAAGTATTTAAAAAGCAAGAGACGCAACAAAGCCGATGAGGAGCTTTCAGAGCGTGTAAGCTGTAGCTTTTAAATTCAAGGACATCGATGAAATCATCGAGGAATGGATTCCATCTCCTCTGGTGCCTTGTGAGTTGCCACCTTTGGCAAAGTTTAACCTGGACACGATAAACCCCATTACCAGGTATTGCTTTTTCGTAAATTTCTAGCGAAACCGGGATGCTTGTCAACACGAAAAAAGCAGCTGGAGATGCTTTCAACTTGGTATCCTTTAATCCGCTGGGGATCCTGAATCAACCGGACCTCAAAGTAACGTCGTTTAGCAACATCTTATCATAAGGAAATGTCTGCAATGGCAATCAAAAAATATGGTGTCGGCACATGCGGTCCTCCTGGGTTTTATGGAACCTTGGACATTCATCTTGAGCTGGAGGCAATAATTTCAAAGTTTCTCCGAACACAGGCATCGATTCTTTATTCGCAAAACTTTTCCGCCGTCAGCTCTGTGATCCCTGCTTTTTCCAAAAGAGGAGATATTATTGTTTGGTATCCCTGCCTGTTGATAACCATTAGCGATGACGGCGTTAATTTTGCTCTGCAGAAGGGCGTCCAAATAAGCAGAAGCGATATCTTCTATTTCATCCACAATGACTTGGCGGACTTGGACAGGGTTCTGTCCGAAATTGACCAGATGTACAAGGGCAAGCTTCTTACGCGCCGCTTTATTGTCACAGAGGGCATTTTTGCTAAATATGGTGACATTTGCCCGCTTCCGCAAATCGTACGGCCAGGCATTTTGATTTCGTTTAGATTTCTTTGAAAAAAAAGTACAAGTATCGTCTGATTTTAGACGAATCCCTGTCGATCGGCTCCATTGGCGCAAGAGGTGCTGGGCTTACTGATTTCTATTCAGATCAGGTCTCCGTCAAGGACGTTGACATGATCATTGGATCGCTTGGCCATGCTTTTGGAGCAACGGGGGGATTTTGCGCCGGATCGACCACTGTTATTGACCATCAACGGCTCGGAGGACAAGCATATTGCTTCTCTGCTTCGCTTCCTGCACTTCTCACAGTATTTGCGCTTTCGGCTATCAAAAGCATGCCGGGAATGGAGAGTTCTAGTGCGTTGGCTAATGTTGCGGATGGAATCCAACATTCCCTCGAGATGCTTCCCAAAAATATTTCTCTTTTCAAAAAGTCGCTTTTATCGCGGTTGCCCTCCTCATTTGAAGTGCGATCCAACGATAGCTCGTTGGCCTCGTGTTTGATCCACATTCAAATGGCTTCAAACCCCGAGAAGCACCCGGATAGAGATATCTTTTTCGAGGAAAAGATCCTCCAAAAGGTCGTTGACTTGGCTTTGGAACAAAACATTTACGTGACGCGTTCTAAAGACGTGCGTACAGAGGACATAAAAAATCTTCCCCCAAGCATTAAGCTTTGCATTTCCGGCGCCTTTTCCGAGTCTCAAATGGCAAAGCTTATAGATGGCCTTGTCGAGGCATTTACGAAAGTCGACAAAGAATTCAAGGATAAAAATTCTAAATTTTATTTGCAAGCTTCGAGTGTATCCTAATAAAGGAATCGACCATGGCCCAAATTTCCTATGTAAAGGATTAGGGTTACCAATAAATTACCTTTGAATGCCCCCTTATATAAGCTTCTATTTGTTGTTGCTTGTCAATATAAGCCTTATCGATGGAGATGAGGAATTGTTCGGGGAATTCTCTCCCATACACTGCCTTTCATGGTAATTCAAATGTAGCATCTACCTCGAACAGGGGCCCCAGCTGTGTTTCCAGGGCATCTGGGGAAACCGTTTCGCTGATCATATGAAGCAAGGTATGGGGGATTGAAGAGTTCATGACAAATTTTAATTTTTAATTTGGAATGTTGTTGTCTTGTCCGGGAAATGTTTCATGTAGATGTTACGGTTATTTTTTCTCCCAAATGTCTAGACAGTGTTTATCGTCCAAGACAAAACTGAGTATTGCACCACAAGAAATTCCCGTTATAGTTCGGCCAAAATTTCGCCTCGAAGAGCAAATAATTCAAATAGAAGCTAGCCCCGGTACAACCGAAACCAAAGGATTACCACGTATTGCTTCACCTCAAAGGGAGCCTGAAATCTTGGAAAAAATATCTGCAACCAAAGAAGAGGCTTTGTTTGGACGAAGAATGGTCTACAAGGGCGTGAATGCACTTAAAAGGCTAAGGAAAGCTCTCTCCCAGTCAACGCAACAGGAAGAACAAACATCAAACCCGGTATTACCGGCGGAGCCGCCAAAAAATCAAAATGAGTTAAAAAAACGTGACCTCCCAAAACAGCCGATCCTCCTTTCAAATGAAAAAATGGAAGAATACTTGAAAAGATTGCTATTTCAAGTTTATGGGGAAAATTTGGATTTGGACAGGTGGAGATCTGTTTCACTGTCCGATTTGAAGCACAAATTTTTTATAGTTGCAACGGTTATGCAGGACCTCAATCGGGAAATATACAATACAGACCTTCTTTACTTGGATAGCATGGACGATCTTTTTAGTTATCTTCAAATCCCTCGACAAACTATTTCCATAGAAAAGGGAAATCCAATTAAAGAGGTTTTTGTCAACTACTCGCCCGATTCTATTCCACAAAATCTTGATACGGCCCAATATAAAAACTCTGTTACATTAAAAGAAGAGCGCGCTAGATTTTTGAACGAAAACTATCAGCTACATTTATCTTATCTAGCGTCAAAAAAAAAGAATGACGCCACCAATGAATCTCGTGGAAATATAAGTTAAATAAACGCCGGAGATAAAAAAGATAAAAGGCCAGGTCCTTTTTATTTGGATCTCACTCGTTTGTCACGTATTAAAATTCATATTCCCAAGTGCTTTTTGGCAGAGCATTAATGAAGCCCTAATGCACCAACACGCACCAAAGCGATGTTTTTAAATTCTGTCTTACAATCAAGAACAATAAAAGGTTGTCTCATATATAAAAATACATTCAAAATTTGGCTAGCAAAGGCGCTATATCAGGGCTTCCCTGGCATATGGCTGCATCAGTAAGGTTAGAACACAAACCCTACGATAATCCAAAATTCTGGACTGAACATTGTCCATGGAAGCTCAATATTAGGGTTTGAGTTCCAGTGCAATTAATTAATTAATTAATAATTTAACGTTCCGGAGGTGTATTTGCTGCGAATTTCAAACGTAACTATCCAATCAATTAGCAGCTACGTGAATACTCCGAAAAATTAGCGATATTTATTGATTCGGTTTTCTCGTTGTATGAACTTGAACGATGGGGTTGACGAATCCTCTTACTCTTTTTGGGCGCATGTGCCTCACTTTCTTTATTGCCTTCCTCGATATGAACACCAAATTAGCATTTAATTGTGTAAAATTACAAGCTGCTTGAATTGAAGGTTGACTAGCCTTAAAAGTTAATTTGAGGGTATGGTGACTCAAGACATGTTTAAGAAGATGCCCGAAAAACTCTTTCAAACAGATATAAAGGGATTAGAGCTTGAAAAATCTACGATGATGCGTGTAAAGTAGAATCTAGGTAAGCATAAAAATGGGACTCACGAAGACTTTTATGAAAAATCTTGTGGTTTAACTGGAAAAGTTCCTTTCATCAAATAGACACCTGAGCGTATCGAAGGCGTTATCCGCGACAGCGCAATGACTATTTTTCAAGCTTTTGAGAATATAAACATCATGTACGAAGTAGGATTATGCCCCGACAATCATCAATAACGCAGAGCTAGAATTTGAGGAAGCGATTAAAAAAGCATCTATTAGGCCAAATGCTCACGAATTGCTAGGAAGAATATCTAGAAAAGCAATTGAAAGCTTGTAGAAAAGAGTTGAATCGAAGCTTTCGACACAAAGATCGTAAAAACTCTCAGAACCCCGAAATTTTACTCCAAGAATGCAAGACCCCTGTTGAAATATGTTGGCATGGACCAATGGTAAATCCAATTGCAACTAAAATTGGAATTTTATTAAAGTTTAGATCGATTTTTTTAATTGGTTCCTCTTTTTGAATTGTGGCTATTCAAATCAACCCTTCTACTCTGCTTATGATTGGCCAGCTGGGCAAGAATGCATAAAAATTCAAAGTTCATTTCCTTTTTTGCACATGGATTACGCATTTGAAGCGGAGGAGCTGGAAACCACTGAAGTGACATCTTGTTACTTGGAGGGGACTTTGGCTTTGGAAACCAAGGTTTCATCCTTTACTCAGCAGCATCGAGTTTCAACTCGAAATTTGGAAAAAAATACGGGAGGCAGCATTGTCTTTGATAACGATCTCGAGGGGCATGTGAATAGGATAACATTTAAGCAGTCATGCATGTTATACCGCTTTTGGGAAATGATTTTTTCATTTTCTGAAAGGCTAGAAAAATCGACTTGCACCGAAGAAGTAGTGGATCTTTTCAGAAAATATGTCAAGGTTCCAGGTACGGGCGCATATTTTTACTTTAGAAATTCGATTAGACATCAAAAGAAAGAGCCGGCTGGGAAATCTATTTTCGCTGCCAAAATTTGAAAATCTGTCTTTGGAGCCTGATGGACAAACATTGCACGTCACAGAATCAGAACCCTCAATGGGAATTGAGGGTATTGAAAAGGGCACACAGAAAAGCAACCAAAAATCTGCGCTTAATGAACTGTGGCTTGGGATGTTAGGAAATTTTTCACATCCCGACATTAACCTTCTTCGATTTTTGCGTGCAAGAAAATGGTCGCTTGACGAGGCTTTCAAAATGTTTGTAGAGTGCTTATATTGGCGATGGTCCAAAGACGTTCTCTCTTTAATGAGGCTAGGTGAGTCTTCAATTCCGCTGCATTTGATGAAGAGTGGAAAAACCTTTTTCCACGGCACAGACAAGTCAGGCCATTCACTCATGTATTGCTTTGCATTTTAATTCTAGCTTTGTCCTTTCAAAAATGCACGACAGGCGGTCCCAATCAGAAGAGGAGAGTGAAAACTTTACAATCTACCACATGGAACTGGGAAGAAGAATGCTCGGAGAAGGAATGGAAAAGACAACTATTGTCTTTGACTTGAAAGATGCCGGTTATAATTCGCTGGACATTTCTTCTATTAGGCATATGATTACGTGTTTTCAAAGCAACTATCCAGAGAGCTTATATCGCTGTTATGTTTTGAATGCCCCGTGGCTGTTTTGGGCCCTTTGGAAGCTGGTTTCGCCGCTATTGGATCCCGTAGTTGCTGCCAAAATCACCTTTGTCAAAAGGGTTGAAGATTTGCTCAATTATGTCGATGAGGCGAACATACCATCTGCTGTTTTGTCAAAAGCAAGGCCGTTGGACAATGGATTAGTAGTGGTGACGCCCATATTCTGTAAGTCTATTGAAAAAACAGACATTGATGAAAACCATTGGAATGAGGCGCTTTTAGCGTCTCTCGATGTTCTTAAGAAGAAAACTTTAAATATAGCTTCAATCCTTAAAGACTGTTCCGAAGAGGATTTTGAAGACAAAGTGGGGGGACTGATATCTCAAAGAAAGATCACCCAGGAAGAGTATAAAAAGTACGCTTCAGGCTCTTTATTGGCTTCATATGCAGAGAACGTATACGAACGGCACGGTATTCTCGATCACAGCGATCCCACATATTTAAATTGGAACAGAAGACTGTATAGGTAGTGCCAACCAATCCGTTACAATGGGGGCAGGCGGCCGTGATGGATCATGTCAAATGACAACTTACAAAGTGCAGATTTAAATAAATTTTAATTTTTGTCTTATGGACGAGTTTTTGGCCTTTGACAAGGAAGACAGGGAGCAGCAGCAACGGCATGAACATATGCCTAAAGAAGATAGGATCAAGAAGCGAGAATTTTCATCTAAATCAAGCCAAAGTGCCATAAAAAGAAAGAGGGAAGGAATTCGTCAAGTTCCTGCAAGCTCGCTTTTGTCGACTACTAGTCCTTGGATGGAGTATGCGGCGCATTCCTTCCTCTCGCCAAATCATACCATTTCAGAAAAAAGGCTGGCATACTGGAAGCACTATGCATCATTGCATCCGATTGTGCAGCTCCATGAAGAGATAATTGCATTTGAACAGTACATTTCACCAACACCATCTGAGATGAAGGCTAGGTCTGACCTACTCCAGCGGATAGACAATGTGGTGCAAGAATTATGGCCAGGCTCAAAGGTCCCTTTGGGCGTGTTTTAATTATTAGGTCTCTTCTTTCGGCTCGTTTTACACGCAGCTCTATTTGCCCACTTCAGACGTTGATCTTGTGGTAATAGGAAATAGCGGAAAATCGGGTCTGAGGCGGCTGGCTTCTGAACTCGTCAAACAGGGCCTGGCAGAACAGCACTCGATCAAGGTCATCTCCAGAGCAAGGGTAAGTGCGCTTTTTTAACGCTAGATCCCAATTATAAAATTCACCGAAAAAAAGTCCAAAATTGTGGTGGACATCAGTTTTAATCAAGAGTCCGGAGTTGAAGGCTCTGAGAAGCTACGTCGTTTGGTCGGGAAATGGCCCGGAATTCTCCCGTTGCTTTTGGTTCTCAAGCAGTTTCTGCTCAATCGCGGTCTGAACGAGGTGTATTCTGGCGGGTTGAGCTCGTACGGCCTAATCCTACTTTGCGTGTCTTTTTTCCAGATGCATCCGATGATCCAGGCTCGGCTAATCCGGCCAGAAGAAAATTTGGGCGTGCTGCTGATCGAATTTTTTGAGCTGTTTGGCAAGTGCCTGTCGTATGACCGCGTTGGCGTTTCCGTGTTGGGACGAGGCTCCTATTTCGAAAAGGGCGAAAGATTTCCTATATCAAACCACCACAGCGGGCATTTGCTTGCAGTGGAGGATCCCTACGATACTTCGAACGACGTCACCAAAGCTTCCTTTTCGATTTCGGTGGTCAGGCAGGCATTCGGATACGCGTTTGAAATTCTTACGGCGCTGGTGGGCGAGCGATTGCGGATGCTTCTCGATCCGGATCCAGAACGCGTGGCCAGTTTGAAAGGACTGGCCGCACTGCCACCGTCACTGCTGTCTTCGATAGTAGTTGTCCCCGAAGATGTCCGTAATCGTAGGCTCCAGTAAGCAAATCGCGATAAGCGCAACATTGAGGCAAACCACCTCAGGCACATCGGGGAAGCGGAGCGTATTGCTCCGAAGCCGTCCCAATAAATTACCGTGTTTTTATTTTGCCGATACTACGTTATCGACGTGGAGCGCCGATTTTTGGATTTATTGTGCCGCAGCTTTGATGGAGGCAGTCACCTTTGCAAAGACAATTTTTTCCCTACACGGAGTTAATAGTTTGCATCATACCAGTCGATTTTTGACTTGAAGATGGGAAGCGAGCGGCGCAGGTGTCGCAAGTTTTCCGCAAGAGTCTCGATTTCGCTCTTTATTTCAATTGCCAGAGGAACAATGGCCGTGGGAAGGTTTGAAACGAGGACGGGTTCAATTCGCATCTGCTTGAAAAAGTGTGCACTGCAGTCATCGGTGGAATAAAAGCAGAACGACACCATGCCTGAGACAATCTTTTGCGTGCTTTTTTCGACAATCGCTTCCTGTAGCCAGCGCCCATTTCGTCTACAGGAAACAAGGGCAAAGAAACCTTTCACTCGTCGCCGAGGCAATAAGGCGCAACGAATCCTCAGTAGGGCCCTTAACTGCTGTCATGATGCTAAAGTTAGGGCGCAGATTCTTCAAGAAAAGCTCTCTGAAAGATCGAGCGCTTTCAATGGTATCTACGTCGAGCGTCTTTTCGTCTTCGGGCATCAGAGAAATATTTGTGGCCTCCTAACGGGGAGAAATAAACCAAATACCAATGATTTGGGGTCAATATCGAAAGAAAGCGATGCATTCAGATTTTCGGCGTGGTAAATAAACGTGGCAGGCGTTCCCTTCATTCGTAGCTCGTCGCAGAGCAATAGCGACTAGGAGGTGATACATGATTATGATGATGATCATACGATTTCGACGCTCGAGGCATCGGGGCGTGCAATCGTGCCTGCAGTGGGCGAGGACTGACCATCGCCTTCACTATCCATCTCACCATCGCCTATCACTACACTGAAGCGGATAGGAAATCTAATCGAGACAAGATACTGGACGACCAATGAAAAGTCCTCCTCGCGGACGAGTGGCTTAATGACGGCGAGGAAGCGTCGTGGCTCTACCACAGCTAGCAGCGGATTGAGTGTCCGTAGCAGCGCCCAGCAACTCTTGCCATGAAGGTCAGGGGAGGAGGCCACGTTGGCTTGATTGCACATTGATGGAAATTAAAATTAAATTTTATTCTAATTCAGCGCCATCCGACTGGATGTTTATTGAAGACTGGCCAGTCAGGTACTACAATCAAGATGGCCACCAAGATGCCAAATAAAAAGCCATAAGTCGTTATCGGCATATTCTGAGCGTAGAATCCAACCCCGAAGCTTGCCAAGCCAAAGAAGACAAGAATTAGCCTCATCATGTATTCACTGCGATTTTGCCCATGGAAATCCTACATGTAAGTGCGCCATCGTACCATCCCCCAAATTTGTATGAAAAGGAAAACACCAATTTATCAGCCTAAATATTACAGCTCCAACCCTAATTAGCGGCTAAATTTTAATGGTCAAGTAAATTTTAGTTTACGCATCACAAATTTTATCTTCCCGCATGCTTGCGACGACGACGACCACCGCGATGACGACGTCGAGCTTGCCATACACAGGCTCTGCGGCTGCGTCCATCATGGCGACACCCTCGCGGGCGCCGCTGAAGCGCGTCAGCACGGTGCAGTTTGGGTTGCTCTCACCGGATGAGATTGTAAGACAATTTTCCTTTCGATTTTCTTTTTCCCTTCACATTTACTTATTGCCTCGATATTTCGGGCTTCCCCATTAACTTTTTTATTGGAAATTACATTTTTTCGTATTTTCTAACCCGCAGCGGGCAGTATCCGTGGCCCGGATCGAGTACCCAGAAACGGTGGAGGGCGGCGTGCCAAAGATCGGTGGTCTGGCGGACCCGCGTCTTGGCACCAACGACCGGGCCGTCAAATGCGCCACATGTGCCGGGTCTATGTCCGACTGCCCTGGGCATTTTGGCCACATCGAATTGGCACGACCGGTCTTCCATATCGGCTACATTGACAAGATCAAAAAAATACTAGAATGCATCTGCTTTCACTGCGGGCGATTGCGAGTAGATCCTGGTGTTGCTGCAAAGGCAGCAGTAGCGCGTTCGATGCGCGAGTCCCGGGCACGTCTCAGCGCCGTCTGGGCAATATCCAAGACGCGTATGCGTTGCGACGTTACGATCGAGCAACCGGTGGCCGAGGGCGCAATATCATCATCTGACGCTGCCAGCTTCCACGAAGGCGAAGAAGAGGATGGCGATTGGGTTTCTTACAAAGAGGAGGCAGCCAAGCGGAAAGCACAGTCCAAGGATGAACGTAAAGGGCAGCCTCTAATGGTTGGGTGCGGCCAGATCCAGCCACAAATCCGTCGAGATGGGCTGCGATTAATGGCCGTCATTCCCGCTTCAAAGGCTGCAGGGGACGAAGCACTTTCCCGCAGCGTTGTGCCACCTTCACGCGTGCTCGCGCTATTCCGCAAGATTCGCGATGAAGATTTGATAACAATGGGGCTTTCGCCCATTTTCGCGCGACCCGAATGGATGGTGCTCAGCGTGCTAGCTGTGCCGCCTCCACCGGTACGACCGGCAATCCAAGCCGATTCAGGTGCCGCCATCAAAGGCGAAGATGACTTGACACACAAACTGGCAGACATTGTCAAAGCGAACGCTGCTTTAGCACGGCACGAGGCTGAAGGGGCTCCTGCACACATCTTGGCAGAGTTTGAGGCTCTTTTACAGTTCCACTGCGCTACATTTATTGATAACGAAATTCCAGGGCAACCACAGGCTTTGCAAAAAAGTGGCCGGCCACTTAAAGCCCTACGTGCACGTCTTAAAGGCAAAGAGGGCCGTTTGCGTGGAAATCTCATGGGAAAGCGTGTTGATTTTTCTGCACGTACGGTGATCTCCCCAGACCCGAACCTAGAACTGGATGAGGTTGGTGTGCCTCGCTCTATCGCCATGACGTTAACTGTGCCAGAACGCGTGACCCCATGGAACGTAGAGCGGCTGGCGGCGTTGGTGCGAGAAGGACCTCGGGTTCATCCTGGAGCACGATACGTTATCCGCGAGGACGGGACTCGCGTAGATCTTCGTTTTGCGACCCCAGAGTCGTCATTATTGTTGGCACGCAATGTAGTTGTGGAGCGCCATTTGTCTGATGGCGATATCGTGCTTTTCAATCGGCAACCATCGCTACACAAAATGTCAATGATGGCCCATCGAGTGCGTGTGATGCCCTACTCGACATTCCGGCTAAATCTTTCCGTGACAACGCCCTACAATGCAGACTTTGACGGGGATGAAATGAACATGCATGTTCCGCAAGGCCCCGAATCGGCTACAGAACTACGCTCACTTGCCGCGGTCACGACACAAATCATCTCGCCGCAAGGATGCAAGCCAGTGATGGGCATCGTACAGGATTCACTAACGGGTATCCGCAAAATGACGCGGCGGGATGTCTTTGTGAGCTGGAGCCATGTCATGGGCTGTCTATGGGCCGCTGCGTCGCCACAATGGAATGGCCGGCTGCCGATGCCGGCCGTGCTCAAACCTGTTGCCCAGTGGACGGGGAAGCAGCTCATTTCGCAAGTATTGCCGCCAGGTCTCAACGTTTCTGGGTTTCATGCTGCGCACATCGATGGCGAGCGCGACAATCTCTCCGACACACAGGTACGTTTGCACACACACACACACACAAAATTTCGGCTCCATTTACGTTGTCTTTGCTCGATGCATTGTGTTTACCCTGTGCTTATCCACAACTCTGTAGGTGCTGATTGAGGATGGGCAATTGCTGACAGGAATTTTGTGCAAGCGTACCGTGGGTACGGCGGCTGGTGGACTGATCCACGTGCTTGTCAACGATGGCCATTGCTGGAGCGGTGGCGAGCCAGCAGCCTGTGCTTTTTTCGGCAGCTTGCAACGCCTAGTGACTCATTGGCTACTAGAAAACGGGTTCTCCATCGGCATCGGAGACACGGTCGCCGATGCAGCCACCATGGCTACCATAACAGAAACGATTCGCACAGCAAAACGAAATGTCTCGGCAATTATTTCGCGGGCGCAGGCGGGGCGGCTCACGACGCTCCCCGGTATGACGGGGCGTTCCACGTTCGAGCACGAAATTTGCAAGGAATTAAATAGGGCGCGCGATCACTCTGGTGCGTCGGCTCAGCGCTTCTTACGCGAACAAAACAACGTCAAACAGATGGTGGTCGCTGGCTCAAAAGGCACCTTCATCAATCTTTCGCAAATGACTGCGTGTGTGGGGCAACAAACGGTAGAGGGCTCACGCATTCCGATGAGCTTTGGCGGTGGCGGCGGCGCCTCGCGCACGCTGCCACATTTTCTCAAATCGGACGATGGGCCTGAATCGCGCGGCTTTGTGGAAAACTCGTATTTGCGCGGGCTGACGCCACAAGAGTTCTTCTTTCATGCGATGGGAGGACGTGAAGGGCTTATCGATACTGCCGTCAAAACTGCCGAGACAGGCTACATTCAACGGCGGCTTGTAAAAGCGCTAGAGGATCTTACTGTCGCATATGATGGCACTGTGCGCAACGGTCTCGGGCAAGTTGTCCAATTCGCATACGGCGATGACGGCATGGATGCCCAAGCCCTTGAGCGCATCAACGTTGCTGCTTTAGTAGGTGGTGCACCTACCGGTGGAGTTACCGTTCCCACCCACACGGGTGCGTATCCATCCTATGCGTCATTATTGGAGGCAGAGCAGCGGGGCTTGGCAGCAGCAGCACTAGCTTTTCCGCGCACTGGGCTTGTGGAATTGCAGGCACTACCTGTCAACATTTCGCGCCTACTTTGGAACGCTCGCATTCGGTTTCATTTGGGCACAGGAGGCGCCAATGTTCAGCCCGTTGACTCGCGCCATGCTCTGGTTGCTGTTGCATCTCTTGTGGATCGTCTCAAGTCCACGGTAATCCCAGGAGGGGCAAGTTTTCCTTCCTCTTCAATCATTACCCCGCATTTGCTGGTGATGACGCCTCTTGAGGCGGCAGTGCGTATGGGACTGTCGCTAGCGCAGATCACTGCACATCGATTAACGCGCGAGGCTTTTGATTGGGTTGTAGGAGAGGTTGAGGCCCGCGTGCGCAAAGCGCATGTAGCCCCAGGAGAAATGGTTGGTGTCATTGCCGCACAATCGATTGGCGAGCCTGCAACACAAATGACGCTAAACACGTTCCACTTGGCAGGTGTCTCGCATGGCCAGTTGACACATGGTGTGCCGCGGCTTAAGGAGCTCATCAACGCTGCTGTAAATACACGCACGCCTTCACTGACCATCCGACCTGCAATCAATCGGACTAGTGGGTCTGCAGAATCTTCTCCCCTAGAGATCGCTAAAGAAGTCGCCGCATTGCTCGAAGCAACGCCCCTGCGCGCACTGACAGCGTATACACAGGTCATCTATGACCCGGCTGTGGAGAGCACAGTTGTGGCTGAGGATTCAGATCTTGTCGAGGCATACTTTGCATTACCCGATGCTGCCTTACTGGAGGCATCGCAGCGGGCTTCTCCATGGATATTGCGGTTAGTGCTAGACCGTGCTAGCATGTTGGATCACGGCGTCACCATTGGTGATATAGCACGAGCACTCGGGGATGCCTACGGCCAAGACTTGCTTATTTTGCATGCTGACGAGAATGCAGACCATCCCGTAGTACGTTGCCGAGTTATTCGTCCAGAAGCTATGGATACTGATGGAAACACTGACGATTTACTGGCGGACGATTCATGCGCTGAGGATCTCTTTCTGCGGCGTGTCGAAGCAAATATGATGGAGAGTATTTGGCTCAAAGGCATTCCAGGCATCAACCGTGTATTTATTGTGGAGCGAGCTGCGGGGGCCACCGCTGCAACCGTTGAACTGCAGACAGCAGGTGCTGGTGGCCTAGGTGCGCTCTTTGGGCATGCTCCTGTGCTCGATGCAATCGACTGCTCACGCACACTTTCAAATTCGGTGCCTGAAATTGCGACGGTACTGGGAATCGAGGCTGCACGTGCCGCATTGCTTAATGAGTTGCGGGATGTGATTGAGACCGGCGGCTCATACGTCAATGGGCGGCATCTCTCGCTGTTGGCCGATATCATGACGCGTCGAGGGATTGTGACGGGTATCACACGC